TCGGACTGCGATTTCGAAAAATTCTGCCCATACGCCCCCAGAGAAGAAAGAAATGTCGTGACATTAATCTGATTCCAAAGGCGGAAATATAATAATACTTATATATGAGTTTCGGCTCGGTGGAGGGACACTTTTTTCGAGCTTTTTTTTAAAAAAAGTCGTGTCATCTTGACCTCATATTTTTGCGTCAAAAAAAGATTTCACCTTGTTTTTTCTCAAGGTGAATTTCAATGATAATGAATGAAATCCTAATGAGCTCACTTTTTTCGAATTTTCGAATTTACGCAGCTTTTCTGTAGGTTTTGGTAGTTAGACAAGAACTAGCTACTCTCTTTGCTTAAAAAAAACGTACTCAGCAGCCCTACTGATCGCATTTGGAATGTCTAAACGCGTTGCGGTCGCGCTACGTGGGCAACCCCTTAAAAACGCCCCCAGGACCTACCCCCTTCTTTATCTGGCCAAGCTCCTGGACCCCCCCCTTCTCCGAACTTTTTTTCCCGGACGAGAAAACAAATTTATATTTTTTTGTTGTATAAAGTTACAGGAAATCTCATTAAAAAAATTTTTTTATATTTCTCCTGGAACCCCCTCCTTTGCGTTAAGTGAAACCTTCCGGAACTACCCCCTCCGCTGACCAGGTCCGCCACTTGCCCATGCGCTCGAGACCTTTTTTCAGCTTTTCCATAGGTTTGGTTTGAATAAAAATATTCTAGGCGCATCGAGAAAATCATTCACCAAGCCTACTGGTCGCGTTTGGAATCGCTAGACGCGTCACGGTCGCGCTGCGGCTCAAAAACTTTTTTCTGCTTTTTTTTGGGTCTCCGACCTTGATTCATGACTTTTAAGTTTATTGTCCCTCTGAAACCATAGCAGCTTCTAAATAGTTCTATACTCTCCCAACCAAAACGTTGAACCGGCTGGTCGCATTTGGAATGGCTCAGCGCGTCGCGGCTGCGCTGCGGCTCAAAATTTTTACATCCGCTTTTTCTGTCTTTTTTCAGCTTCTCTGTAGGTTTTGGTAGTTAGACAAGACCTAGTTACACTTTTTGCTCAAAAAAAGCATATTCAGCAGCCCTACTGATCGCATTTGGAATGGCTGAACGCGTTGCGGTCGCGCTGCCCTCGAGACCTTTTTTCAGCTTTTCCATAGGTTTGGTTTGAATAAAAATATTCTAGGCGCATTCAATGACTAAGAGAAAATCATTCACCAAGCCTACTGGTCGCGTTTGGAATCGCTAGACGCGTCACGGTCGCGCTGCGGCTCAAAAACTTTTTTCTGCTTTTTTTTGGGTCTCCGACCTTGATTCATGATTTTTAGGTCTCATTATCCCTCAAAAATCATAGCAGCCTTTGAATTTTTCTATACCCATCAAGGCTTTAAAACTGCTGGTCGCATTTGGAATGGCTCAGCGCTTCGCGGTTGCGCTGCGGCTAGAGTGGAACTCTGAAATAACAGACTTCAATTGTTTCTGACCAGATAAATGACTTATAAGGACAAGCGCAAGTCGTTTTTGATCGGATGCATCTTTCCAACACTTTGAGCCATTCCCTATGCGACCAACCTATAGCAAATGACTCTGAGAATAATTACAGTCAATTTTCTAGGTCTTAGTCGCCCTTGGAATGGCTCAAAAATTGCAACCGACCCAAAACGACTTGCGCTCTTAGGTATCGAAAATCACTAAAACTACTACTCAAACTTCGAGTTTTCAAGGATACGAGCCATTCCAAGTGTGTATCTAATCGCATTAATTACAGTAAATATTGTGGAAAGTCTTCGAAATTAGCCACGGAGCGCACAATGCTTGAAAAAACGGCTATTTTCGGATTTATTTTTCACAAAATTGAGGATTATCTGGTTCAAAAAGCCTCACTAGCCACGCATTCTTGAAAAAGCGTTTTTCAACTTCAAAAAAAACTTCTTTTCATTCTCCTCCTCTTTATATCTCCATTTTGAACCTTTCTTTCCTTAGACTTCCCTCAAATTTCCTCAGACAAAATCAAAACTTCCAACACGCGGAAATACTCGAAAAACAATTAAATTCGGCCCGCCAAAAATGAAAAAAATTGGATTAATCGGTAATGTTTCATGTTTCTCGAGACGCGGAAATGAATGGGGCTTTCCACGCAAGAAGGGTCAAAAAATTGGACCTTCTTTTTGGTTTTAGATATGTTTGTCACGTTTAAATATAGGCTAGGCGTGAGGAACATTACTTTCGAAAAAACGCCACGAAGGCTCAAAATTATAGCCTTTTTTTTTTTCCAATCTTTTTCGAATAAAAAAATATATGATTTTATAATCTTTCTAAAAGCTTCGAAATCTCATTTTTTTGTACTTTGAAGCTTCAAAATTCAGTCATTTTTTGGTTTTTCAACTTTTTTCTACTATGATTGCTTGAAAAAGGCATTTCTTTGTTTTTTGAGCCGCAGAGCCATTCCAAATGCGACCAGAAAATTTCAAATTGAACTTTTTTTGTTAATTTAAACTTTGACTACCAGTTTGAAACTACAAAACCCGAAATTTAGCACGAAACTTTCTCAAAATAGTCAAATTTTCGGGCCAATTTAAATTCCTTCCACATTTTTCGATATTTAGAACTATTTTCTAGAAAATCCGGACGGTTTTAAAGTTCGGCGATTTTCCTACAACTCCTCACAGCCTCCAATTATACTCCGAGAAAACTTTTATCTTCATAAAAATGCAAATTTTTCCTCATTTTCATATCCCTGGCCAAAAAAGGTCTCTTATTTCTCCCTTTTCGATTTCTTCGCTGCAAGATTTTTGTACTTAGAATCTGTCAAAGCTATAAAAAAACATCTAAAAATGACGAAAAATCAGAAAAGTAAAAAAAAAGCGGGATTTCAATAGCTTTTACTAAGAAAATTTAAGATTTCTAATGAAAATCTTCTTTTCTACAGTCATTTTTTTCGGTAACTTTTTTTGAAATTACGGCTTCTAAGAAAGCAAATTTTTCAAATTATGGACGTTTTTTTAAAGCTTTTTAAGCCATCAAAAAGCTTGAAAAAGGTCATAAAATAATTTTTTAAACTCCATTTTATCTATTTTCCAAGCTTCAGAAGTGACAAAAAAACATATTTCGGGTCTTATTTTCGAAAAACAGGTTCAAAAAAATCAGATAATATTATTTTCCTTTGGTTTTTCTCATAAAAATGCTATTCAAAACTGATTTCATTTTCCAAACTTCTCCTTCACTTTCAAATTAATGATTCCTCGATTTTTGATCCGATAATTCTGATTTCTGTTTCATCAGAAACCCCAGTGATTACATTCAATTAATTTATGTTGCCATTTGTCTCAATCAATTAAAATTTGACTCAAAATACACCTTTTCTTCTTCGAATCCGCCAATTTTAAATTAATTATAGTTCGAGGATTAATTATGTTCTATGAAGCTTGATTCCTACGATCTCTGAGTCAAAAATAAAGAAGGCAGACAAAAAATCTCATGAGACTTCTTTATTTTTTTCAAAAACCGGGGGTCTTGAAAATAATTAATATTCCATTTGACCTTCATTTCCTTTATTTTCAACCATTCTTCTTCTTTTTTTTTTCATTAGAGCTTCGAAAATATCTTTATTTTTTTGTGGTCGCATTGAGAATGGCTCAAACTGTCTGGGCTGCTTATTTTTTTGTATTTCTTACTAAGAGAACAGTACATTATTCCCATTACTTTTTCAAAATTAAACTTTTTTTGGAAAAATTGAAATATTTTTCATAATATTGCTAGCTTCGTTTTTCGAGCCCGTTACCGATTAATTTTTCAAAAATGAAAAAAATTTTTTTCAAAAAAATTTACTTTTTGAAGAACATAAAATTCCGCCGAAATTGCGTCAAGTTTTTTTATATTCCCATAAATTCTCTTGAAAAAAAACCGAAGAAAAAACGAAAAATCAAGAAAAAACAATGAAAAATGCCAAGAAAAAAAATAAATAAATAATTCCTCTCTAGTGGCCCCTTAGAATGTTCCATGGAGCGCACAAGCTTTTTCCTCTGCTTTTTTTGAAATTTTTCATCCTTTTTTCATGCTATGTTCATGAATTCAAAGTAATTTCCGCGAAATGCAAAAATGATCTCTGACTCTTCAAAAATTTAGTTATAATTTTTCTTTCTCTGGCGCAATTTTGGATTTCGAACACGGCATCAACTTTTTGTGTATCAAGTGGTAGATATTTTTGTTTCATCTAAATTTTTCAATGGTAATCGGATTTTTTATCCTTCGCGCCACTAATTCGTTCAAAAAGGATTTCATATTGAAGCGAAAAATTTAATTTACACTTGAATATATTCACTTCCCATCAAAAACCGATAATTCTTTGAAAAAATCTACTTCTTTTTTTTATTTCAAATTTTTTCTCCTTCACAGAACTACCATATTGAATCAAAAATCTCATTTATAGTCAATGTTTCCCGACTTGAAAAGCGATGGAGGCGGGGCAGGGGGCGGGACGTGTAGCGTGTGCGTTCGCGGTTCTTGGCCCGAGTTCATTTCAACCGCCAGCGACTATTTGGAACGCTGTTTATCGCTCTTTTCATTAATTTTTTTAATTTTTTTCAAATTTTTTTCATTTCTGTATCAAAAAAAATAGTGGAACAGATGTAGTCCGTTTTTCGCGGCTTGAAAGGGCGGGACTTCTCTGCACCCTCTCTTATTGGGGCGCTATTTTCGCGCAGCTGTGATCTCGCTGGTGAGGGAACAGAGAGACGCAGACAAAACTGTCAAGTCGCGGCGGTCGGACTATACTAAAAGAGCGGTGACCGAGCTTTCCAAATGGTCAGTGGCGCTCGAATTGAACTCGTGCCAAGAACCGCGTACGCACACGCTACGCGTCCCGCCTCCCTCGCCTTTAAAGTCGCGTTGGATTAACTATAAAACTTCGAAAGTTTTCAAACCAAATTATCATTGACAACTCTGCGTTCTCCTCGCATTTTTCTCTTTTTTTTTCTAGATTTCCCGTCAAAAATCAAGTTTTTTTTCAGCATGGAATGCGCTTCACCAGCCCTAGTCGAAGTTCTAACTTCGGTTTATCAACAAACCAACGCGATTCTCTTCTTACTCATCGCTATCGCTACCGTAATCGTCTCGTTTTTCGCTGCGAAAGCCTTGATCGAGTGTCAGATTTTCCCAAAAACTACCCGAATTATTTTTGCCGTCGGATTGGCCTATGCGAATCTTCACGAGATCGTCAAGTTCTACATCAGGGTACGGAAATTTTGATTTTGAAATGCCGCATTTGGAATGGCTCAGGAGGAATTATAGAGAAGACATAACAAAGATTCGGAAAAGTTTATTTTCTCAAGTTCAATGAGTATCTCTAAGATGAAATTTTTGCAAACTTTCCGGATTTTGGCCGCGTTTGGAATGGCTCAAGCCAATTCCAATAGGGAGCATATTTCTTATTGAGAAGGAAAAAAGTTCTTTTAACTTCAAAATAGTAGCCACACCCATTTTCGGAACAAAAATCGCATTTGGAATGGCTAGAAAATCAAAAAATGACCTTTTTCAAGCTCAAAAACCAGCAATTTCGCTCAAAACTTGTAGTGATCACTTAAGAGTGCTAACGTCGCTAAAGGGATCACTTTAAAGCTCAAAAAAGTATGGTCTACGCTACTTCGGACTCGGTAACGCAAACCGCACCCACCCCGGACGTTTCTGAACAGGATCAACTCAAGGGGTCACTTTAGCGTCTTCAGAACTCTTAAGTGATCACTTGAAGAGCTCAGAAACGTCCGGGGCGCGTCCGGTTTGGGTTACCGAGTGGGGCATTCTTTTAAAAAATTATCAATAGAACGCGGACGCTTCTGAACAAGTTTCTGATCAGGACAACTCAAGTGGTCGCTAAAGCGACGTTAGAACTCTTAAGTGATTACTTGAAAACGTCCAGAGCGACTTATCAGAACAAGTTTCCGAGCAGGATCACCTCTAGGGGCAATTTAAGCGACTTAAGAAATCTTAAGTGATCACTTGGAAAGCTCAAAAAAACCCAGAGCGACTTTTCTGAACAAGTTTCGGAGCAGGATCACCTCTAGGGGCAATTTAAGCGACTTAAGAACTTTTAAGTGATCACTTGGAAAGCTCAAAAAAACCCAGAGCGACTTTTCTGAACAAGTTTCGGAGCAGGATCACCTCTAGGGACAATTTAAGCGATTTAAGAACTCTTAAGTGATCACTTGGAAAGCTCAAAAAAACCCAGAGCGACTTTTCTGAACAAGTTTCCGAGCAGGATCAACCCTAGAGGCCATTAAAGTGACGTTAGAACTCTTAAGTGATCACTTGGAAAGCTCAAAAAAACCCAGAGCGACTTTTCTGAACAAGTTTCCGAGCAGGATCACCTCTAGGGGTCACTTTAGCGTCTTCAGAACTCTTAAGGGATCACTTAAAATGCTCCAGAGCGCATGTGGTTTGTATTACGGAAGTCCGAGTGAAGTTCTATTTGGGAAAATTATCAATAGAGCCCGTTCCCTGAGCAGGATCACCTCTAGGGGCCACTAAAGCGACGTTAGAACTCCTAAGGGATCACTTAAAATGCTCAAAAAAGTCCAGAACTACTTTTCTGAACAAGTTTCCGAGCAGGATCACCTCTAGGGGTCACTTTAGCGTCTTCAGAACTCTTAAGTGATCCCTTGGAAATCTCAGAAACGTCCAGAGCCCAATTTCGAAAAATTATCAATGGAGCGCACATTTTGCAGGGTAAAGCGCTGCTCAACTCCTGGACGTTTGACGGCGATACCTGTCGTCTGGTGATGACGGCTTTGGAATGTCGAATGCCGTTGAATTTGATCTGGATGTGTATGGCCGGCATGGTGTTCACGGACACCGCCTTGACTTTCGATCGGTTTGCTTCTGAAATTGGAAAAATGAAGTTCACATCTTTATTGACCTTTCGAGCAATATTTATCTAAAAATTTCTGGAAAAATTTTTTTTGAGATCCTTCCTCTAACTTGAAACAATCTGACCTGTCTGCGCTCTCTTCTCTCTCATCTCTAGGTCATAGAAGCATAAAAAAAGCACGTAAAAACGAGAGAGTGCTGAGAAGTCAGGCTGTACCAATTATATTCAAATATATTCCAGATTGTTGGCAACACTTTTCCCGACAAAATATTCGGCCAATTCGATTTTACCCGGTATCCTGTTCTCTCTGGTCGTGGTGAGTAATTCAGAAAATGGTCTCCAGTGTTCCCTTTAAGGGTTTGATCTTTTCATAGCAGCCGTGAAAGGTCAATAAGTGAAACTTTAAGAAGCGTGATCTAGTGATCATTTTAGGGCTCCATTCTTCAAAAAAAGTGTCTTCTATGAAGTTCCGGGCTGCGGCGATTTTAGAAGCTGTGAAGCTTGCGCTGTTGCCTTACCGTCGCGCGAAAACCGTTTCAAGGTCGGTGCTTGAGCCATTCCTGATGCGACCAAGCTTTTTTATAGTTCTTCACTGGATAAAGTGTTAGTTCAAGCCCACAGTTCTTTGAAAGGAAGAGTCTTGCCCCCTTCTCTGCGCCCTCCTCGTCTCTCGCCCACCCTCTCATTTTTCTGCGCTATTTCCATATTTCTCTAATATTGTCGGCGAGGGAACAGAGAGACGCAGATACTCGACCACGATCGGACCTCGATAATGAATACTGGACTTTATGAGCACTTTTAGGGATCACTTAAGGGTACTCAAACTACTAAAGCGGTCACTAGAAATGTCTTTACACGTCCAATTCGCGTCCAAGCTGCGTTGCCATGTTCTGAGCGATTCTAGGGACCACTCAAGGGTTCTCACGCTACTAGAATGCTCATTAGACTTGGTCCCACACGTCCGATTCACTTTCAAGTCACGTTATCAAACTAAGCACTTCTAGGGGCCCTTTAAGGGTACTGACGCTACTAAAAAGGCCACTAGAAATGCCCCGACAAGCCGGATTCGCTTCACCGATTTCTGAGCGGATCTAGGTACCCCTTAAGGGTTCTGACGCTACTAAAATGGTCACTAGACTTGCTCCCACAGGTCCGAGTCGCGTTACCAGTTTCTGAGCATTTCTAGGGATTCCTAAAGGGTACTGACGCTACTAGTAAGGTCACTAGACATGTTCCCACAGGACTGGAGCGCGTTACCAATTTCTGAGCAATTTTTGGGATCCCTTAAGAGTACTGAAGCTACAAAAAATTCACTAGAAATGCCCCGACACATCCGGTTTGCGTTATCAACTTCTGAGAAATCCTAGGGATCACTTAAGGGTTCTCACGCTACTAAAAAGGCTACTAGATATGCGCCCACAAATACAGTTTCAAGTCATATTCGAAAATTCATCCTTCGAACATCTTACAGATAGCCCTCAGCGTCATCATCACCCTGGTCACCTTTGGCGAGGAGGACTACCACGGTTACGTGACCCATTGTATATACCCTCCTGAGAAAAGCGGGCTGAATATCCGGCGACTGTTGAAGTTCTACACGGTCGTCAATTTCGTCAATATCGCCTTGAACTTGTTGGTCCTGTGGCTGAATCGTCGGGCATCGGCAGGGTTGGTTTTGAGTTCTCTTCAAACCGTCTGACTCGTCTGCGCCCTCTCCTCTTTCTCAATGTGACCTTGAGAAATGGAAGGAGAGCGCAGATAGGTCAGAAAAAATCACCGTGGTTGAAGTATACCATAAAATCGAAAAGCATCTTATCACCATAAATTAATTAGGGGCGCCGGAGTGGTCGCTGTAGGGGCCCGTGTAGGTTATCTTCACCTCCCCTTTTAGGGGTCATTGAAGCTTGCAAAAGTGGCCCCTACAAGGGTACATGTTATTCGTTTAAAATCAACAGAGACAGATCTTAAGCCTCTATAGTCCACCTAACATTCAACTCTATAGGGAGCACTTTTTCGTTGTCAATTGTACCTGTTTTTTTTCCTAACCCCTATAGGGACCACTATGACGTGTCTGAGTCCAATAAAACTGATAAAAATGACTTTTTCGTTTTATCATTCTCTGAAGGGACCCCTTTAGTGCCCAACCGGCTTCCTAAGTTGCACCTTAAGAGTTTCTATATCTTCCCATAGGGTTTCCAAGTTAAAACAAGTTAAAAATTCCATATTTTTTCGTCGTAAATTGAGACTTTTCCGTTGAAACTTAGTACTATCAAGGCCGATTTTTTCTCTTAAAAATCAATTTTTGACCCAACCCAGTACTTTTTCAGAATCCAGTACGATCTCCAGCAACGCTACCACAACTATGAAGTGTTAACAACCACAAAGGCCGTCAGTATAATCGCAATCGTTCAATTCATCGCCCTCGGAATCTACACCTCGGCCATGCTTTTCCTAACAACTTTGTCGGCTTGGATCCCTCAAGTTCTTCGGCTCACCATGTTCCCATGGCTTTATGTTTGTTTTTGAGCTTTTTCAAGCCACACATAATCGATAAGAACTAGATCGCGTTTGGAATGACTGAGCGTTCCTTGTTTTAAAAAAAACTTGAAATAAGTATCTTCGGGATGCCGCCAAGCTCAAGTCGTTTCGGGTCGGACCTAGCTTGGACCGAGCCATTCCAAATGCGGTCGTGGTCAATTTGAAAACTTTAGTGGTTACTTTTTTTCTGTCATAATGACTTAAAGCTTTGTAGCGCAACTAGTAGAGCTCCAGAAACACAATATTTGTTTTGCTCAAGTTCGACTCCCGCCAGCGGCGAGCTTTTTTTTTGCAAAAAATTAGGGAATTTTTTTTTCAATGCCCGTTGTTTTTTTAACGTTGACAGTGCATAAAAATCAAGAAAAATCAGTTCCAAGAAGTTTTTTTTTCCTTGGTCCCACTTTTACTTTTGCTCAGGTTCGAGTCCTTCTCAGGGCGAAAGCTTTTTTGCCAAAACTTTAAGTCTCTTTTTATCGACGCAGACATTCTGTGATTTAAAATAACAAATCTCAAAAAAGATTTGTTGAATATTTCTCTATAAAATCCTTTATTTTTCAAGTTCTCCACTTTTCGCAAGACCTCAGTCGATAATCTCTGTTGTTTTGGGATAATATACCCGCTTTTTCTCACGTCTATCCATGCATTAAGCTGGGCATGAAGAAAAGCTTCATTTTGACATATTACTCAGCTGAAAAAAAAAACATGATGTTATCCCCATTTTCAGGCCGTGACGTATGGCGCTCTACTTCTTCCGATTCTTATTGTTGTGGGTGCTTCGAGAGTTGCAAAACGAAGACGTTGCCTCATTCGGAATATCACCGCTCAGAAAGAGTCGCAAGACGACCGAATGAAGCAACTCAACGACATGTGGCGATGATTTGAATTCTCGTGACCGCATTTGGAATGGTTCGATGCGCCAAACCCAAAACGACTAGAGCTTTTTTGTATTAGAAAGCAGTGGAGCATTCAAAGTGCGGCCGAAACATTCAACATCGAGAGTTTCATTTTGACATTTAAAAATCTTTCCAATCATATGACCGCGTTTGGAATGGCTCACGGCATCAGACCCAAAACGGCTTGAGATTTTTTGCGTCAGAAAACACTGGAGCAAGCTTTGAGCCATTCCAAGTGCGGTCGATCGATTCGACTTTGAATGTTTCATTTTAATATGTAAAGATCTTCCAAATCCGCCGCATTTGGAATGGCTCGCTGCATCAGAACCAAAACGGCTTGCGCTTTTTTGTATCAGAAAGCAATGGAACAAGCTTAGAACCATCCCGAATGCGATCAAATAATTTTATATCAATTGTTTCGTTTTAATATAAAGATCCTTCTAATCATATGACCGCATTTGGAATGGTTCGATGCTTCAGACCCAAAACGACTTGAGCTTTTTTACATCGGGAAGCATTCGAACGATCTTCGAGCCATTCCAAATGCGACCTCACTACTCCACGTAGTTCCATAAGCTTGATTTTTCCTAAATATTGTTTTTCCCCATTTATTTTTTTATGTTGAGAACTTTCTGTTATTTATTTTAATAATCCCATCTATGTACTTTATTCTCTAAACATTCTCATTTTTAAACACTCTCTCGCTGATCTTCTCAAGACCCTTTTTTAAACTTCACCGACCCTTTTAAGATTTTTTGAATTATTGAGCCATTCCAAATGCGACCAAGTCGGTTCAATCTTGATTTTTGAGATTTTTTTGTTGTTATATTATTGTTATGGATCCATTTTCGTGTTATTTTCTCTAAACCCTCTCATCTCTGCACACTCTCTCGTTAATCGTTCCAAGACCCATTTTGAAATATTTGTTGATTTTTCTACTTTTTATTTGAGAAAAAAAGTTTTTTTATTTTTTTATCGAAGTTTACGGGTTCTCAATATAATATTTTTGCACTTAATAAACTTATATTTTTTTAATTTTTAAATAAATTGGGAACATTTCAATAATTCTAAATACAGTATTTCTCAGCAGTAAAAAAATATTTTAATAGGAACTAAAATTGAAATTATACGGAAGTGCTCAGTAAGTTGAAAATCACACTTTTCCTCCGAATTTTCCCAGACAAATGAGACATTTGTCACTTTTCCTGTTCAGCAATTTCTACCGTGGGAGATCGGGATATTTTGCACTATAATTTCTGTTCTTTGAGATACTCTAAAGTCCCGAAACTGGTAGGAAGTGAATCAGAAGGTGATTTAGGAGAACTATAAGGAACTTTGAGCTTTTTCTTTGTTTAAAGGCTTCAAAGCGCTATTTTTCTCAAATTCACCTTTGTTTCTGCATAAATTTCAGTTCTAATACGCTCACAACTCTATAAGAATTGATTATAGCCTATTTAAAATCCAGTTACTACTTCATTTCGCTGAAACCATTTTTTAAAAACTTCCTATGCTCCTTTAATTAGAGCTCAAGAGAGCGGTGATTAAACTATTGGCTTTCCAATTCTTGCAGTCCGTATTTTAAATATTTTCGGAAAATCTGAAGACTTCTCTAATCTATCTCATTTTTGCATACTGTTTTTCCAATCTCGACAAGACCACTATAAAAAACTTCCTATGCTCCTTTAATAAGAGCTCAAGATAACGGTGAATCAACTATCATTGCCTCCAGTTTTTTCAGACTTTTTTTTTTTCAAATTCGTCAAAAAATCTGATAACTTCTCTAATCCATCTCATTTTTGCATACTCTTCTGCCAATCTCGTCAAGACCCCTATCGAAAACTACCTATGCTCCTTTAATTAGAGCTCAAGATAGCGCTGAATCAACTATTATTGACTTTTCCAGTTATTTCCATCCTTAGCTTTCTTTAATTTAAAAAAATGTTCTAGCTACTCCAAACTATCTCCTTACTGCACATTTTCCTTTCAAGACCATTTTTGAACAATCCCGATGCTCCTTTAAACAAAAAAGAAGCCATCGGTCAATTAACTATCCAATTTTTTTCTTTTCTCGTTCCAGATGGCCGACTGCGCCTCACAAGAAATGATCGCCCAGGCGACTTCAATATTCCCAAAATTTTACAACGTTATAAACTTCACAATCTTTACATCCACCGTAATCCTCACCGTTTTCGCCGTGAAAGAGCTTATTCTACGGTCGATTTTCCATAATTCTACCCGTGTCATATTTTTCTTCAGTTTATTTTTCGCCAACCTTCACGAATTCGTACACATTCAGGATCAGGTAAAGCTTATTTCGCCCGACTTAGCCATTCCAAATGCGGCCAAATGTTGAAAAATCGAAGGTTTCAGGCGTTTTTGTTGTATCGGACTATAATTTACGTGAATGAGCCGTGCAAACTTTTAAAAACTTCGAAAAGTTGCCAATTTCAAAATTATCTTTTCATGACTTCGATAGCTGGTATGGTCTTCATGGAATGTGCTTTATCTATTGACAGGTTTATTTCGATTATTCTTTTTGAGAGAAACTTTCTCGATCAAAAATGGCAAAAACCAGGGAAGGAGTCGATCCAGCGACCCATTGATTAACATTTAAACGTTTTACCCCTGAGCCAATGTGCCAAAATTCACTAAGCTATGATACTGCGTAACAGTAGAAAAATCCATTCTTCCAGCACTTACTGAGAAAATTCTTAGTGGCCACTATAGAGGCTCGCCAAGGACTACTTGGAGAGGACACTAAAGTGGCCACTAAACCCACCTCTATAGCGGCCCTTATTTTCCGTTTAGTGGTCCCTCCAGTAGTTTTTCATCCAGTATTCCTTCCAGTAACTCTGATAAATTAAAAAAAAAAAACAGATTCGACCAGTTATGTTGATCCATTGACCCCTAAAGTGGCCACTAACATTTTTACCGGTCGGGTAGTAGCACTCAGACCTCTATAGTGGCCCCTAATGTTTAACCCCTTAAGTGGCCACTAATTTGATTACTATAGTGGCCACTAAAACGTCAAAACCCTAAGGTGGCCACTAAAAATTTTCCCAGTAATTTTCTGATTTTCAACTTCCTGTCCTCCTAAACGATCCTTTTAAGACAGATTTAACAAGCTCCCAAAAGCTATTAATTTAAAAAAATGGCAAAAACCGCTAGAGGACTCGATCCAGCGACCCCCCGCTTTAAAGGAAGGACCTTTACCACTGAGCCAAACCTCCCCCTCTCTTCCAACAACAAAAATGCATTAAAATTAGTCCAAAAAAGTTGAAAATGATCCCTTTTGTTCACGATTTTCTCCGTTCACTAACACTGGTTATACCCCTCAAATGATTCCTTTAAGACAGATTTAACAAGCTCCCAAAAGCTACCAATTTAAAAAAAATGGCAAAAACCACTAGAGGACTCGATCCAGCGACCCTCCGCTTTAAAGGAAAAATCTTTACCACTGAGCCAAACTTCACCCTCTCCTCCAACGACAAAAATGCACTGAAAATAGACCAAATGATCCTTTTTCACGCTTTTTTTCCATTGACCACCTCTGATTAAACCCCTAAATGACCACTTCAGAATGATTGCCACGATCTCCCCGACTCGTTACTCAAAAATGTCCAGTGGGATCGGGATCTGCTTGGCTATGCTAGCGGTAAGAAGTTTTTGAACTTTTCTTATAATTTTTTGAATTTTCCAGACTACCGGAAGCATTATGGTGCCAGTGATTACCCTTTACGGGGACCCATTTTCGGGCTCAGTTCAATCTTGTATTCATGCCCCTCTGGCCAGCAGCAGGCGTATAAATCTCCTCCTAGTTTTCTATATTTGTGTATCCTTATTTAATATTTTTTTGTCAATTTTTTTCTATCATGTACATCAACCGGAAGCAGGAAGCGAGGTGAGCGTTATTTTTTTCGCAAGTTCGCTCTATGGATAACTGAAGATTTTTTTCTTGGTTTTTGAAATTTTTGGAACTAGGAATCTAGTATTCATGTCGGGGAAAAAAACAATAAAAGAGTTGGGAATTTTAATATTCTAAAATTTTAAAATTCCAAAAAAAATATTCGGCTCAAAGAACCGAACCAGTGCGCTCCATTGATAATCCAAAGATTTTTCTGAATCTCATTATTCTACTTGATTTTTACATCTTTCAAATCGCACAGTAGGACTCGAAAAAAACTGAGATTACCGCCAAAAATTTCAAAAAAATTTTTTTCCATGGAGCGCACAAACATCTTTGAATCGTCTAATGATAAGTTATCCGTTCTTTTCTAAGTCTCAATGCGTCGCGGTCGCGCTGCAGCTTAGGATTTAAAAAAAAATTTCACTTAGAATGTCAAAATACGTAAGTCGTTTTGCGTCGGGCGCACCCTGAAAAAACCGTTTTGGGAATTTTTTCGTGCAACCAAAGTTGTTTAAAGTCAACTAGAACGGCTTTTTAGTTCTAAAACATGATAAAAGTTCCGGGAAAAAAATATTATTTCAAAAACGAAATTTTTTTCATCGGTCCTAATTTCTTCAAGTTCTCAAATCCATTGTTTTGCTCCGGAATCGCACGAAAAAAAGCAAAAACGGATTTATCAGTGTGCGCCCGACCCAAAACGGCTTACGCACTTTGATACTCTAAGTGAACATTTTTAAGTCCTCAGCCGCAGCAAAAAAACCTTTTTTCAAGAAAAACTTTTTTATCGGTTCTAATTTCTTCAAGCCAATAATCAAAAATAATTTTTCCATTGAAACTTTTTATAAGAGATCTAATCCAACTCCGATTGCAGGCTCAAAAGTCGATTCAGTATCGCTTTGCGGTACCAAGCGAGAGAGTCTTTGATTTCGACCGAGGCCGTCTGTAGGATCACAACGGCTCAATTTTTCGCCCTAACGTTCTACGCGGTGGCCGTTTTGCTGATGAGAATCAATCGTGACAAATTCACCTTTTATTCCTATGCAAATACGATTTTTTGGGTTTATGTGAGTTTTTTTTTTTTCATTTTCAGCTTTACAAAGCAAATTTTCAGGCCATTCCCTACGCGGCCGTGTCTTTACCATTATTAATCCTTTTAACCATGCGAATTACTGGAAAAGGACGTCGGAAAGCGATAAATATCATCACTCAGACTCTGGAAACCCAGGACGGAAGGATGAAAACTTTGAAAGATATGTGGGATCGGCCTACAACTTCATACGGTCCATATGGAGTTCCATGATTGTTTTTTTTAATTTTTAAATAAAAATGAATCTATTTTGAATTTTATAAGCTCGGGCATCACCATGAGATCTATTAAAAGGGTCAAAGACCAAAAATAAAAACGGCAAAAAAAATTTTCCCTCGACCGGACTCGAACCCTGGTCATGGTTTTTCACGGTCGAGAGTCTAATCTTCTACAGAAAATCACCTAAACTAGGAATTTTACTAATTAAACCTTTTTCGATGGGTCTTATAATATTAATCAAGCGGAAGAACCAGTATGATTATTAAAATCATCATTCCCTGTTCATACGGCCCTTATGGGGTTCCATGATTTTTTTCTTAATTTTTTTCAATTTGATCAAGAAAAAAAATAAATCTACTTTGCATTTTATGTGCTTGGGCATAACCCCAATATCTTTTTAAAAAGGGTAAAGGAACAAAAATAAAAATGGCAAAAAAATTTCCCTCGACCGGACTCGAACCCTGGTCATAGTTCCCCACATTTGAGAGTCTAATCATCTTCAGCAAATCAGCAAAAATAGAATTTTACTTTTTAGATGACTCATATAGTATTAATCAGGCAGTAGAACTAATATGATTATCAAAATCGTCATTCCTCCACATAAAAAAATTAGAAAAGGGAAAAATTAATTAAAAATGGGTATTTATAGCCGATTCCTGCTCTCACTGGACTCTCGAATTTTTAATTAACTATCCAAACTTGAATGAAACTTCATAGATCTTCAAAAATTGCACCAAAAGTACACATTTCTGCTTGGACCTTTTAATTATTTGTAAATACGGAAACAATTTGTACCTACTTCTTTATTCTATTTCGCAACTTGTGTTACTTTGATCTCGCTTCTCAAACGTCCTGGTCGCGTTTAGAATGGCTCAGGGCTTTGCGGAACAACTTTTTTTCAACGCGTCCGACGAGAAACTACGTCCGCGAGAAGGTATTCTCTAGCATACCGGAAAAAGGAACTCATGATCGATACGTATTTTAAGTAAAGATTTCAAAAAAGAATGGCAATTCTAGTCAAGCTAGTGCCACTTGACTGAGTTATCTATGAATTGAATATGAAATAACTATGAAAATATTTGAAGTTTTCATTGAAAAAATTATATTTTTCTACATGTAATTAATTGAAAATGGCTCAAAACCCTCTGTCTTCCCTGCGTCTCTTCTCCCTCACGATCAAAATCATGTGGGAATAAATCATCATGTCTGACTTCTCTGCGTCTCTCCTTCCTCACCAGTAAGATCATATGAAAATGAATCATCCTGTCTGTCTTCTCTGCATCTCTTTTCCCTCACCGATAAGGTTATATGGAAATGAATCATCCAGTCTGACTTCTCAGTGTCTCTTCTGCCTCCCCTGTGAGATCATATGAGAATGAATAATCTAGTCGGACTTCTGTGCATCTCTCCTTCCTCACCAGTAAGTTTATATGAAAATGAATCATACAGTCTGCCTTCTTTGCGTCTCTTCTCCCTGATCAGTAAGATCATAAAAACATTAAGTATCCAATATGACTTCTCTGCGTCTCCTTCGTCTTCCCGGTAAGATAATATCAAAATAGATAATCCAGTCTGGCCTCTATGTGTCTCTTCTGCCTCACCTCTAAGGTCATATCAGAATGATTCATATATTCTAACTCCCTACGTCTTTTTTGCCTCACTGATAAGTTCATCTTCTCTGCGTCTCCTTTCCTTCACCGATGAGGTGACAAAAAACTGAAAAATTCTGACTTATCTGCGTCCCTTCTTCCTCGCCGGTATGACTATATGAAAATAAATCATCCCGTCTGACTTCTCTGCGTCACTCCTCTCTCACCGATGAGGTCATACAAGAATGACAAGACAGCGGAGAGACGTCAGAAAATTTTTCTCAAAAAAAAAATTCCCGTTACATTTCCCTATATGACTCCATCGAAAACATAATAAAATCCCGCCCGAACGACCCCGCTAATAATACTTCCAACTCAGCTTATTTGCAGTATTATTCAGATTATAGTCGTTGTAGTCCACATAAAGTTCATGGCGCCGTGTTATTACCTGGATATAAATCTTATAAGAAATCAGCCCAAGCTTTGTTGTCCATTTCCCCCCGTGGAACATTCATTTTTCAATGTTCATCGAGAAAAATAGACATTTTCGAGGTGACTAACATTTGTATGAGAGATTATTCGCGGGGGTGTCCTTTTTGTTTTGTTTTTGTTCGGAGGCAAATCTTCTCATCACTAATAGTTCTAGGATTTTGGGACTCTTCTCGATGAAAAAGGTTAGAATCGTGATAAACAAAATTTTCTTCTGAACAAAACTCTTTCTCTTAAATTATTTTTGCGATCTGACTCCTGATAAGCCTCATTTTATCAAAACTTACTTCAAAAATTTGAACAAAATCATTATATTTTGCAATATTTTTCTATTTAAAAAAATGGCAAAAAAAGAAATTTCCACCGGGTGGGGTCGAACTTGCGATGCTAAAATGATAGCTGACCACTTTCCAGCTGCTCCATTTCAGTTTTTTTGGTTTTATCACGTGTGAGTTTTTTTTTTTCTCAGTTTTGCCTGAATTGCTATTTCTGAAATGGCAAAAAAAAAAATTTCCACGGGGTGGGGTCGAACTTGCGACGCTAAAATGATAGCTCAGCTCACTCCAGCTGCTCCATTTCCCTCCTTTTCGTTTTTTTTTTTTCTCGTGGTATTTGATTCTCTCTTTGTTACTAAACTTTTATTTCACACTTTTTTGCTTATATCAACCATTCTAGACTCAGACTCATCATAAAAAAAGCTTTTTGGTCGCATTTAGAATGTCCTAAGCGCTGCGGTCGCGTCGCGGTTGATAGAAGATTTTCAAATATTCATGTACAATGTAGCACCGACCTAAAGCCTTTCTATTCTGTCAAGCGAAAGCCGTTTCGGGTCGGGTGCGCTTCTGAAGCAACCGCGACGCAGCCGCGTCGCGTAGAACCATTCTCAATGCGACCACAAGGTTTTCAGTCGATTTTAATGCTCTATAACACACACTTGAGCTTTGAAATTTATTATGACTGCAAAATATGATTTTTTTTAATTTTAAAATTCTGAAAAAGACTTGGAAAAGTTCCAAAACGATTTTTGAAAGTTAGCTTTTTTTCCCTTCTTCAAACACTGAGATCTAAAAAAACTTTCAAAGGATTAATTTTTTTCGTCGTTTCCACAAATATTGCACACGTCACCGCATAATCAATGATTCCTTTCACAGAAACTTGTTTTTCAATTAAAAATATGCGTATTTCTCATCATTTTTTTCGGGTTCGCCTCCTATTTTTTTAATACCCAAAATAGGCTATTTTTTTCCGTTTTCTAGTGATAAATTGTATGGAAAAAAATAGTTTCCTCCTCTCCGAGACATATCGGAAAACAAAAAAACCTGCAATTTTTCTAACAATTACTTTCAAATTATGGGTAACTCCCAGTCTCTTTCAATCATTTTACTCCAATTTTTCAAGCCAAAAAGTCTTTTTGAAATTCAAAACTTTAGGAATCAATCCAATTGATGCTTTCTTTGTTTTTAGGTTTGGAGCGGAAAATAATAATTTTTTTTTTTGGTCGAATTTGATTGCAAAAGATTTTTGGGCGGTTATTTGTTTGCAGCTCATTTTTGCGTTATTTTTCAGCATCTATAAATTTTTCAGACTTCTCAAATAAGATTCTAGTGGCCACTAAAGGGTTCTCAATTTTAGTCAGGAGACAGTTACAACTTAAGTGGTTAAAATGGAGTTATTTGACCAAAGCTTGATTTTTTTGAAATATTTTATATATGTTGAAGCTCCTGTCTTTCTTAATGAAGTTCAAGTGACCTCTAAAGTGATTTTTCCACTACAGTTCATTTAGTGATCCCTAGAGGGTCCAAATCGAGCTTCAGACACTTTCAGGTAACTATTTTTCGACCCCATCTTTTTTTTAAAGTGGCAACTTAAGTTGTCCAGGTGGACTTAATTGTCCCAAGCTTGACCGTTTTAAAATATTTTATATATTTTATTCATTTTGAAGCTCCTGTCTTTCTTACTGAAGTTCAAGTGACCTCTAAAGTGATTTTTCAACTAAAGTTCATTTAGTGATCACTATAGGGGTCCAAATCGAGCTTCAACTACCTTCCGCTAACTATTTTTCGACCCTAGCTTTTGCAAAAAAATCTCTGATGTTTCGATTCCACTCAGCTAAGTTCAAGTGAGCCCTCAAGTGATTTTATTTTGCTTTTCTGTCTTAAAAACTCGGTTTCTACCTCAATTTCTTCGATCAATAACTTTCACAGACCACTCTAGGGACCACTTCAAGCATCTGTTCAAGCCACTACAAATTTTCCACTCACACGTTTTTTTGAGCTTTCGGTCTTGTTCTGAGAAAAATTTCCGCGGTTTTTGATTATTTTGAGACAGCTCTTGAGAATTTCCTGCTCGTTTTATGACTCCCAAAGCTTTTTTTGTGTTGAAACTGCAAGTTTTATCCTTTATTTCTGTGGAAATTTTGAATTTTTGCTCTTTAAGATTATTTTTTTACAATGAAACGGAAAGTTTGAACCTTTCTTCATGGAATATTGGATTTCTTGGCCTTCAAGCTCCTTTTTTTCCATTAAAACTCCGTTTGAACCTTTCTTCTATATAAATTTCGATTTCTTGCTCTTCAAGCTCCTTTTTTCCATTGAAACTGCCAGTTTCACCCTCTTTTACTATGAAAATTTGCACCTGCTTTTCTTTTCTCAACTGAAAAACCATGTTCCGTTGATCTATCCATTCAAATTTTGAGTTTTTCGATAAAGTTTTCATTTTTTTTTTCTTTGAAATTCTCATACGCCTATTTTTTTCGACTAGACCATCATGTTCCCGTTGATCCAACCAAAAAAGTTTTTCGATGAATTGGCAAGTTTTTACCTTTTTATAAACTTTAACCTATGAAATTTCCACCTGCCTATAATTTCCTCGACTAGACTACCATGTTCCCGTTGATCTACACAATGAAAAACACGAAATTCCATTACTTCTTTTCCAGAAAAATGGCAGAATGCGCCACCCCCGAAACGATGCAAATAATGACGTCATTCGCCACCAACCTCCCCTACGCCGTCCACGTCATCGTCTGCTTGGCAACAGTTGTCCTATCAATTATCGCTGTCCGGATGCTTCTATACCGTTCCATTTTTCATGATTCTACGAGAATCCTCTTTTTTGTCAGCCTTTTCTACGCCAATCTTCACGAGCTCATGCAAATTTATAACGAGGTGAGGGGTTTTTCTCACTTTATGAATTTTTTTTGAGCTGTTTCATCTAAAAAAATGAAGATTCTCTTGATAATGAAAGTCTCAAAGTGCGCTTTTTCTAGTTAGGGAAAGACGGCGAATTTTTTTTTCTTTCTCAATTTTTTTGTTTTCAATTTTCGTTCAACTTTTCAAGCTCCTTTTTTAGTTTCAATGATGAGCTTGACTCAAGTTTATTGATTTTGGTATTTTTCGAATCTTAAAATATTGATTTTTTGCATAGGATTTTGAGAAATTTGTCTTACTCTGAAAATCAGAAGATCATCTAAAAAATAGCAACAAAAATCAATAAATAAAGACCCTGTAGTGTTCCTAAAACTTCTAAGGTACCCCTTAAGGGATTCTGTACCTTCCCATAATATTAGATCGTTGAAAAAGCCGAAAATTTAGAAAAAAAGTCAAAAAAATCAATATTTGGTATTTTTTTAAGTCTATTTTTTTGACTTTTTTTCTAACATGGAATACTATGGGAAGGCACAAAAAAACTCTTAGCACCTTAGAAAAAAATTCATAATAAAGACCTTACAATGTTCCTACAACGTCTAAGGTACCCCTTAAGGGTTTCTGTACCTTCCCATAAAAAAATAATCTTTGAAAAAAAGTTAAAAAAATATTCTTAAAAATAATGCCATCAATTTCTAATCTTTAAGAACTTTGTAAAAAAATTGGCTTTCAAACGGAATTCTAACAGCTTTTTTTGTTCATAAGCCTTCACAAAAAAATCGTGATTTTTTTGATTTTTCCAAAATTTTTTTCAGATTCAAGTACAAAGTTAGAAAGCAAAAAATAACTACTAGATGAAAAATTTTGAATTATCTCGGCATGCTATAAAGTACGGACGTTTAAAAAGTGCGATCGGTGCGTACGCCTATAAAACACGATCGCTTTTTTTGTGCTCCATCGCAAATTTATAAAGTACGGGCGTTTTTTGAATTTTTATTATTCTTTTGAAATAAAAATAATTTTTTTTCTATGGTTTTCTGATCAGTATAGGAAGGTCTCTTATTATTTTTGACATTTTCCAGTTTTTTCCAGGTAACCGCGTTCTACCGAAGCATGATCTATGCCGATGCTCCATGCAAAATTCTGGTTACTCAAGAAAGTTGTCGATTGGAGAATAATCTGATAGTTTCCTCCATAGCGGGCATGGTTTTCGTCGAATGCGCTCTAACGATGGACAGGTTCATTTTATTCATTTTTGCTTTCAAATTTCAAGATTATTCAGAATAATCGCCACCTACTCCCTCAAGAAATCCGTCACAATGTCATCATCTTCAGGATTCGTTCTAGCATTAGCTGCGGTGAGAATAAATAAATTGCCCCCCCTTGGCATGCCAATCTTCAGTAATCCATAATGTCGTTTTTATTACTGTAGTATTACGGTGGCCTGGTCTACTGTGGTATTACTGTAGTGTTACTATAGTCTTACTGTAATTTGGGTTACTGCAGGATGGCATGCCAGGGGGTGTGGTGTGTAGTAGCGTAGTATTACTGTAGCTTGGGGTACTGTAGTCTTACTGTAGTTAGGATTACTGCAGGATGGCATGCCAGGGGTGTGGTGTGTAGTAGCGTAGTATTACTGTAGTATTACTGTAGCTTGGGGTACTGTAGTCTTACTGTAGTTTGAGTTAGTGTAGGATGACATTTCAGGGGGTTTGGTGTGTAGTAGCGTAGTATTACTGTAGTATTACGCTAGCTTGAGGTACTATAGTCTTACTGTAGCTTGGGTTACTGTAGGGTAGCATGCCAAGGAGGGGAGGCGGCATAATCTACTAGAATAATCCTTTTCATCAACGAAAATCAAAACTTTTTCAGATAATCGGCAGTATTCTCGTCCCATTTATCACCTTCTACGGTGACCCCTACACTGGATACGTACAAAATTGCATGTTAATGCCGGCTCAGAGCAAAAACCGCGCCAATACTCTACTTTTCTGTTACACTATCATAAACATTGTGAATATCGCCCTAAACTCCGTTATTATTTATATCAACAAGCGACAAGATCGAGGGTTAGTCCCTTTTTTCCAAAGGGCACTTTCGAAATTATAGCTATTTGTGAGTCAAAGCAACTGATAGGGGGTTTGAGGCTTCTTGGAAAAAGAAAATTTCCGATTTTCTTTCTAGTATGTAGCTGCGAAAGAAAAAGTACAAGGCTCTAAAAAATAAAATTGAACGCATTAACAATGATCGTAAGCGTCGCGGTCGCGTTGCGGCTGACATTAGGTAACTGAAACGCAAGTCGTTTTAAGTCGGATGTATTAGCCATTCACCTTGCGACCAAAGGAAACTGAGTATTTCTCATGACTTGAAGCCTTCATTTTAGTATAATCAAAAGCGTTGCGGCTGACATTAGGTAACAAACGCGCAAGTCGTTTCAGGTCGGGTGCACTTTAATATTAGCTATTCACCTTGCGACCAAAGGAAACTGAGTATGCTACTCTTTTCCGCAAGGCCCTAGTTTGAAAACTGCCCCCAGGCGTCGCGGTCGCGAAGCGGTTACATCGAATAATCTGTTATCCTAATACCACAACCCGAAAGTAGTTTCTAGTCGGGTGAAGCAACTAATAAATACTTCATTTGACCGTTTCGCAACCGCAACGCTTTGAGGAAGTTTTCGCAAAATCAGAGTTTTTAAGCACCCGACCAAAAACTACTTTCGCGCTGTGGTATCCTCCAGCATAGAAACAAGCTTGAAACAGGCCGAAGATTGAAAAAAAAAAGCCTCTCTTTTTTCAACAGCCGAACCGCAGCGCAACCGCAACGCGTCGAGCCATTCCAAGCCGTTTTTAAAAATTTAATCAATCTAAATTTGTACCTCAAAATCTATATGGTTTAATAGTTGATTTCATCCAGTTGTACTTTCAAAAAAAGCCCAAGAATGAGAAAATAATCGAGAAAAATTTCAGGACTCGCTTCAAGTTAAAACTACGATACCAGGCTCGAGAAACCCTTATCTCAACTTTGGCCGTTTGTACCATCACGACGGCTCAATTTATAGCATTGGCTATTTATTCCGGCGGGATTTTGCTCATGAGAACTAATCAGGATCATTTCACGTTATTCGCCTATTTCGCAATCATTCCTTGGGTTTATGTGAGTATTTTTCATATTCTGCTTTGAAAATCGCTTTCGATATAGCTCAAGCCTCACTTGAAAAATCAGAGATTTGAGATTAGAAAAAAAAAATTGAGAAAAAAGTTATTTACTGGGGGCTAGACAAGTTTCACCCTTAAAACAATAATGTTAATTGTTCATCTTGAAATTAAAAATATGTTGTAGGATTTTTTTCTCTCGCATATTGAAGACCTAACATCTCAGATGGACCAGTTTACTGAAAAATGGCAAAAAAAAATTTCCGCCGGGTGGATCCGAACCTGCGCTACTAAAACCTTATTGAAATCCTCATCATTTGTATAAATTTTCATTTTTATTTTGCAAAGAGTTTCCCATGTTCATTTTTTTGTAAGTCCCAAGCTAGTTGGTTCAATCTGAACTTGGGACGCTGAGAGGCGAGACACTGTCTGCGCTCTCCACCAACTAGACGCTATCTCTCCGTTTTAATCGTGCCAAGACCCTTTTTCGACGGCTCAAGCCTTGACCATAAGGATCTTTAGCTTCCAATTAAAAATGAACCACATCTTAGCCTTTCCCACCAATTTTCTCTTCATTTTTCCCAATTTTTCAGGCGGTTCCCTACGCGGCCATCTCCCTGCCAACCTTAATAATCGTTTGCGTCAGTATCACCGGGAAAGACCGACGTCGAGCTATCGAAGTCGTCCAAAACACCAAGGAAACCCAAGAAGGCCGAATGAAAAGCCTCAACGAGATGTGGAACAACTCTTATTGATCATTCCTTCAAAATTATTTACGGGTGTCATTTGATGACTTGCAAATGTAAATATCGTTGCAAATTTATTACATTTCTTTGTTGTTGTTTTTTATTGAGAAAAATACATTTTTGATCGCTTAAACGTTATATTGCTTTTTGCAGTGTGATTGAGTTGCACGTTTTGGAAAAACTAATGAAAAAAGGAAAACCTCAACAAAAAGGGGGTTAGAGCATTGAGAATTGAATTTGAACCGAATCCTTTTCTATCTTATTCTTAGGAATTTCAGAGTGGTCCCTATAGGGGTCTGCGGGGATAACAGGCCCTCTAGGGATCGAAAAGCGGTTCCTATAGGGGTAAAATCAAGTTGGTCCCTATAGGGGTTTAGGAAAGATGAAAAATCGAGTAGCATGTCTTCTATAGGAACCACCTTTACAAGGTTTAGTGGTCACTATAGGGGTTGGTAAAGTGGCCCCTTGAGGGGACCATCAAAAGGCTCCTAAGGTTGGCAGTATAGGAACCTTTCTCGGGTTCCTAAACCAATAGAAAGCCCGTAAAAACTGAATTCTAAGTTCCCCTTCATAGTAGAGTTCACCAAACCGATCATTCAACCATTTCAATTGATCAAACTATTGACATGTCACTGTTCAACCAAATTTTAACATGTCATTTTTTGAGAGATCGTTTATTAGATCAGTTTTTGATCTCTTACATTATTGATCAGTCATTGGATTTTAACTTTTTGATATATCGATATTTCGACCAATATATTCAATACAACATTTCGATCAATCATTTTTTGACCAATATTTTCAATACAACATTTCGATCAATCATTTTTTTGACCAATATTTTCAATACAACATTTCGATCGATCATTTTTTTCGACCAATATATTTCAATACAACATTTCGATCAATCATTTTTTTGACCAATATTTTTCAATACAACATTTCGATCAATCATTTTTTTGACCAATATTTTTCAATACAACATTTCGATCAATCATTTTTTGACCAATATTTTTCAATACAACACTTTCGATCGATCATTTTTTTCGACCAATATTTTCAATACAACATTTCGATCAATCATTTTTTTGACCAATATTTTTCAATACAACATTTCGATCAATCATTTTTTTGACCAATATTTTTCAATACAACATTTCGATCAATCATTTTTTTGACCAATATTTTTCAATACAACATTTCGATCAATCATTTTTTTCGACCAATATTTTTCAATACAACATTTCGATCAATCATTATTTTTGACCAATATTTTTGAGCATAAAATTTTGATCGATCGAAATTCCGAGCGATCGATTTTCAAAACAGATCGCTCACACGGGACAGGTTTTCGGAGTAATAGTAAAAAGGTGAAAATATTTCATTTTTTCCGACAAATTAAAGTTTTGCATTTTTCTTGAACTTATTTGTTATAGTCTATATGGCATTGTAGAAATTTTTGCAGAAAAACGATGATGATATTTCGTTACGGAAATTATGATGAACATTTGAAAGAGAAGCGGTTTTTTTAAACAGTAGTTTTTGAACATACTTTTTAACAAAAAAATTCATTTCGATCAATCATTTTTTTCGACCAAATTTCCAATAAAAAAATTTCGATCAATCATTTTTTTGACAAAATTTTCAATACAAAAATTTTTGATCTATCATTTTTTTCGACCAATATTTTTAGTCATAAAATTTTTGATCAATCATTATTTCGACCAATATTTTCAATACAACATTTCGATCAATCGAAAACTGAACGATCGATTCAAAATGATCTCTCATTTAAATGAAATTTTGACATGTCGGAAAAACGAGAGATCATAATCATGAGGCATGTTAATCGTTCGGTAGCAAGAAATGTTAATCAATCATATTTTTGGTAACATGTCATGAAAATATTGGTTGAACGTTTGGTCGAACGATCGGTTTGGTGAACTCTACTTCATAGGTCAAGAACAATCCCAACTTTTCGAGTCTTCTTTTATCCGATTAAAAGGCTTCTTGTCATTTTTGTTATAAATTTTCAGGACCGCAACGCGACCGCAACGCCTCGAGCCATTCCAAATGCGAACATTTATAATCAGAATGACGAACCATTCCAATTTAGCTCAACTAAAACTTCCTTAACGACTTCTTACGTTCCACATTGAAGGGCGTAAAACAATTTGCGTAATATATTAGGCGGGGAATTATGCAGAAATTCAATTTTGTCTTCCGAGTGACTTTTTTCTTTTCCTTTTGAACTTATAGTATCGGAGTTTTTATTCTAACCATTCATTCTGGTAAATTTAATACTTCACAAGAAAAGTCGCATTTGGAACAGTAATAATGTTTTCCAATGTCATCGCGCGGAAATCGTTTTTGGTCGGGCGCACAAAGTCATTGTATTTTTTTGAAGTTTTCTCAATTTTTATATTTTTTTTTTCATCTTCATACTGCTTTTTTGCTTTATTCTGAGTTCAATCTTGAAGTTTTCCAAGTTCTATTTTCTCAAGCAGAACATCTAGAATGTCTTATTTCAGCACAAATCCCACAAAAACTTGAATTTTTCCTGGTTTGATGAAGAAATATCAAACTTCACGTTCTTTTGCACAACAGGAAAAATTCTAATTCGCTAAAATCACGTAGGAAGTTGCTAAAATGACCTTCAAAACCTATTTTTCATTAATTATTTCTGGTGGAATGAACAAATCTTGAACCTTTGCCTAGTCTTTCTGCAAAATAATCTCTCGAATCTGCCAAAATTAGACAATAAATTGCTAAAATGACCTTCAAAAACCTATTTTTTTCATTAATTATATCTGGTTGAATGAACAAATATTGAACCTTCGCCCAGCCTTTTGCAAAATAATTAATTAAACCTGCAAAAACCAGATAATAAATTGCTAAAATGACCTTCAAAAACCATATTTTTTTCATTAATTATTTCTGGTGGAATGAACAAATATTGAACCTTTGCCTAGTCTTTCTGCAAAATAATCACTCAAATCTACAAAAAACCCGCAGAGCCTTGTTAAACGACCTTTAAAAAGTACTTCTCATAAACTATTCCTGGATGAATGCACTAATGATGATCTTTGCATCGTTTTCGAGCCTTTTTCCAGGTTTTCCATCGAAAATCTAGCGTCACTTGATGACAAAACCTCATTTTCAGCGCTAATCAATTAAGATGAAACGTCTGGCCTTTCAGTTTCTCATTGGGTGATCATTAATGAAGTTTTTGAAAAACTTGTCATTTTCATTTATCAAGATTCAATACTCGTTGCTGCTCTAGAAAAATCAAAAAATGGCTGAGAAATACCTTTTTTGGCGAAGAAAAATTTTTCGACATAATTCAATTTCTCATCAAAAAGAGTTGAAAAAAGTTCAATTTCGGGAATTTTCTCAATACTTTAGTCGTTAAGATAGTCTAGATTTTTTTTTCCGACCCTAAAAAAATTTTTGAAATTGACCAGTCTTTTAATTTTTTCTGGACTCAGCTTCAAAATGGAATTTTTCCAATTTCCCTGGCCCAAAAAAATTCACTCGAAAAACTTTCAAAAAAATATTTTTAAATATCACTTTTTGCTGATTTCTACAAAGAAGCTTGACTATAGAATTTACATTTTTCATCTTCTGATTGTTTCAAAAAGCTTTCTCAGACATCAATGCGACTCATTCCCAAGATTAAATTAATTCTTGAAGCGCTGTGATTAATTAATTAGCCATTCTTGAAAATAATGGTCCAAGTCGTTCAAATACCAATGGAACCAGTTTCATTTCAAATAACGGAATTCAAATTTGAAGATTTTTCACTGCGTTTTCATTAAATACTATCATTTTTGAACTACTCATTTTGAAAAAAACAAAAATTCAAAGTTTACACGGCATTCCTAATGGTGTGAGGGAAGGTGAGCGAGGCGTCAAATTTTCTGAATTTATAAAAAAAATTTAGTGCGCGCTACGGATAAAATGCACTGAGTATCATACGTTATTAACTTGTTTGTTCGATCGCCTTCGGCTGTGTACTGTAGATTTCAAATTTCGCGCCAAATTTTTTTTTGACGTCTCGCTACCCCGTTTGGGAACACCGTGGTTTAGAAGAGTACAGCTTCAGTTATACTTGCTTTTTTGATGGATAAATACGTTTTTTTTTTCAAAACGTATGATTTGAAAAGAAAGAATGCATATGATGACTAGAAAATTCGTCCTTAAATCCCTTTTTATCGTCAAGATTCAGTTCAATGTTGGATATTCTCTTCGAAATTGCACCTGTGCTACAAGATATAGCAATGCGCAAGTAGCTTCTAGTCGGGCGCATCGAAAAATTGAGCCATTTTAAATTCTGCAATCAGACTTCCATTCTGCCACAACCAAAATTCGAAAAAAAAAGTAAAATTTCTCTTGGCGTCGTAAATTCGCTTATCCCTTCCAATTTCCGGGCAAAATTTAATCATATTTTTTTATTTTTTTCTTTTTCTTCTTTTCTAGAGCTTTTTGATAATTATTTTTCTTTCAAAAAAATGGTCTCCAATCCGTTCCAAAAACTTACGACGAATTGAATTTTTTTTTTCTGAAAACAGGTGAAATTTTTTAGTTTCGTCGGTTTTAAAAAACGAAAGATTAATTTTCCAGACAAATGGGGTAAATAACCACATTTAGCCTAATTTTTCGATATTTTCGAATAAGTTTGGCTGATTTTTTCGTCGATTTTTCAATTTCGAGCCTCAAAGAGAAAATCATTAATTTTTTCGGTCACAATATTCTTTTTATAACGTCGCCTAAATTGAATTGTCTGAGGGGCATTTTCCCAGGAAACTTGTAATTCAATTGTTTTCGTAATGGTCTTTCTCTCTCTTGACGATTTGATTCTTAAATAAGCTTTGTGATGTTTTAAATGCACTTTTTGCGTTCTTGCTCAATTTAATACGAAAATCAAGTTCTCCATGTTGATTTAATGTTCAAACACGTTAATCAAACCTATTTTTAATCGGAAATCATGATTATTTTTGATTGGATGTTGAAATAAACTGATTAAATTTTCTAGATGTTTTATAAAGCAAATTAGATCTCACGTGAGGATTATATTAAAATGTGGGATGACTTTTAAAATCATTTGCAACTTAATGGATTTCGAAATGGACTTTCTTGATTTTTATAGATAACTTTCGATGTTAAAGGTCTCTCGAAAAACTCCCTTTTTCAGGCATTTAAAAAAATTATTTGATTCTGAAAAACTGAACTTTAAAGAAAGGTAAAATACAAGAGCTCAAAATTAAACTAGATTCTGTTTCAGTATCTATATTTTTCAATCAATAATTGAGGCTTTTTTTTTTCAAATTTGACTTAAAAACGTGTCCGTTGAAGCTACTTCCTTAATAAATTTTCAAAGAACCTTTTTCCTGATTTCGAAACTTCTAAAACCAAAAAAGGTCTCTGATGCCAATATGTCTAATTGGCTTATTCACTTTTCAGGAAACTTTATAAAGAGAGCAAAAAAAACTTTTCTGGATGAATTGGTGTTGAAATGAACCAACTTTCTGATTATGAATTTTCATTGTCTGATGTTGAAATTTGTTCATTTTTGTTTTTAGACCTCATTGAAGTTCATAAACCCTTGCTGAAATGTTTAAAAAAGCATTATGTCCTCTAAAAACAGCTCTTCGCTTCGAGACTTTCTCGAAAAGTTCCTAAGCCGTTCCGAACTTGTTGGTAAGCTTTTTTGTGCCCGATATATTCCATATCTTATCTTTCACCTCAAATTCAAAATCCCCTTTTTCTTCGCGTTGAAAAATCTACTGAATTCGCCACAACTTGAAACCGTCTGCTTTCTTGTCTTCTCTCATCTTCGCATGTTATTTTCGCTTCAATGAGAGAAAATAGAGCGCAGACGGGTTCAGACTGTTTCAAGTCGCGGTGAATGGACTATGTATCTCAGGTAAAAGTTGGAAAGTTTCTGCTTTTCGGAAGACATTTGGAAGCATTCCAGAAAATGATAAAACGCCTCAACGTAACTTCCCAATACCTTCTACCTAGAAAAAGCCTACCGGAAGCCTTCCAGCAGGCCTTTGGAGGGCTTCTGGCAGGCACTTCCATCATTTTTACCTTCCAACTACCTTTCGAACTTCCAAAAATCTTCTCAAGACCTTCTAGCACCCATTTAACTTTCAACCTTCTGCTGGTTTCCTTCCCAACACCTTCTAATTAGAAAAAGCCTACCGGAAGCCTTCCAGCAGGCTACTGGCAGGCATTTTTCATTTTTACCATCCAAAGACCTTCCCAAAACCTTCTATCTTTCATTTTCCTTCCAACCTCCTGCTGGATCCCTTCCTGACACCTGCTACTTAGAAAAAACGGCTGGAAGCCTCTCAACAAGCTTCTGGAAGGCTACTTGCAGGCATTTTTCATTTTCACCTTTCAACTGCCTTCTGAAAACCTTCCAAACACCTTCCCAAGACCTTCTAGCTTCCAACCTCCCATACCTTCCAAAGATTTATCTGAGTATGTAAGAAATTGCAAAGATTATGCGACATCAACTATGAATCGAAACTTCTTGGCCGCATTTGGAATGGCTATGAGAATTTCAGAAAAGATGACGGATTGTGCCACTCCGGAGACGTTACAACTGATGAGATCATTATACGCGACTCTACCCTGCCTGTTCCACGTCATCGTCTGTCTAGCCACCTTCATTTTATCTATTCTAGCCGTCCGTATCTTACTATACCGTTCCATATTCCACGAATCTACGAGAATTCTCTTTTTCGTCAGCCTTTTCTACGCCAATCTACACGAGGTCATGCAAGTTTACACCGATGTAGGTCCCTGGACGTTATTAAAAAACGATCATTTCTTTAATTTTCAAGCTGAACACCTTCTACCGAGCCATAAAGTACGCTGACTCTCCCTGTGAATTTCTAGTTTCTCAAGAAAGCTGTAAAATCGAGAATAATCTGATAGTTTCCTCCATAGCAGGCATGGTTTTCATCGAATGCGCTCTCACGATTGACAGGTTCTTTATAATCGGATAACCTATGAAAATGATGATTTTTCAGAATAGTCGCTACTTATTCTCTCAAAAGATCCATTTCGATGACTAGCAGCTCAGGAGCCGTCCTATCATTGGCTGCGGTAGGAAAAAACCAACTACATTAATTGAACTGAAGATTTTCAGATTATCGGCAGTATCCTGGTACCTTTCGTCACCTTCTATGGGGATCCTTACACAGGGACCGCCCAAACTTGCATTTCGATGCCGGCTCAAAGTAAGGCGCGAGCCAATACTTTACTGTTAATTTATGCTATCATAAATATCGTGAACATTGTTTTGAACTCGATTCTTATCATTATCAACAAAAGACAGCAACGCAGGTTGGTTTCTCGCTTCTTTTTTCTAGAAAATTTTCTCACGAATTTTTATTTTCGTTACACTTGATTCAGAGACATCCTATGAAGAAACAAAATTTTTGATCTATCTTAGAATATAGAGTGTTCAAACAAGATTGTTCGGGTAGTATAGTCGTATAGCTACCATTTTTACCAGGAACTTGTCACAGCTAAAGTGAAACTTCTGAAAAGAGACCAGATATTCCAAATCATGATGTTTTTACAAGCTTTTAATGAATCTGTGCTCAAAACTTCCAGACGTCTTTGAGAAAAGCCGCAGCCACTCAAAGTGTGCAAAAATCGGCCCGCCAGCCTATAGACCCTGACCATTTTCTATGCCCGCCGGTCTCTAGCAAAAAAAAAAGCCGGCGCAGTCCAAAAAACTGAAATTTCCTTCCTGTCAAATATAAAGCTTTTATACAACAAAAAATCAAGTTTTTGGTTTTTTTTTGACTTCTAGGTCAACAGAAACTATGATTGAAAAAGTGAAAAAAAAATTTCCGATATTCAAATTTTTTTGAAGTATGGCTCAAGTTCTCAAAAATGAGGGCATATCCTGACGCACAGTGAAAGCTTATTAATTGTTCGGAAGCTGTCATTTTTTATAAAAAGAGAAGGGAAAAAATGTCTGCACCATTGGAAGTTTAGAATATATTACTCAGTTTTAAAACCCGTTAGCCGTTTTTGAGAACAGGCTTAAAATACGAAAAAATTTCAGCTTGTAACTTCAACTTAACATCAAAAACTTATTCAGGACCCGATTCAACATCATGTTACGGTACCAAGCTCGCGAAACGCTCGTCTCGACATTGGCCGTTTGTACCATCACAACGGCTCAATTTATCGCCTTGGGAGTGTATTCTGGCGGAATGTTGTTCATGAGAACCCATCGCGAATTGTTCACTCAACTACAATACTATGTGATCGTCGTTTGGATTTATGTAAGTTATACATCAGTCTGACTTTTCTGTGTCTCTTTTCTTACTCCGGCAAGATCGTAGATACATGGAAAGCGTGTGTAATAACGAGAGGACGTAGAGAAACCAGATTGATCAAAGTCATGGCGAATGGTGTTTAAAAAATAGCCAATGGCTAGCTTGGGACGCTAAAGGGCGTGCACTGTCTGAGCTCTCCACTAACCAGGTGCTGTCTCTTTTTTTCGTGTCAGGACCTTTTTTTTATGGCTCAAGCCAGTCTTGAATCAGCTATGAACGGAATGGATGTGTGAGTTCTTACTCAAGACGAAAAATCTCCTGACTCGAGTCCCAGTCCAGAAGCACTTCTTTCTAACTTCAATTCCTAAATAACCCGACTTTTCAGGCAGTTCCATACGCCGCCATCTCCCTACCACTCTTAATAATCCTCTGTATCAACATCAATGAGAAAAATCGACGTCAGGCCATCGAAAACGTGAAAAATCTGAGAGACTCTCAAGAAAACCGGATGAAAAGTCTTAATGCAATGTGGAATAGGGCTCATTAATCGATTCATTCCGATTTGGTCGCACTTGGAATGGCTCAAACCATTGATTCAAGTCACGCCCGACTCGAAACTACTTGCGCTTTTTGACATTATACAGTAAGCCGCTGAGCCATTCCAAGTGCGACTAGCCCGATTCGACTTGATTCAAATTAGGTATTGAAGAATTGAAGGAAAACATAAAAATTCGATTTTCGATTCCCTTACCCAAGACAACGACGGGTCTTTTCATTTTTTTGAAATTTGATAGGTATTTATACCCTTTTTTGTTATTCCTACCATTTTTATAAATAAATGTTTGATTCCTTGATTCTTGAGCTCGTGAAAACAAGCCAATTCACGGCCGGAACGAAATTAAAGGCCGAAAATGGCATTTTTGGCCGAGAGCCTTTGCCAAATTTGTCCGAATGAGCAAGATATACACAGCCTTTCTCTCCGCTCTCTCTATTTTATCCACTATTTCGCTGAGAAAAAAATTGACTAACTCTGAAGTATACGTAAGAGAAACCTCTTAAAAAAAGAAGTTCTTAAACCTCTCATTATTTTTCTTTCTCACATCCCATTATCAGGAAAAATTATAGGGAGTTTCATATCAAACGTGGAAAAAATTCCATGTCGCGTCCACTTTTTAACTCATGCTTTATTCAAAAAATTGAATTTTAACTTGATTTTTGTTGTCAATTTTTTGTCCCGTTGTTTTTTCTGCAAGTTCTGGGTCCAATTGAATCAACCTTTCTCCCTCTTTCTAACTCAATTCAACCTCCAAACGGCATTTTTTTAGAAGTTTTTTTGATCGGAAATGTGCGCCCGCTGAGTAAAAAAAGCTTTACGTTTGTTTTTAAATATTTATCCCGAAAATTTTTTCACAAAAAGCTTAAATATGAATTTTCGCAAAACTGATTTTTCCTTTTTATTTGATTTTTTTCAACTTTCCTTTGTTCGAAAAACATTTTTCAGTGTGTAGAATGTTAATTTCTCCCGCTCAAAAAATAGCAAAAAAGACGAACCTAGCGTGGATTCGAACTCATGACCTCTCAAACGATATACAGTCCTTTTGTCACTGAGCCACCCATCCTACACCCGATCAATGCTTAACCAACCGAGCTCGAAACCTAAATTTTTGGAATTAGGTGAATCAGGAAAATAAGACTTCTTTAGAAAATTGCTTTATATTTGATCAACTTACTTCAAAATTCCTCCAGAAGATCAAATTTAACAACTTTTTTCTTAAATTTCCATGAATATATTTCAAAATTTCCCTTTTTGTCACATGTTTTCTTAAAAACTTGTAACCGGGAACCTAGAATTACCACGAAATTTTCCTGGTTTTTGAACTTTTTTTCCCCTGATCGTCTGTTTGAAAAAAAAGCTCTCAGATAGAAAAAAAGACAAAGTTGAATTTTTTCTGAATTTCCTGCCCCTACATATTGAAAAAGCAAGCTTATACGTATTTTTTTATTGAACGATAATAGTTCGAACTTTTGAGAAAAAATCCTTAAATGAGAGAAAATAAAAGGACAAAGTTCCCCAAACAAGTTAAGCCGAAAAAAGAGCACCCTTTTCGGAAAAAAAGTTCAATTCCACGTACTCATCCCTCCTGGATATGTGCTTAATACTCATTCCTCCTACTTCGATTTCTTCATTCAAGTTCCTCTTTTAATGTGTTTTTGATTAAGTTTATCTCGCTTCCAATTTGAAGAAATGGGTCGCATGAGGAATGGCTCGACGCGCGTCCGACCTTAAAACGACTTGCGCTCGCTAGGACCTTCTGAGCTCATAGTTGGACTTCTGAGAACGACTAAGTTCGCTAGATGCAGTTTTTACCGCTGAATCCATTTCTGAGCTCGAAAACAGCCAAAAACCTATAAGGAAAAAGTTATGAACACTTGAAAAAAACCCGTCTTTTTGACGTCACTTTTGTGAGGTGGATGAGGCTAGTAGATCGACTTTTTTAAAAAATTAGTTGAGCCAAGATAAGGTTATCACAAGCTGAGAACCTTTCCGGTAACTTCAAAACACAGCTTCAAAATCACTAGGAAAAAAACCAGGAGACCCAACTTTATTCGAAAATTACCTGGGAGCTCAGTCCGCAACGCTTCTGAGCCATTCCTAATGCGACCAAAAATATCAATTCGTGGTAAAAGGACCATACTCTTCCTTTGTTGACTCCTGCTTTACTATCTCATGTGCTCATTTTGCCGTGACTTGAAAAATTCTGACTTGTCTGCGCTCTCTCTTCCCTCATCTGTGAGGTAAATGAACAGTAGAGAGAAAAGGGCGCAGAGAAACCAGAATTTTCCAAGTTTTGACATTTTAGAGCACGATTGAACCTACAATGTCGGAATGCGCATCGCCGGAGGCGATGGAAATGATGACGTCATTTTGTGCGCATCTCCCCTACATCCTACACGTCTTCATCTGCCTAGCTACCATCATTTCATCTTGTATAGCTTTTCGAATGCTTCTGTATCGTTCCATATTCCATGATTCTACCAGAATCCTCTTCGTCGTCGGCCTTCTTTATGCCAATCTCCATGAGGTCTTGCAAGTTTATTATGAGGTAAGACTGAAAATTAAAAAAAAAATAACACAGTTGATTTTTTGACCTATCTTACACCTATAGTCTGTTCAGATTTTGAATGTCAAGTTGTCGTTCAAGCTCCGCCCCTATCAGAGCGATAAACCAATCAGTGAGCGAGCCATCCACAGAGTGTTTTTGAATGACCTCATTGCACTTGACATTTAAAAATCTGAACAGACTATAGCTTTCAGCTCCGAAATTCCTAAAAAAAAATCGATTTTCGCCTCAAAACTTCATAAAAATCTTCTATGCTGCTCCTTTAATAACTCAGTAAAGCAAAAAATCCTTCCTCCTTTTTCTGATTTTCCAAACGATTATTTTCAACATTCTCCAGATCTCCGGCGTTATCCGGAGCGTTATCTACGCCGATTCTCCTTGTGAAATCTTGGTCCCTCAAGAAAGCTGTCGAGCCCAAAATAACCTTCTAGTTTCCTCCATATCAGGCATGGTTCTCGTCGAATGCGCTCTAACGATAGACAGGTTCATTTTTCTTCAAAACTACCTAAAGCAACGTCAGAGTGGTCCCTATAGGGGCCCTCTAGGTTTACCCCTTCACCTTCCCCTACAGGGATCACTAAAGCTTGCAAAAGTGGTCCCTATAGGGGAACATGCCGGTTATTCCTTTTTAAAAACCTTTGAGAAGAAGTTAGCTATAAATTAGTACTTTTTGAAACTTTTTATTTTCCAAACCTGAACGAAAAGTTCAAAGACCCTGTAGAGACCATTTTAGCGCATTTCATTTCAGAATAATCGCCACTTATTTTCTCAAAAACTCGTCCTCGATGTCTACAACTCCCGGGATCGTCCTATCCTTCGTTGCGGTAACAATTATCAAGCTTTATCGACTTGGATCAATTTTTCAGATCTTCGGCAGTATTCTAGTACCTTATGTCACCTTTTACGGGGACCCTTACACAGGATACGTCCAAAATTGCATGTATATGCCGGCTCAGAGCAAGGACCGAGCCAATACTTTACTATGTTGCCTATTAATTCTCAACGTTTTCAACATATTCCTAAACTCGGTTATTATCTACATCAATAAGCGGCAGGATCGGGGGTAAGTTACCTGTATAATCAATTCATGAAATTCTCACCTGAGAAGGCGGATAATCAGTAGTTTTGGTGAAACAATGGGACTAATAAGAGGTTTTTGAGCAAGATGAAAAGGTCACTTCTCTTTTGGACACTGTAATTTTCTTTTCGGAAGCTTAAAAAACGTATATAATTATGGAGGAAAGTTGAGAAAATTTTACTCTCAAAATTTGGAGCTAAAAGAATAGGAAGTGTTTAAAAAAAATCAAAAATTAAATTTAAAGCCCATTGAACTTTAAAACAACTTGAAAGCTTTCGAAAAACTGGAGAGCCCAAAAGTTATCAAATTTAAGGTTCGAAGGTCAAAAACACGGTCATAAATCCCCTAAAACCTTTGGATTTGAAAAATGAGACATTACTCAAAAATATTATCAATTCTATAACTTCAATTTTTATTCTGGAAGCCATAGGAACAAAAATTTATCAACTTTTCTATTTGTAAAGCTTAAAATTTGAAAAATTAGAACGGAGCTCTCCTAAAAACCTAGAAATCGGATAATTCATCAACTCAGGTACGCCAGAGTAGTCCCTGAAGGGACACTCTAAAGTTCCCCTCTAGGGACCACCATAAGCCTCAAACCCCTACTGGGACCACCTAAATTTCGTCCCTATATATCCTCTGCATTATACCCTAGACGTCAAAAACTAATAGGAAGCCTTTTTTTTTATTCCTTTTAGGCTCTTTTTTCCCCTGACCCCTCTAGGGACTAGAGTTCACCAAAAAAAAAAAAAACTCTTCTTAGACGTGTTTTGTCCGACAACAAAGCCATCAAACAAGCTCATGCTGAGCTTGAACTTCGTTTTGCCGACCTCATCAAGCAAAATGCCACACTTATCGCCCAATGTACGCTCCTGAATGCAGAGAACCAAGTGCTCCTAGCGGAAAACAAGACTCTCAAGCTGTCCTTTCCGATAAGTTCAACCTCTATGCCATCTACAGCCACTCCTCAAGACCAGCCGTCTTCGGTTCCCGAAATTGTTAAATTGTCTTCACGTGTCAAACTCTCCAGAGAAGTCGCTTCTATGAACCAGAAAAGTTACCTGGCCGTTGTCGAACGCCTCGACGACTCCAAAGACAAAAAACAAGACGACTCCGACAAATCTTTCATCAACGACGTGTGCATCGAAGCCGAACTGCCCTGTCCGATTGAAGTGTTCCGACATGAATGTGACTCCAAACGTCGACCTCTAAAAATCAAGTTTGAATCCACACGGGTTCGTGATCTATTTATCCGTCGTTTCCGGCATACACTTGAAAACATGCCGTTTTCACAAAAAATTGCTCCTCGCTGCCGTAGAGATATGACGCTTACTGAATTGTCCTTATTACGCAGCTTGAGGAAAAAAGCCTATGAAGATAACGTTAAAGCGGGAATTTTCAAGTTTTACGTGCGCGATTTGGAAATCGTTGAGTCGGACACTCCCAGACCGTTTACAGTTTGGTCTCGTGAAGATGACGCGGCGCCAACCAAAAGTGACGCGCCCGCCGTAAACAAGACTCCCGCGCCCGAGTCCTGTGCCATGGAGGCATAGGTCAAAACTTCTTCAGCGCTTGCCGAATACACCTCGGTCATTTCGTCCACTCTCCCCCCACTCCTTCCCGCCATCCGTGGTCAATTTGATTCTCATCCTCCTGATTTACTTTCTACCCCCCGAACGGATGGTTTGGACGTGGTTGAGCCCTTCATAGCGGCTCCATCAGTTTCGCGGCCCGATCTTTTTTCTACTCATGTATATGATATTTCGTCTGATGTGAATAATATTTTTTTAAACTCTAACTCTAATGTAAATTCTATAAATTCTAATGTGAATAATAACTCTAATGTGAAAAAAGTCGAATCTTTTGACCTCAAATGTTTACTCATTAATACTAGATCAATTTTGTCTCTCTCTAAACTCAATATCTTACTTAACTATCTCGATTCGGAAAATTATGACCTTTGTTTCATTACTGAATCGTTTTTGAATTCCGCGTTTGTTGATGCTTTACTTGCTAACGAGTTTTTTTTACATATACGTTGCGATCGGCGTCCGGAACATTTCAAAAAGTCTGGAGGCGGAGTGCTCATGTTCTACAAAAAACACCTGAAAGTTGTCGAGTTGGATAACAGGTTGGATCAGTTTTATCTGAAGCATTACTGCGAGCTTGTATCTTTTGACTTAATTTGCCCAGGACTTAAATACCGTTTCACTCTATTTTATAGAGCACCAGATGCTAGAGCCGAGTTCACTAATTATCTCATCAATAACCTCTCTCTACTTTTGAGCCCTTATAACAACATAATATTAGGTGATCTAAACTTACCTAATATCTGCTGGAGCGGTGACTCTGCTAGCTTCAATAACACATTTTTTCAATTCTCTAGTAACAACGGTCTCAGTCAAGTTGTTGACTTTCCAACACGCATTGCTTCTTCTGGTAGCAGGTCTATACTTGATGTAGTTCTCACTGATTGCTCAAACTTTATACCGTCCATATCCCCAGTTCATCCACCAATTGTTACAGATCATACAGGAGTTTCTTTTAACTTGAAAATGGCTTCCATGCATCCGTCTCCTCCTCATTCCCCAAAAATTGATTATCGGAAAGGTAACTACGTAGCCATCAACAATTTTCTCCTCACTCGGAACTGGGATCGACAGTTGTCATATTTTTCTTCTGTAGAAAACAAGTACCAACATTTAACAAAAGTTGTCAACGAACTTATTGTACAATTTTGCCCTCTTAAAATCCCTTATCATTCTAATTCAAATCGTTGGAGTATTAGACGACTTATTCGAAAAAGAGCTAATTTGAGAAGGCGAGAGCGTCACCTCTCAAATGCTAACAGTTCACTTTCTTTATTAAGAAAGAAAGTCTCACGCCTCCTCAAACGCCAAGAACTCAATGTAATTAAATCTAATAATTCGAACAAAATTGTAAGATATGTTTCCCGAAAAATGAAACAAGTTCCCTCTCTGCCTCCTCTACTGGTTAATGACGTAATCTATAGCTCCACAGCCGAAAAATCCACCGCTTTTCTCAATGTCTTCTCTTCCAACCGCAACTTTGAGAACTATGACATTCCTTCCATTTTTCCATGCATTAGAAGCTCTGCCGTTCATCCCGATTTTTACACCTATGAATGTTCATAAGTTTATTTCCAAATTGTCTCCGAAGATAGGGTTTTTCTTCAGATCATATCAACTTCTTTCTTCTCAAAAAAATGCGCCGATTCCTTATGTGTTCCCTTGTCGATCATATTTTTCTGATTCATTCTTCTCTGGTTATGTCCCACAAGCGTGGAAGCAATCATACATCGTTCCTATACACAAAAAAGGAAAAAAATCAGATCCTCAAAATTACAGGCCCATAAGCCTCACACATCCACTTGCGAGGCTTATGGAGCGTATGATTGCTTCACACATTAAAAAACATTTCAGATTCTCCTTTTCCTCACGACAATTTGGTTTTCTAAATAATAGATCTTGCATGTTGGCCCTTCTAGACAGCATTACAAATTGGAAATCTTCTATCAGCAGAGGCAACTTTATTGACGTTATTTACTTTGATTTCATGAAAGCCTTCGATTTTGTTCCGCACAACCTCTTATTGGCTAAACTCAAAGCATTCGGTCTGAGTGAAACAATGATAAAATGGTTCCAAAATTTCCTATCTGACCGCACTTCCAGTGTCCTCATAGATGGAGTTATTTCCGAAAGAAAATTTAACGTCGTTTCTGGAGTACTTCAAGGAACTGTCACGGGGCCCCTCCTTTTCTTAATTTTCATCAATGATCTTCCTAGTATTTTTGACAGCTCTGTGACTTCCTACCTTTTTGCGGATGATCTCAAAATCTCTTCGAATAACTCTATCGAACTTCAAGAAAATATCAACAAGTTATTGGAATGGTCCAAAACATGGGGTCTGCCTTGGCTGGCAACAAAACAACCGTCCTTCACCTAGGTAGAAACAATCCTGAGAACATTTATCTAGTAAATGGAAATCCTATAAGATCTGAAAGTGTGGTTAGAGACCTTGGTCTTTTGATTGATAAAGGACTCACCTTCGATTCTCATATTAATCATGTTGTCAACATTGCTATGTTGAAATCTCGTCAACTTCTTAAGGCTTTTTCACATGTCGGCTTACCGCAATATAAGCTTCTCTTCAATCTTTATGTACGTCCTTACCTCGAATACGCCTGTGAAGTCTTTAACCCACCCCTAACCAGTGCCCTCTCCTCCCAACTTGAAAAACCTCTCCGTTTCTTCACCAGAGAGGTGTTTATTAGAAGAAATGTTCGTTTTTAATTCATATTCTGACCGTCTAAGTGTACTCGGCTCTGTCCATGCTTTCCGAAGGAGAATAATCATTTCTCTACTAACTCTCCAAAAAAATTAGTCCTGGGCTCCTACCACTTTCCAAGTGCAGAAAATTTCTTCAGAAGAACTGATTCACCTCGTTTTTCCAATGAGACTCATACAGACAGGTCCTCGTTTTTAACAGTTTCTTCAGTACAGTCTTCCTATTTGGAACAGACTGTGCTCAAGATTCGACATGAACACTTCAGCCTCCCGCTTCAGGAATTTTTCTCGACTCTCTCGACAACAATGAACTACTCGCAAGTGTGCCCAACAGACTGCTCTAAAAAAAAATAAAATCCGAAACTTCTGTTCTCAATCTTCAATACGTGTATCCCATCCCGGTAAATCGCTCGTTGGGGCGTTTGTATATCGGGTTTCGCTTCACTCAAATACTTTCTATTCTGTATCTGTATTTTTTTGTGTTTGAGTGAAATAAATAAAATAAATAAATAAAACCGATCGTTCGACCAAACGTTCAACCAATATTTTTCATGACATGTTACCAAAAATATGAATGATTAACATTTCTTGCTACCGAACGATTAACATGCCTCATGATTATGATCTCTCGTTTTTCCGACATGTCAAAATTTCATTTAAATGAGAGATCATTTTGAATCGATCGTTCAGTTTTCGATTGATCAAAATTTTGTTTTGAAAATATTGGTCGAAAAAATGATCGATCGAAATGTTGTGTTGAATATATTGGTCGAAATATCGATATATCAAAACGTTAAAATCCAATGATTGATCATTAATGTAAGAGATCAAAAACTGATCTAATAAACGATCTTTCAAAAAATGACATGTTAAAATTTGGTTGAACAGTGACATGTCAATAGTTTGATCAATTGAAATGGTTGAATGATCGGTTTGGTGAACTCAACTAGGGACCGCTCTGGCGTTCCTAGGAATCTGACAAATTTAAACGCTGAAAAACAGCCCAAAAGCACAAATTCAGGATCCGCTTCAACATCAATCTCCGGTACCAGGCTCACGAGACTCTAGTATCAACTTTGGCCGTTTGTACCATCACGACGGCTCAATTCCTAGCCTTGGCTTACTATTCCGGCGGACTTTTATTTATGAGAACCCATCGGGAGAATTTCAGCCTTTTCGCTTACTATGTGATCGTCGCTTGGAATTATGTTAGTTTGAATGGAATTTTAAATGAAAAAAACCCATATTTTTTTCCTAAATTCTCGAAATGCATTTCTAACTAGGGAACCTTTTTACCCCCCTCCGTAGATTTTTTTGATGAAACACTGAAGTGTACTTTAGAACCTTTTGGTTGCAGACCTTCTCGCATTACGCAATAGATCTTATTTTCTAGTTCTCAAAATCTAAAAGTACACTTCAGCGAAGTGTTTCATCAAAAACTATACCAGGGGGCTTAAAAACGTTTCCTAGCAAATCCTATAAAGATAAAAAAATTTAGCGTTTGAAGCTGATCTTTTCCTAGAAAGATGACAAGATTGTCTTCAAATTATGGCTCAAAAATCAGCAGACTTCTAGCTAATTATGGATCTTATTTCATCGAAATTTCAGGCAGTTCCGTACGCCTGCCTCTCATTACCAACTCTTATCATCGTTTGTGTCAAAATCACTGGAAAAGGCAGACGTCGAGCTATAAAAGTCGTCCAAAACACCAAGGAAACCCAGGAAGGCCGAATGAAAAGCCTCAACGAGATGTGGAACAGGAGTTACAAGTGACTCAAGTTTTTTTTTCTACGTTCTGCCTAAATTATCAAAAACTATCATAATTGTTGTTGTTATTCGAAATAATGAATCATTTTTATTTTTTTCCGTTTTGTTTCATGTTCCCTAAGAATTGTTACACCAGCTTCTCGTCATTCTCAAAAAGTTTTTTTAGAAATTTCAAAAAAACTTTTTCGAGCCCTTCCAAATGCGGCCACAGTGTTCCATCAAAAAAATTAAAATTTACTCTAAAATTATTATTTTTTTCGATCTTTTTGGTGGTTCAGACCCTAAACTCCCACAGGTTCAGACCCCCCCCTAACAGCTTCAGACCCTAAACCCCCCATAGGGAACAGTCTTTTGCCCCTAAAGGGGCTGTTTACCCTTAACCACTATAGGGACCACTCTGAAGTTCCTATGTCCGCCATTTTTCTCCAAAATTTTTCTCTTTGAGCCTAGGTCTTCTCTTTTAAACTACCAATTATTTTTCTGAGCCTTAAAAGTTTCTTCTAAAAGTTATTTTTCCTCCTACTGCCAAATAATTTTTTCCACAAGCTTCGACAGTTCTCCGTCGATTTATAGACTCATTTACAACAGCAAAAAAGCAAAATCGCTTCAAAAACCAGTCATTTGAGCCCAGTTCTAGCTTATTATATTATTCTAGAAAGTTCCTACAGATCTTATGAGAAAAGGCCATTTTTTCCAAATTTCTTAATGAAACCACTACAGGAACTCCAATTCTTCACCCATTTATCGACTCATTTTTTTTAAAAAGAAAGAAAATTCGCCTCAAAATCCAGCTTAGGTCTAACTCCCTTCTTCCAACTGCTCTTTATATTTTTTTCTGAATCCAGGTGAATTTCCTAATGAAATCACTACAGAAACTCCAATTCTTCACCCATTTATCGACTCATTTTTATCCCCAAAAAAATATCCGCTCCAAAATCCAGCTTAGGTCCAACTCCCTTCTTCCAACTGCTCTTTATATTTTTCTGAGGAAAATCCAAATAAAATCCCTCCAGAAACTCCAACAGTTCTTCATCCATTTATTATCCTTTGGTAAGGGTGTCGTAGCGGGCGACCCACTCGTCGAATTTCGCCCTGCTTTCAGCCGGCAATTTCAACTTGTCCTGGTGTTTCTCCAAAAAGTAGGCGAGAAGTACGCGGTGGAGGTAGAGATATTGCTCAAAACCGTAGATTACTCCGACTTTTCCCAATTTTTCAAGCACCATATCGTTTTGAATCGAATAGGGTCGATGGCGGCGAAGTTCCAGCACCAATTCAACCATCTCCATGCAGTCTTTCTGTAGAAAAACCTTTTTCCATTGGAAAAATTAGATAATCATATCAAACAGAATCAACACCATTCGCTCTAGCTTATAGGATCATGTTCGCACAGGGAACGAATTTGTGAGCGCCCGACCCAAGACGACTTGAGCGCGGAGGGATGCAATGTTAGGCGCTGCCAAAATATAGATCCTACTGGGAAAATTTTCAGTGGCCACTATAGGGATTTGACGTTTTAGTGACCACTATAATCGTCAAATTAGTGGCCACTTGAGGGGTTAAAAATTAGTGGCCACAATAGAGATCTAAGTGCCACTTAAGGGGTCAGTGGATCAACATAACTAATCCAACATGTTTGTTTTAAAATTATCAGAGTTTCTGGGAGAAATACTGGATGGAAAACTACTGAAGGGCCACTAAATAGAGAATCTCTATATTGTCCACTAGAACGGAAATTAGTGGCCACTCAAGAGTTCTAAATGGTACCCCTAGTACAAGGAAGCTTTTTTTTCAGAAGAAGTATCATGGCACGAAATCTAGGCATAGATCCTGGGAGGTAGTTTCACCTTGTGGCCGGTAAAATTGTTCATAAAACTTCAGAAGCTGCAAAACATCTTTTTTTTGAACAAGGTCACCTCAAAGACAAAGAAAACCCGTTCTAATGAACTGTTTTGGGGTTTGTGGTTTCGTTAAAAATGAGCTGGTGCATCAAGGAGCGTCGCTCTGGCCAAATATCAGGCAATTTAAACCACAAAGTGACCTCCTTGTAATAATCTATGCATACAACTCGCGCCTGAAGGGGGGGGGGGGGTTCTGTTTTGGCAGCGCCTAAACTCAAGCCCCCTATAGGCAACCCTGTTAATTGAAAAAAATTTGAAATCATTTTTTTAAAACAAAATCTAGTTCATTTTCTAATCTTTTCCTTCTACTGACCCCAGCCTGCATTCTCTCCTGAACGTAGGCGATCGCGACAATCGTTCCGGTTCTTCCGATGCCGGCCGAGCAGTGGACGACGATCGGATTCGGGTTGCCCCGAACGTACGACAACAGTTCCTAAACGCCTCAAAATGTTTCGAAACGCAACAAAGGTGTCCTTTTTACGGTTGGCGTGAGTTTGTTCTGAGGAACCCCACGATCCGGCCAGCTTTCCCATTGATAGTGCCGAACTTGGCGCGATTTCAGATCTCCGCCCTCCACCCACTCCACTTTTAGGACCGTTATGTTGATGCCGGCGTCCTCTTTCATCCGATACGGTTTCTTGAAAAGTAAACAGGTAATTTTGCTCATTTTAAAGACTTTTAAAGCCTCTGGCCAACAATTTGCCATTTCTTAGGAATTTTCTTAACAATTCAAAAGGTTGTTTTTTTCCACTAAACAAGAATCAACCCGAATTTCTTTTTCTCAAAAAAACTTCAAATGACCATAAAAAGCCATCACAGTATTGAAATTCCATCCGAAATTTTTCAAACAAGTTCCAAAAAAAGAATTTTTGAAGAAAAATAGAGAAAGGTCCAAAAAAAAATTTTTTTCAAAGTCTTTGAAAGAAATCTACTGATTACTTAGGAACTCCAGAGCGGTCCCTATCTACGAACCCTTTTACCAACCCATAGGGGGGCCACTAAAGCCTGCAAAAATGGTCCCTATAGAGGTTTCCGTTAGTTGCCTCTATAGGGGACATGCTAGTCGATAATCGTTATGAACTCTAGATGAAGAGGAAGTCTAAGCGTTTTCAAGAGAAAAAATGAAAAACAAGTTTTTTTGAACGAAATCGAAAGACCCATATGTAGCCCTACAGGTAACACTTTTTCGTCCCCTATAGAGATTTTTTTCCTCCCTAACCATTATAGGGACCACTTTGGAATTCCTGAGTAGCCAGAAACATTTCAAACGCTCCATCAATTCAATTTGAAAAAATCACAGAATAAGCCAAGAAACTACAATATTTCCAACCAATCCAAAAAACTAAGAAATTTTGATTTTTTTTTTAAATATTGAAATAGCTCTGCAACTAATACGGAATATTTACATCCGGACTCGAAACGGTGATCTCATTTGGCGCGGTGCCAAACTTCATCACTTGCTTTTTAGGCTCCTCGTTCTTCTCCGACGGCCAATACGGCTCGCACTTTATTTTATCCTGAAAAAAATCAAAAATTAAAAGGTTTGAGCTGAGGATAGACAAGACCTGCTCACAAAAGTTGCACAACATGATAATGGTTTCGCACTTTTCCTGGATAACCATCGCCCAAAAGTCGAAGAGCGTTTTTTCAAGAGGACCCTGAATATTATATACATTAGCCTCATGAAAATTGAATCTCCAAGAAAAACCTGTGTGCAAATGAACCGACGCTTGTCAATGGCCGTTCCCACATAGTTGGCGTGGATGTAGTCTGTGGAAACGCCTGGAAAAGTGAGAACAACCCGATCGTTGTCCTGGCAGGGAACGTCTTGGTATCTGAATAATTAGAGCAAACTTCAAGAAAAATCTTCATTCGAAAATTTAGAACGATAACACAAAACATTGATTTTGTAAAATAAAACAAAAAAAAAACGAGGGAAAAGGTGGGGAAATAAAAAAAATCGAAAAAAATAGTGGAGCTGGAAAAAAAATCTTGATGTCGTGAAGAGAGTTTTGTGTGCAGAGAGTTAACTTGCACTTGATCGAGACACAGTAGTTGATTATCCCCGTTCATATTTTTTTACTCTTCCTTCTTTCGTTTTTTTCTTTTCAATGAAAAAGCTTGTTGATATAAAATCAATCTTGATGACTCAAAAAAACTGAAGTGGAAAAATATTAATGAGAAAAAAATCATAGCATTTTCCACTGAGAAACGTCGTTGGTTTCTTCCTCACCGATTTTTTTCCTTGTTTTCACTAAATGCCTTGGTCGAGAAGCTCTTAGGATCAACTTTGGGGATTTTCTGAAACTCGGCCACCAAGCCATCCACACCCATTTCAAGAGTTCGATGAATCCATTTCAGAACCTTAATTTTTTTTTTCTTTCTCTCAGAAAAATAATGAAGGAGACCTTTTCTTTAGACTTTTCAGAGCTTTTCGCAACTTTCATACTATCCCCGATCACCGGTGTCGTTCCTCTTGGAGTAGAGGCCTCATTTTCCTTGTTCGATTGGTATGTCTCTTTATCTGTGGAAATTTGAAAGCTAAAATCATGAATATCTGAGAAAATACAATTTGGAGCGCCGTACTCCTAAAAAAATATTGATGGCTGAACTTAAATCAATTCACTGAATCTACATATTATTTTTACTTGTTTCTCATTAAACCGAAGCGTTTTTTTGCTTTGAATTTCTGATAAATAATCCTAAAAATCACCAGTTTTCGGAAGCTTCTCAGCGCAGCTACCAACCTCGCTGTCATCGTTCCTGCTCTTGTTTCTGTGAAATTTTATTTAATTTTCTGATCACCATTCGATTAAAATTACTTCTTTGTCACACACATTGTGCGTTATTTTTTGACCACCGGAAATCGAAGCGTCGGCGAAATTCAGCCGGTTGACTGCTTCTAGTTGCTGTCGCGGCGGTACGGCGACTAGAGAAATAAATGCGGGGCTCCGTTATCTTTTTCTTTTTCTCGTCACGTTTGATTCTTTTTTTAACACTGCTTTGATCTTCTCAGTTCATTTTTTCGTTCAGATTTCAAAAAAGATTAAAAATGATTAAAATGATAAAAATGATGATAAAAATGATAAACATGATAAAAATGATAAACAAAAAACTTGAAAAAAGAAAGATCGAACGGCTCTTTGCATTTCAAGTCTAAAAAAACATTTCCCGTGTTTTCTGACTCACGAAACTTTTTTTCGTTCTATTTCACCCATCTTTGTTCATTTTCCACCTTTTCATTTGAATATTACATCAGTTTTCGTCAGCAAGGCGTGAAGCTGAGTTTTCTGCACCCATTGCGTTGTAACTGCGCCTGGGGTGCAAAACTACAAAGCCTCGCTGAAAAATTTCGAACTCAAGGCTTTTTCTACTTTTTATTCGCATTCTTTATTCGTGTTTTAATGAGCAACGAAAATAAAACTTGAGTAAAGTCTTACTTTTTCTTTTATGAAGAGATACTTTCATTTTGCAAATTCAAACATAGTTCCTTGTTTTTTGTGAAAAAAAAACTTTTTTTGACGGGATTTCAAACTTGCCATGGAGAAGGGTATTTAGCAGATTTTCAAGGAGGTCTAAATTTTTTTTAAAAACATTAACTTTTTTTAGGTACTAGGGATATAACGTGCACTTTTTACAGTGAACTGTTTTTTCTCTGTGATTACAAACCATCCTAATTATTAACGAATTTAAAAGCGATTTCTCTAATTTTTTATTACTTCGTCACTCGCATCACTTGATTTTGTCCTAAAACCAGTTCTTCAGTTCCAAAATCGTAAACTTCTCGAATAAATAATATTTCCAGTGTTCATGGATAGGCCCAAACAAGAAGACCTGATAGAGATCCAGAACAACGAACGCTTGGTTATTGAATCTATCTACGGGGAAGATGCAACCTTTCCCGAAAAAGCTTGGAAGGTTATTTATTGATTATTTAATTAATTGAAAAATTTTTGCAGGTCTGGAACCCCTTGGACGTGAAAATCCGGCTGGAAGCGCTGTCCACAGGCCAAGAGTCGGAGAATGAAAATAAAAAGCCGGTTGGCCTGGATTTGCGGGTCATTTGTGACAATGATTATCCTTACAGGTGAAACTACCTGAGATTTCAAAAAAATAGATTTTTTCAGCATTCCCCGCTTCGAATTCTCCAACATAAGCGCCGTTTCTCAAGATTGTTTGAAGAAATTGCGAGATAAACTGACGGAAAAGGCTAAAAATTTAAAAGGAACGGTAGGAATGAGGAAAATTTGAAAAGAATTGAAATAAATATTCAGGAAATGGTCCATGAACTCTGCCAGTTGGTCCGCGAATACTTGGCCGAGCAGAAAATCGTCCCGGCCGGATCTTTCCACGACAAAATGATGAAGGAGATTGAGAAGAACGAGAATGAGATCATGGTTTTGAATCTGAAATAATATTCTGGTACTTGAGGATGTATTTTGAATCTGAAATAATATTTTGGTACTTGAGAATGTATTTTTTTCGTGTTTTTTTCTTTAAAATTTGGCTTTTTTTCTGAATTTGTTCCTTATTAATTCAAGTTTATATAGCTTTTAAAAAAATTTTTAGAACAATTTTTTTCAAAATTTAAAATTCCAAAGTTCATTTTTGAAGTTCTAGGTATTTTTTTAAACAGCGTTTCCTACCTTTATTTCAGAATTTCCTTGCTGAAAAGTTGGTTTTCAATGAATTAAACTGATTATTTAAAGTTTACGCTTCCCTAAAAACATTAATTTTCCTTAAGATTTGAAAAAAAGGATTTTTCGGTTTTTTTAAACCGTTATATTTCAGAGAAAACGAGCCGATAGTGAACGGAAAGAAGTCGAATGGGCCGAAGAACGGGAAAGGATAAAGATAGAAAATCAACTACAACGAGAAGTTGAGCTTGGAAGACAGCAAACGGCTAGAATTGTTAGTTTTTTGAAGAAAAATGATTGGAAAATTGTTTTACAAGCTATTTTTGGAGAAAAAGTGGCTCTTGAAAGCCCCATTATGACTCGGAAAAATTGGATGATTGGTGGATAATGGCCGCAGAAAGGCAGCAAAAAGAGCCCGAGCCATTTTTCTGTGATTTTAAAGGCTCAAGAAATGGTGGAGAAAGGCAGCAAAAATGGTGCATAACAGCAGATGAATTGGTGCAAAAAGGCAGCAAAAAGGAACCTTTTTCGTCTTTTCCTATGGAGGCATCATGTTAAAAAATTTTATTAGAATCAGATTTCAAAAGAAAAATACTATAAACACTCAAAAAACATTTCAGGAACCTTTTTGAAACATTTTAGGAACCTTTTTGAAACATTTCAGGAACTTTTTTAAAGCATTTTAGGAACCCTTTCGAAGCATCGTAGGAACCTTTTTGAAAAATTTTGGGAACCCTTTTTAAGCATTTTAGGAACCCTTTTGAAGCATTTCAGGAATATTTTTGAAACATTTTATGAACCTTTTTGAAACATTTTAGGAACCCTTTTGAAGCATTTTAGGAACCTATTTGAAGCAATTTTCGAAATATTTTAGGAACCCTTTTGAAGCATTTCATGAACCCTTTTGAAGCAATTTTCGAAATATTTTAGGAACCCTTTTGAAGCATTTCATGAACCCTTTTGAAGCAATTTTCGAAATATTTTAGGAACCTTTTTGAAACATTTTAGAAATTTTTTTGGGTTAAGAATAAAAGTTCTAAGAATGGTAATTTAGGAAGGCGAATTTCGAATGATTGCTGGACGAAGGGTCGTTGTTCTGGCCAATATTCCGGTAAAAAGGAAGAAGCTTCACCGATTCTGTCGCGAGTGGATGGGTTTCTGTGATGTTCGTTTTGAAAACTTCTTTTGAATATTGAATTTTTTTCACTGAAAGCCGATCATTTGGCCAAATAGAGTCTTTTTTTCGATTATTTTTTTGTTTGAAAAATCTCTCTCAAAAAAATTCTTGTCGAAGAGTTGAAAGTCATCATTTTTCTTAATAAAGTTCGTTTGGTGGTATTTTTATTTTTTTAATTCTTTTAAAAAAAGATTTTTTTACAAGGTTTAGAAGCCCCCTTTACCATAAATTTACATGAAATGTGTAGCTTAATCATAAATTTTTTTCTATTCTTTTTCTTTTAACGAACTTAGAAAAAAATGCTTTGAAGGATTTTTTTGAAGATAAAAATCAAAGTTGTTCTTTAAAAACCATAAGTTTTTAGTTTCAATACAGTTCTTGGCATAAAAAGCCTAAAAAAATTTCCTGTGATTTGATTTTTTTAAATTCAGAACTAGTGCAAAAAAATCAAGAAAAAAAGTCATTATTGATTCTATCCACGTTTCTTTTAAAGAAATTAATGTGATGAAAATTGATAATTTCTCTTGCTTTCGGTTTTTTTAGCTTTTTAAAATAATTTTTTTCGTTTTTTTCCTGAAATATTTCTCGAAAGAAGAAAAGCTATCCATTTTTTTAAAAATATCTTTAAAGTTCATGTTTTTTTGTAGATTTTTCTGTCTTGAAGGTAGCTTTTTTTGCCTTTTTTTCAGAACGAACAATTATTAATTTCCGAATGGACATTCCGATACACAGCCAACAGGAACCTGGCGGAGGCTGAAAAACGGTGTTTTGCTGGATTTTTGAGGTATTTTTGAAGTTTTTAAGTGAAGATTTAAATCGATTTTTTAAATGACGTTACCGTTTCGAAATCCGATTATTTGCCAATTTTTAAACGTTGAGGTTGATCTGATTAAAGGTTTAAAGGTAGATAATAATTTTTTTTTGATCTTTTAGGCTTTTTTTGTTTCGTTATTCTTTCAGTTTAGCTCTTATCTTGAATATCTTAATTTTTCCCTCCGTATTTTCAAATTTTCCTATTTTCCGACGCCTTGACGCTGCCTTGGACGAACTGAACGCCTTGTGTGAACTCCCAAGTGTCGATCCGAACCTCGTTGGATACGCATTTATCCATTCCCAGAAGATTTCTACTTCCGATTCGAATTTTAATGTTCAGGTGGACATTTGGAAGATTTTCATTTGAAAAATTTTTTTGAATATTTTAGGTTTTTGTCGCCCAAAGACTGTTCCCTGACGAGGAAAATCTGACGAGTGTCTATCATGTCGTTGCTACAAATGTGAGATTTCATCGATTCAGAAAAAAAAAAATCCATTTTAAATGGAAAAATAGCCTTTTTGAAAGGAACTGGAAAGTCAACTGGATTCTTTGAAACGAAGAAAACTTGGTTTATTTCATTTTGAGCTCGGAATTTTTTGGAAACCAGTAGACACAGGCAAAGTCAAAAAGACCTTTAAAAAAGAGCCGAAAGCTCCTTTTGGGTTCCTAAAAAGGTGTCAAAATTTTCTCTGAATCTCCTTTTTTGTCACCTTTTCTCACCTTTTTTCTTCAATCTCCTTAAAAGGTCCATTTTTTCCAGAAGTCCTTTTGGATTTTGCCCGTGGGAGAAGCTCTAAAAAATTCCATCCAAACTGGAAAATATTTTTCATCGATAACCAACCTTTTTCTCACCTAATATACCCTTCTTTTCGCAACAAAAATCAATTTTCTTTAACTAATTTTTATATTTTTACTTTTTTCTCATTCCATAGGCTTCCTGCTTCTAGAATGTTTATTTCGATTAACAAAAGTTGAATTTTGATTATTTCTGACTGATGGATGTTGCCAATTCTTTGATAATTTCTTTCTTAAGGTTTGACCTTAGGAATAGAAAAAATAGAACTATTGTTGAAGCTTGAGTTTCATGAAATTTTCTTGTTTTTTTCGCCTTTCAGTAAGATTTTTTTCCAACTATACCTGTTTATTTTTTTCAAAAGGTAAGTTTTAGGTGGTATGAAAAAAAGACCAGCGAAAATTCAAACGGCGACTTTTCCGATTTTTCCATATCGCTAGGGAACTTTCCGACGGATCCCTTTTCTTTTTCGGTTTATAAAACATCTATTACCTTCTTTTTTCCTATTTCTTTGTTTTTTAATCATGAATAACTAGTCTACTTTATATGGATGTTTCAAAACAAAGAGTTTATTTAGAAAAAAAAGTCGGAAAGGTGGCCGTCGGAAAGTTTCCTACCGATATGAAAAAATCGCCGTTTGAATTTTCACTGGTCTTTTTTTCATACCACCACGAATTAGATCATACTTGGGCAAGTACAGAACTCAATTCGTCCAGACGGACAGACGGACAGGCTGGCTTTCAAAAATTGACCAAAATACCGAGTAAAAATGATTAATAAGCTCAGGGGGCATTCTTGACAAAAAAAAAAGAAGTCTCAACTCCAGGGAGGTAGTCATGATTTTAACTTGTGATATCTTGGGAGAAAATGCCTGCTCAAGTATGAATTTGATTTTGAATAAATTTTTTCAAGGGAAGTTTGATGCGGAGACTGGCCGCCCAGGCCGTCTGTGCCCTTCGTTGGCTTCACGAGCAGCAATTATCTCATTCGGCGGTTCTTCCTCACGCAGTCTGGCTCCGCGACAATCTCTTCCGATTCTCCGATTTTGGAACTTTGTTAGCTTTTTTTTCAAACTGATATAGAATTTATATGCTCCTCTTAACTTTTTGCGATTTTTTCTTCGGTGGTGTGAAAAAAAGACCAGCGAAAATTCGAACGAAGACTTTTCCGATTTTTTCATATCGCTAGAGAACTTTCCGACAAAATTTTTTCCGACTTTTTTTCTCGATTAACTCTTTATTTTAAATCTTCTTATATAAAGTGGACAAGTTATTCATGTTTTTAAACACAAAGAAATAGGAAAAAAATGTTAATAGATGTTTCATAAACCGAAAAATATAAGGGAAAAATGTCGGAAAATTCGCTGTCTTTTTTTTCACCTTTTCTTCGCCTTAACGATGAAAAAAAGATCCTTTAGAAAAAGCTAAAATATTTCAAATTTTTCAGAGAAAAAAACTAACCTCTCTCTGTGAATTCTTCTCCACAATAGTCTCTGGAAAACAACAAGCTCATCCGGAAACCGAAGAAAAAGAGAAAAAATCGACCCCGAGAAAAAAAGACCTCTTCCAATTGGGAATTCTACTCGATGGACTATCTATTGAGGCTTGTAAAACTCATATTTACTCCTAAAAACTCAAATTTTCCAGGGACAAGAATCGCATTTTTCCCGCGCACCCACCCCTTCCATTGGAAATACGGATGCTGCGACTCAATTGGCCAGTTTCGTGACCAAATGCCAGGAGGCCAAGAATATTGACCAACTGGTCGAGGATCCTTACTTGATTCAAGGTGAGGGGGATTTTAAATTCAAACATTTTTTCACGATCTTAGTGAATATTTATAACTATTATCTGTTTTTATAGTGCCATAAAAAAAAATTTAGGGTTGTCTAAGCTATTTCGGAACGAGGAAAAATTGGGAATTATTTTTTAAAAAAATTTAATTTTTAAGAATTTCAGAACTTTCACTATAAGAACATTTTTTTGGGCTGAAAAGGAATTTTTTTCCATTTTTTTATCAAATTTCGATTTTTTTGGAAAGAGAAACCGCAATTTCCTTTTTTTACAGGATTTTTTTCAAGGAGTTGAAATTTTGACATTATTTGACATTTGATATGCTCCAGAATAGTTATATTATAACTTTAACAGAAAGAATTTAAAAAAAGAAATCGAGTTATTTTTTTCACTCGTTTAGAGAGGTGTCTTTAGGTGCATTAGGTTTGAAACAAAGAAAAAAAAAATTAATTTGCAGCGCCAAAATATTTTTTTAAATCAAGAAGTGATTTCCATTTTTTGTAGTGCCTCAAAGAAAAGCGTTCCATGAATTTGGCAGCTCCTAAATTTTTTTTTGACTTTCATCAAGATTTGGCAGTCTCTAGGAGTCAAGCTTTTTATAAAATTGGCAGCGCTTCAATTTGAAAAAAAATTTGATCCTCGGAAAATCAGCCAGAATATTTTTTCAATGCGCCAGAGGCAGACCCGGAAGCCTCAACCCGCAAGATTTTTTCTTTTTTAAGGAATGAAGGCTCGAAATAGTTTTTTTCGACCGGATTTTTAATGATAGTTTTTCTAATTTTTAGGGCAGTTATTTAAATTTGGCAGCGCCTGGAATAAGTTTGATTCGCGACTCAGTTCAAAAAAACTTTCATGTGAATAAATTTTTTATTGATTTGAGATTTTGTCTTCTTTTCTTTTGCAAAAGTAAGGTGAAAAAGTTTGAAAGCGCAATAAAAAAATCGGTTTTGAATTCTTGCTATCAATTTCATTCCTTCAAGATGGTTCTAAAAATTTCGATGGTATGAAAAAAAAGCCAGCGAAATTTCAAAGAGCGACTTTTCCGATTTTTTCGTATCGCTAGGGAACTTTCCGACAACCACCTTTCCGCCAAATCCCTTCCCGACTTTTTTTCCCTTATATTTATCGGTTTATGAAACATCTATCAACTTTTTTGCTATTTCGTTGTGTTTTAATCATGAATAACTTGCCTACTTTATATAGGAAGATTAAAAACAAAGAGTTTATCGAGAAAAAAAAGTCGAAAAAAAGTTCGGCGGAAAGTTCCCTAGCGATATGAAAAAATCGGAAAAGTCGCCGTTTGAATTTTTGCTGGTCTTTTTTTCATACCACCAAAATTTCATCAAAAAAGTAACTTTGAACATTCTCCAGTTCAGATCTCCCATTATCCGGATCAAACGAACAATCTTCCCTGATCGGCGGCGGAATGGATTCCCATTGTAGGCTTATGAAAGAGTTTTTCGTTATTCGAATGCTCGGAAAAGGCGGTTTTGGCGACGTCCTTCTTGCCAGGTTCTTCAGCTTCTCCTCCTTTTTCAAAGGTGTTTTCCAGAAATAAACTGGATAGTTCTGACTACGCAGTCAAGAGGATCCCACTGAATTCTGGGAACGAGCGGCTGAATCGACGGATTAAACGTGAAGCCAAGCTCTTCGCCAAACTCAATCATCCACACGTCGTTCGATATTATAGGTGCGATTTTTTCCATTTGTCGGATTGGAAAAACTTAACACGCTGTCTCTGTAATTCTCAAAGACAACGGATACAATAAAAAAAATATTTTTTGATTTTGATGAAACTTCATCCAGTGTGATAGCCAATCATCAGAAATGCGGACCCAACTTTTTGAGCCATTTCCTCTTACTGTAGTCCGATTACGGTAGGCAGGTGGGCACCTGCGTATCTAAGTATCGAAGAGTTTTTATTAGTCAAGTGATATAAAAGAATCGATAGGTAACCCAATTCTTTAAACTTTTACAGTACATACCATCTCGGGTTACTGTGGGAAAATTTTGAGTTACGGTACTTTTTGCGTCTGCCGAGTCAGTTTTTCGGCCACCACGAGCTTGAGCCCGGAGATCCATTCTTCCTAACTTCTCAAAAGATACCTTTTGAATTGCTCTAGAAGCTCGGAGCGATTTTGCAAAATGATGGTCGACCTAGGATTTTTTTCAAACTGGTATCAGCTTGTAGAGCATTTCAAAAGGTATCTTTTGAGAAGTTAGGAAGAATGGATCTCCGGGCTCAAGCTCGTGATGGCCGAAAAACTGACTCGGCAGACGCAAAAAGTACCGTAACTCAAAATTTTCCCACAGTAACCCGAGATGGTATGTACTGTAAAAGTTTCTAAAATTGGGTTACCTATCGATTGATATATCACTTGACTAATAAAAACTCTTCGATACTTAGATACGCAGGTGCCCACCTGCCTACCGTAACCGGACTACAGTAAGAGGAAATGGCTCAAAAAGTTGGGTCCGCATTTCTGATGATTGGCTATCACACTGGATGAAGTTTCATCAAAATCAAAAAAATTTTTTTTATTGTACCCATTGCTTTTAGAAATTTTTGAGAATACAGAGACAGCGTGTTAAACATGATCTTTGTCTTGTTCTAAAATAGTTTTTGAAAAATTTTGGTTTTAAAATTTCCAGAAAATTAGCTCAAAGTTACCTGAAACTTCACAAGAATTATCAAAGAGTGAGAAAAAGGTAGAAAAACAGGAATGTCTGTCTGAAAATGGTCTGGAAGTGCGCCAGACTCAGAACGGCTTGCGAATGCGTCAGGTACAAGTTTTGAAGTTTCGATTTAACACACGTTCTCCGAGAGAATCTGCAAAAACAGTGGGCACAAAAAAATTCATGTCGCTTTTTTTGAGCTCATATTTTTATCACAGCAACTACAAATGTGTACAAAACTTTTGAACAAGTTTTTGTCAAGCTCCGCCCATTTTGAGGATTACTGTAGCGAAAATACAAAAAAAAAAATCAAATTTTTTTCTCCGTCGTCCAAATCGAATGAAACTTTTTATGAACGAAAACTAGTGACAAAGTAAACGTCTTTTGTAAACTGACTTGTTTTTGAAAAAATGTTTTTTACCCTGAAAAAAAATTGATTTTCATTGGAAATCGTGAATTTTTTCTCCGCCGTCCAAATCCCTAAAAACCTCAAAAACTAAAAAAATTCACGATTTCCAATGAAAATCTAATTTTTTCAGGGTAAAAAAATATTTTCGAAAAAAAAAGTCAGTATACAAAAAACTTTCATTTTGTCACTAGTTTTCGCTCAAAAAAAAGTTTCATTCGATTTGGAGCACGGAGAAAAAAAGTTAGATTTTTTTCGTATTTCGGCTATAGTAATCCTCAAAAGGGGCGGAGCTTGACAAAACCTTGTTTAAAAGTTTGTATACATTTTTAATTGGTGAGATAGAAATATGAGCTCAAAAAAAGCAACATGAATTTTTTGTGCCCACTGTGAATCGCATATCAGAGAACGTAGGTTAAGACGCTGCAATTTTTTAAAGCTTTTTGGAAAATTCTAAAATTCCTTTCCAGCGCCTGGATTGAAGAAATCGTCCCGGTGGAGCGGAATTCGACTTCTACTACCGTCACGTCTTCAGAAGCGTCTTCTTCTGGAGCCGTGCCGATTCCTGGAAAACCAAAGAAACCCAAATTATCATCTTCATCAACAGAAACAATGACGGCCGCAGGGAATAGAAAGGCGCTGAAAAAAGCCCAACTTTCGAGTATCAATGAAGCTACAGGTTCATCGATATCTTTTAGAGATTGAAAAAAAGTGCGAGGCTTCAGATTCTCTCCTGCCAGCTCATCTTCGAAACTTGGAGCGCGAAACGGCGGCCGCGTTGAATAGGAGCTTCAGAGCTGTGGGAGAAGCCAGCGAATGGTCGACTAGTTATCGAGGTATAGTGGGAAAAAGTAGATTTCAAAAAAGACTAGATACAAGAGGCGGCTTTTCAGATTTTTCAGCCTTTTCAGCATATTGATTCTTGAAAATATACTTCTTGAAGAAATTTTGGGAACTGCCAAATTTTTGTAAGCTTGATTTCTCGTCGTAAAAAATAGAGAAAAATCTAGACTTCTGGGCATATATTATTAATAGGAATCAGTTATACAGTACCGCCCAAAAGGTTGTGAACTTTTGGTTTTTCAGGCCTAGCGCCCTGAAAAATCAACCGATCCTCATGAAATTTTTTCTGGAGATTCGAAACACTGTTTTATGATATTTTATAAGTTACCGGAAAATCCTTATTTTACAAAATTTCGAAAAAATGACACATAATTTTTTTGTGAAATTTTGTGGGTATGTATTTTAACCTCACAAAATGCCCTGCGAAAATTCTCAGATTGGTATCTCTTATTGGAAGAAAATGGCCATTGAACGGTTTTGGAACGGTTTCAATCATGAAATTTCATTATTTTTATCATAATTCGTCAAAAAAATAATGGCAAAAAACGCTAGCGACAAAAAGATTCGAACCTTCATAATAAGTTTCGCCGCCTACTGCGCTAGCCACTGCACCACGCCCCCAGCTGCTATGCAATGACTTGTGCTTCGGACATATTCCTTCCGAACAGTGTCACGTGTTTAAGAAAGAAAACTTTAAAAAATCATATCTCCAAAACGAAAAGTTTGCGCAGATAGCGACTATGCGGGATCGATTCCCAGTCCATCAAAGATTTTTTTAGCAAATTTATAGAAAATTCCAAACCCTACGCAAAAATGACCTTGGAAAAGTAGCCCAAAAAACGTTCACAACCTTTTGGGCGGTACTCTAGGGATTTCCAAAAAATATTGATTTTTGTAGTTTGTGACCGCGGTAGCGACTCTTCATCGTCATCAGAAGACGAGGACGACGCTCCGGGAAAAGTGAATGGAAGACGTGTTGAGACACTTTTCTCGCCGATTGGTGCCACTACGTCCAGTGACGATGAACTGGTGCGAGCTCTCGAACAATTCAGAACAACTTCTTGAAGTTCAGGACATCATGTGGGAATCTGAGAAGGAGCTGAGCACGGAGGAGTTCGAAGAAGATGAAGAAGACGTCGACTTTGGCGCCTCATCGGTTTTGAAGTCCCGCAGTGAGCACACGGACAGCGTCGAGATCGTCTTCGGGGATTCTAAAGTGCCGCAGAATGACGTCATGTCGAAGATTCTGGAGGAGAGCGAGGGCGACGTCGCCAACAAACAGGGCCCGGAGCACATTTATTTGCTCTTCATCCAAATGGAGTATTGTGAGCGGGGCACATTAAGGCAGCTAATCGATACGAATTTCTTCGTTGGACAGCCGATGAACATTTGGAGGTGATCTTCTGACCGATTAAAAATGTGTCTTTGATGAATTTCAGTACCAAATTCTAGCATAGTTGATTCATCTTTCCATTTTCGAGCTTCCGAACACCGTTACTTTTTAAAGGCATAGGGGCAGTAAAAAAATGGGGTTTCACGTGAAAGCATCTTATATAGTTTTTCTTTGCGAATCGAACGGTGTACTCAAAAAAATTAAAGATGTGACTAATTTTGAAGAAAAACGCGATTTTACTTTCCCGCCTTTAATTTTGAAAAAAGCTTTGGATCGGTATGCAGACAACTGTTTACAGTAGCCGAGAACGCGATGTTGCGGACGTCTCATTAGACTCGCATTTTGTGAGAAATAACCGGATATCTGCTTAAAATCAAGGATTTCTTCTCTGAAAAGTCGATTAAGAAAACAGAAAACACACATTGATAACTAAGGAAACACAAATAATCGCTATCCCAATCGAAACCTGTGTGAAATTATCATTTTTCCCCAAAGAAGCATTTTTGCGATCAAAGTTTGCTATCTATACATGAATAGAAAGTTTTTGTGACGAAAAGAACTTTGGTGACAACAGAAAAAATTAAAAATTGAAAGAAACGAAGAAAAAAGCGAAAATGCGAAAAATGGCGAAGCCTGTTGTCCATAGAGCAACTTTGCTGCAAAGCGCCCTTTTCGCGGGAACTCAAACTTTCCTCTCTCCGACTTTGAATTTTTTTCTGCAAAACTAGGAAGTTCGTTACGTTTTCAAGTTCACCGTTCGATTCGCAATGAAAAGCTCTATAAATTATTGCTTTGAACTGAAACACCGTTTTTTACAGCCCATATGCCTTTAATGAATTTCAGTGCCAAACTTGATCGTTACAGTACCAAATTCTAGCATGGTTGAATCATTATTCGATTTTCGAGCTTCCAAAATTTTTCCGAACTTTGTAACTTTTCGGTGGTATGAAAAAAACACCAGCGAAAATTCAAACGGCGACTTTTCCGATTTTTTAATATCGCTGGGGAACTTTCCGACGGCCACCTTTCCGACGAATCTTTTTCCGACTTTTTTTCTCGATAAACTTTTCGTTTTAAATCTCCCTATATAATTTAGGCAGTTGGTTAATGATTAAAACACAAAGAAGTAGAAAAAAAAACAATGTTTATAGATGTTTTATAAACCGAAAAACTTAAGGGAGAAAAGTCGGAAAGGAATCCGTCGGAAAAGTGGCCGTCGGAAAGTTCCCTAGCGATATGAAAAAATCGGAAAAGTCGCCGTTCGAACTTTCGCTGGTGGTTTTTTCATACCACCAACTTTTCAAATGTAGAGCGTTTACAACGAAAAAGTTTTTTTTGATTTTTATTTTTCTCAGGATCTTCTCGGAGATCCTCTCCGGCTTGCAGTACATCCATCAGCTCAGCATGATTCATCGCGACATCAAGCCGGTAAGAACTTCAAAAAAGAAAAATAATATTTTTTTCCAAATTTTTCAGATGAATATATTCTTGGATGGTCATCAAAGTGTAAAAAAATTGGAGATTTCGGATTAGCGACCAGAGAATTTTTACTCAATCGCAAACGAGTGGCTGACGTGAGCATGAGCATGGAGGGCGACACGGCGAAGAAAAATAATGGATCGGGTTGGAATTTTCGGATAGATGGAACGTGTTTTTGAGATATGAAAAAAATTTAATTTTTTTCATAAATTCATTTCGAAACCAAGAAAGGTGTTAATAATAATAATAATAATATTTATTCACAGGCAGAGAAAAATAAAATGTACAAAAATGATTTTTGAAAGAAAAGAAAAAAATTTGACAATGAAGCCGGAAATAAATAAATATAGCCGATTCACGGCTGACTTGGGGCGTGACCTGTCTGCGCTCTCCACCAACCAAGCACTATCTCTTCTTTTATCGTGTCAGAACCCATTTTTGATGGCTCAAGCCAACCGTGAATCAGCTATAAAAGGCGATTGAGGCCCTCACGAGCCTCTGAGCCAGTGAAAGAGATTTTGAGGTGAATATTAGAAGGCACAAAGTTGAATAGAAAAATGTTCTGAGATATTAATTTCACGACATTCTGAAGCACCGAAAAATTAAATTATTCTAGCTCAAACTCGAGACATCGGAACGGAGCTTTATATGGCTCCTGAGCTCTTCGATTGCTCCGCAAAAACACCGTACACTGCTAAAATCGATGTTTTCAGGTTGGTTTTTGGTTTCTTGAAAATGAGCCGAGAAAAATAGCCACGGAAAATTAGCCTTATAGAAAGACTTGGCTGACGCCAGGCTCACTCATTCCATGTATGAGTAGGATTTTGTGACTTAAAAATTCCTTGAGCCTAATAAAATTTATTTTTTCAGTGCTGGAGTTGTCCTTTTCGAAATGTTCTACCGTCCATTGTTACCTGGAATGGAGCGAATGTCGACCCTAAACACCTTGAAAAAAGATTTGAGGATTCCCGAGGATTTTGGCCGGAATTTCAGCAATCATCATGTTTGGATCGAAATTTTCTGCTTATGGAAATTCCGGAGTTTCAGACAGAAGTGGCACGGAGATTGATTGAATCCATGCTTGATAAGGATCCCGAAAAAAGGCCCACAGTCAGTAACCTTCTTAACGATGACAGCTTGCCGAGTAATGAGACTGAGGATGAGAATTTCAAGGTGAAACATCAAAAGAAGTGAGGGAAAATGAATATTTGTTCTAGAAGCAGTTTGCGAAGGTTTTCAAGCGAAGGAATGGGCGACTTTTCAGCTGGGCCATGGACACGATGTTCAGCGAGGAGGTCTTCTCTGTTACCAATTATTACTTCGATCGGGATGTTTGTCAGGTTGGTGAAATAATCTGGAAAACTAAGGGTTCTTAACGTCGATTAGACCAAAAAAGCAAGCAAAAAGGTTGTCCGGAAAATTTTTCTAGTGGTAAACCAAACCATTAGGGTGTTCCATAAATCTTTGTCAAAACATTTCTTGGAGGTGAAAGCAGTGTACTAGGGTATCATTTCAGTGAACAATTTCAATCACGTCAACATCCCAGTGCAATGAAAAAATTCCATAGACTTATTTTCCTTTATTCGGCCTTGCACGCTCAAATACGTCTTCTTTGAACCTCTACCCCTTCCACCTAAGCAAGCTTTTGAAATCAATTTTTTTACAAAAAAAGACATGAGACCCTCAACTACCTCAAAACAGAAAACATGACATGTCCATGAATTGCCTGAGCCCCATACACACCGAGAGAGGAAAATTTGGAAAAACTATCATTTTGGTATGTCTCAGCTGGCCTAGTTCATTGCGAGTAGTTACTGTTTGAAGTCAGGTGAATCAACAAGCCTTAGGGCTACACAACTACAGGTTCTCGAAATCGAAGCTTATCTGCTGACTTTTTGGAACACAATCTTCGGTATCATGTGAGGAAAAAGTCACTCATGAAAAATTTCTAAACTTTTTCCTGCCCTTGGGCTGAGCGTATTCAGCCAGGTTATTTTTTCAACATGTAGTGGTGGCATCCCTATATATAACTATAACTATCCCAGAGTAGTTGAACTTATCTGTAATGGAAAAAAAATTCATCTCGCAGAACCATATTGAACACGGGTTGGTCACATTGTTCAAAGCGAAACTGGCGGGCATTAGGGAGAGATGAATAAGTAGTGTGTCCAATCGCTAGATCACTACTGTGGACATCAAGGGACAGAAGCTCACTGACCCATGATTTTCCGTTAATATGAAAAAAACGGATATTTTCAAAAATCAAAAGTGCACAAAGACTTATGGAACACCCTAATATAAACAGAAAAAAAACATCCGAAAATTGGTCAAATTTTAAATCAATAGTTTACCGTGGTATATTTTTAAAACGGGGATTCTCAATCTTCGGCTTTTAACTCCGTTCAGATTTTGAATGTCAAGTAAAATGACGTCATTCGAAAACTTTGGTTTCGCCATGAGGGGCGGAGCTTGAGGGAGGGACTTTCAAAATCTGAACAGACTATACAATATTTTTCGTCAGATAGCTGATACGAAACTTTTAGGAGCGCTTCCAATTGGGTCGTGACAGCGTCATAGAAGAAATCCGTTCGGAAATCTCCACCGTTCTTCGAGCTCACGCCTATGAACTTCTCCACATGCACACGCTGGTTCCAGCTCCCACTGCTAGGGCCGCGGCCCCTGTCCGACTCAAACCAGTGGAGCTTCTCGACCCCTCAGGCCTACCTCTGGCCCTTCCCATGGACCTCCGTCAGAACTTTGTCCGATACTGTGCTAGAAATGCGGTTAATCGCTTTAAGCGCTACAACTTTGGACGGGTCTACTCGACTGACGAGACTAGAAGTGAGTCTTCTGACTATGAACAAGGACTCGAACTTTGACCTATTGTGAATTTTGAGCTTCGAAAAATTTGAGTTTTGATATTTAAGTTAGTTTTTTGTTTTTTAATAAGTTAGAATTTTTTCGCCTTTTATTGCCTTCTATTGATCGAAGTGTGGACCACACGTTTTCCAGGAGGTCTTATGCAATCATTCATCCAGTGTTATCGTCCTGGTTGACTGGTATTCTTGCGAAAAAAAGTCCCATCCACGGTGTTGCACGTGTTATAGCATAATTATGGTCTGATTATCCTTTTTGCCTTGCCAGGGCTAAAAAAGACCGCCCATTCTGTTAGCAGAAGCAAGCCGAACTGTGTGACCGGTGTACCGTTAGCCGTCATAACTGGCGTTGCCTCCCCATCCCCGCGTAGAGGTGGTACTTGAAGGGGAATACAAAGTTCACGTCAAAAATTGGCAGCGCCTGAAAGACAAAATTAATTCTGAAATATTGGCAGCGCCTGAAAAACAAAGTTTATGTTCAAAATTGGCAGCGCCCAAGATTTCTTTAAATTAAAAAATGGCAGCGCCTGAAATCGAAAAAATTTGAACCTTCGTTATGGTTAGCAGCGCCTCTGACTGTCTATTTGGGATAGAAATGGGATTTCTTGCAAAAAAAGGAATTCTCAGACCTGAATGAACAACCTTGATATGGGAAAAATTATTCGAGAATAATATTTCATTCATAAGTTCTGTTAGAAAATAGGAACAACAATATCGGTTTTTAAAAATCATAATTTGAGTACTCAACAACACCCACCCTTACGAACGATGGGAGTGCAGCGTCGACAGCATCGGACCTCAAACGTCATCCACGACGTTGGAGGCCGAGCTCCTGCTCACGGCCTGCCAGATCGTCGCGGCGACCTTGAAAAACGTCAAGGCTACTTTGAAGTGAGAAGAAATGACTTTATTCACGTCATATCTTCTATAGAATCGGCCACATCAACATTATCGAAGCGGCGATGCGTCATCTTTCCATTCCTGACGATGCCCGGTCCTCCATCCTCACCTCCCTTCACTGCATGTCCACTGGAGATAGTTGGCCTTCCCGACGTCTTCTGAACGTCATATTCTTTTTCAGAAGTCTTATCTCACACGGAGAAAGTCGCACAGTTGGCTGAAGTCGTCGGCATGAGAAATGCGGCACCGCTTTTTGGAATGCTACCTGTGGAGTCTAGCTTGGCCAAGTTCAAGGGGAGTGGTTTCAATTTTTAGGATATCACAAAAAAAAAATGGTAGTGTTAAGTAGAGTTAATTCACCTAGACTTAAAGGCATAGGGGCAGTAAAAAACGAGGTTTCAGGTGAAATCTCATATAGTTTTTCTTTGCGAATCGAACTGTGCTATCAAAAAATTACAGATTTGACTAATTTTGAAGAAAAACGCGGTTTTACTTTCCCGTCTTTAATTTTGAAAAATGCTTTGGATCGGTGTACGGACAACTGTTTACTGTGCACGCGATGTTGCGGACGTTTCATTAGACTCGCATTTTGTGAGAAATAACCGGATATCTGCTTCAAATTAAGGGTTTCTTTCCTGAAAAATCGATCAAGAAAACAGAAAACACACATTGATAATAAAGAAAACACAAATAATCGCTATCCCAATCGAAACCTGTGTAAAATCATCATTTTTCACCAGAAAAGCTTTTTTGCGATCAAAGTTTGCAAATCATACATGAATAAAAAGTTTTTGTGACGAAAAGAACTTTGGTGACATCAAAAAAAATAGGAATTTGAAAGAAACGAAGAAAAAAGCGAAAATCCGAAAAATGGCGAACCCTGTTGTCCATGGAGCAACTTTACTGCAAAGTGCCCTTTTCGCGCGAACTCAAACTTTCCTTTCTCCGACTTTAAAATATTGTTTCTCCAAAACTAGGAAGTTCGGTACGTTTTCAAGTTTACCGTTCGATTCGCAGTGAAAATCTCTACAAAGTGCTGCTTTGAACTGAAACACCGTTTTTTACTGTCCCTATGCCGTTAAGTAGAGTCCATCTACCTAGAATTGAAAATTTTTCGATCGTCCTTAAAATTAAACTTGAGCCGCAGCGCGCTGAGCCATTCCCATTGCGACTAAAAGCTTCCTGTTATAAAGGAATGAAAATCTTCAGGAGGCCTGCAAATACCTCTCCAAGTCCCGCGACGAAAATGTCAGCACGACCATTCGCAGAGTACTGGAAGAACTGGAAATGGCGTCAGAGATTTTGGCTATCGGTTCTTATTTCCTTTTCAACTGATCTTCAAATTTTGAATGTTTAGGCATGGACGAATCCACCCGCTCTTGTGTCGAAATCATCTACGACTCGACGACGTGCTACCGACCGACGACCTTCGGAGATGGCTTAGTTTTTCAGCTTTTCGTCGAAGTTCCACGCAAAAAGGCGGGAAGCTCGAGACAGGTCTGCGTCCTGGCTGGAGGTTCAGAACTTGACAGTTTCTGGTCAAACGATGAAAATATAGGGCGATACGATTCTCTGCTCCTCCGGGAACGCCATCCAAGAGATATTGTACCGGCGCTTCCTAGATTCATGGCCGGATTTGCTGTTTCCTTGGACGTGATGGCTCAAATTCGGAAGATTATCCATATCGGTACGGTTAATTGCTGGTTGGTCGTATGGGTAATGGCTCAGACGCCTTGAGCCATTCTACATGCGTCCAGGGTGCTACGAAAAAAGCGAGTTTTCCATTTGCGGGGAGTACTGTATGCGGATATAGTGCATACACTTTCGTTGCGTGACGTCACCGGGTCGGACGTCTCCGGGCTTTTTTTCTTAGATATTATTCAATTTTTTTTGATACTGTTTTTTTATCGTGCAAATATCATCGAGAAAAATGCAAATCTTGAAAAAAGCAAAAAAATATTCGAAAAAAAAACCCGGAGATCACAGCAGTTCAAACCTACTGGGACCCGTCCGGTTTGCACTGCGCCGTCTCCGCTGGCCATACTAGACCATTTTCAATCATTTTTTTCTATTTATTAAAATGAACAAAGCTGTTTCCGACAATAATAGATAAAAAAAAGTGCAAAAAAAAATCTTTTTACTTACTAAATCCCCAAATTAGGCCATTTTTTAAGACTTGCTAGCGTTTGGAAAAACTTAATGTTTGAAACTCAAATTCTACTTGCGTTTTTCTTCAAATTTGTTCATTTTTTCGTACAAAAAAACTCGTTATTAACGAAGATATCGCTCAAAAAACGCGATTGGTGTATGCACAATTTGAACCTACAGTGTGCCAAACCGGACGGGCTGAGCAGATGTGAGATGTCCTACCCGGTGACGTCATGCAACGAAAGTGTATGCACGCAATGCGCATATCCGCATACAGTACTCCTCGCAAATGGAAAACTCGCTCTTGTCCTAGCACCGCGTCCAGACGGCTTCGAAATAACAAAAAAATATAGTTAATTTACATCAGACAAGAAGACATCGTCCTGCTCGGCACTGGTCTGCTCATTCCGAGATTCACTCCTCCGAGAGAAATTCCGCTTGGCCAATATGCTATGGTCGAGAAATGTTGCTACTGATGTTCTTCATGAGCCCGTCGATTCTCTCGCCGAACTGATTGTTGGTCGAAAAGTTTGATTATGAAGGAAAATGTATGATTTGAGGAACATTGCGACCGAAAATCAATCTCAGATCTTCTCGTAGTGTTCAGCGCCCATGAGATCTTTTTACGTCACAATGGCACCGATTTGGGCAAAGTTAGTTTAATCTACTTTTTTTAATTCCTATTTCGTTCAAAACGGACTAAAAGTGGTGAACTTAAAATTTTCGGCAAGCCTAGGCGCTGCCAAATCCGGAGACATTGGGAAAATTTTACGTGGCCACTATAGAGGCTCGTCAAGGACTACTTGGAGAGGACACTAAAGTGGCCACTAAACCCACCTCTTTAGTGGCCACTTCAGTAGTTTTTCATCCAGTATTCCTTCCAGTAATTTTGATAATTTTAAAACAAGCAGATTGGACCAGTTATGTTGATCCATTGATCCCTAAAGTGGCCACAAAAATTTGTAGTAGTCTAGTAATAGCACTCATACCTCTATAGTGGCCACTAATTTTTTAACCCCTTAAGTGGCCACTATAGAGGCTTGCCAAGGATACTTGAAGAGGACACTAGAGTGGCCACTAAACCCACCTCTGGCCACTATTTTTCGTTTTAGGGGCCACTTCAGTAGTTTTTCATCCAGTAACTCTGATAATTTGAAAACAAACAGATTGGACCAGTTATGTTGATCCATTGACCCCTAAAGTGGCCACAAAAATTTTTAGTAGTCTAGTAGTAGCACTCTATAGTGGCCACTGATTTTTAACCCCTTAAATGGCCACTAATTTGACTACTATAGTGGTCACTAAAACTTCAAAACCCTATAGTGGCCACTAAAATTTTTAGTGATCTGGTAGTAGCACTCAGACCTCTATAGTGGTCACTAATTTTTAACCCCTCAAGTGGCCACTAATTTGACTACTATGGCGGTCACTAAAAAATCAAAACTCTATAGTGGCCACTAATTTTTAACCCCTCAAGTGGCCACTAATTTGACTACTATAGTGGCCACTAAACAACAAAACCCTATAGTGGCCACTAATTTGACTACTATAGTGGTCACTGAAACGTCAAACTTTTGAGGGGCTGTCAAATTTTTTTCAGAAGCTTTTGCAAAAATAAGGAAGCTTCTTTATAACATCTTGCATTCCTATCAGATCGACATGGAACGAGCTGTTCAACATGTCACCGCCTCTGCCGCAATCGCCACGACGCCAGGACCTCAGAGAGGTGACCGAGATGAGGATCATTCTAACATCCTTTCGACGCCCCTCACATCGTCAAGGTTTTATCCAAAAAATATATAAATAAACAAGAAAAATGGGAAATTTTAGGAGCAGCTCCTCTCTGATGCCGTCTTGTGCCTCTGCAACCATTGCCAATTTGAATATTTCTTTTGCTTTGACGGAGAGACTCGGCTTCAATATTAAGAAACGAATTGAAGTACAGAAAAATTAAGATTCCAAGGTCAAGGTGTTCATTTAGGCATCTGTGAAAACTCATATTGCTGACCAACTGGCGGTTTTCGGACCGAGGACCAGGGTCGAAGTCATTGTCTGCGAGTTGATTGATGAGCTGTTCAAGAGCATCGTCTTCGAACTGTCGAACAACTTCACGAAGCAGAAAGTGAGTGAATAAGAGCAAATAGCCTATTGATGAGTGGTAAAACAGAAAATTTGAAATATTTTGGTTTTTGGCATACAAGACGATGATTTTGATACTTACCTTAAGGCCTATTTATTTTTTAAAAACGCTGAAAAATAAAAAAAAAGATTGTTCTTTCGCTCCAGTAACTTCTCGAATTTTCGCTAGAGCTATTTTCACTGTACCATTTGAAGAACTTCGATTATGCTTTGAGAAACTTATTATAGGATCTAGCGACCTTTTTAATGTTTGGAAATAAACTAAAGGGCCGTCTTTTTTTATGGAATGATTATACATTTTTATGTCTTGGAATTGGCAGCGCCTCTCAACTTTCTTTAACTTTTCTTGGCACAAAATGGCAGCGCCTCTTAATTTTTTTTTCGAACTTGGCTTGGCACGAAATGGCAGCGCCGATGCTGACAGACATTTTGAAAGCTTCAATTAAAATCCTTTATCATACTACTTTAAAACTTCATCGTTTTTTTGAAGAAAAAATATTGGCAAAAATAAACTTCACCAAAAAGGACTCGAACCTGCGTCATAGGTTCCATAGCGCTAGACCGCTAACCACTACACCACGCCACCTGCTGGCAGCTCGAGTTAGGCGCCGCAAGACATTCCCTCCTTCCATCCAACGCATTTTTCGCGTGCAAGCTTTGAGACGCCATAACTCGACTAGAACCAAAAAGGCGCACTTTTTTTCAATTTCTTTGAATTCAGGGTGTCCGAAAGTACCTATTTACCAAGTCTCATTATATTCCAATACCTCGACCTTTTGCACTTCCCGTGTGTAAGAGGAAAAAAGAAGTTTCTTTCCAGACGGAGATGCTGATAGGACAACTGGCCCGACAGCACGGCAAGTCGAAGCAGGACCTTGAAGCCGTGGGATCTCAGTTGGTCCACGCAATCCAGCACCAAACCTCGTTGAACCACCAAATTGTCGTCCTCTATCGCCACACTGACCACTTTTTCCGACTCATTCTTTGACTCATTTTTCAGTCTACAGTTATGCCGTGTTCAAAGTAATTTCGCGAAATGCAAAATGATCTCTGGCTCTCCAAAATTTAGTTATATTTTCCTTTCTCTGACGGCTATCTCGCATTTCGCGAAATTAATTTGAACACGGCATTAGTTTATCTTTTTAGTGTACATTTATTGTTTCCTTTATGATTATGACACGTTTTTCGTTTAGTTGACTTGCTTCAGTTCTTATGTGCATTACTTTCATTTTTTTGGGGTTTTTGTTGACGGATTTTCTTCCCTGTTCTACTGGTCCCTCTTATCTCGGTATGCTCTTTCTTACTTCCCCTTGTACCGGTTGTATTTACTATGTGTATACACTTTTGCCTTTTTATTTAAATAATTGGAATGTACAGTTTTATTTATTGCTCTGATGGAATTTTTTTATTGGATTTTATTCGAGCGTTCTGGGAGAGCTTTAACCAGGGAACGTTTTTTTTTTACGCAAATTAGGCCAAAAAAAGGGCTATTTCGGGCTTCGGGCTTTTGAAGCTCCATAACTCAAAAAAACAGGGGGTAAAAAAACGTTCCCTAGTAAGGAAAATTGAGCTTTCAAGAGTTTTCAACGACCATTTTTTTCAAAAGGAAAGAGCCCTTTTCGGTGAACGACAGATTTTTTCAACCGACCTCTCCTAAACTTGTCATTCTGTAAATATTACAAAGTTATTTTTCAACCAGTTTTTTTATATTTAGAAACTTGAAAAACAAGCTATGTATTGAAATAGATCCTGTTTCAAGCTTCAAAAAAACCGTTTCAAAACATCAATAGCGCTCAATCGCGGCCTATATAAAGGCTTTACCCTCGATATTTATCGACTGTTCCAAATTCTTTAAACATCAGAACTACTTTTAAAACTGTAAGATATGAAACCTCTTAACCTTGCGCTTCTTCTTGTCGTCGTTTTTATCGCCATTCCGACGTCTGCCGAAGACCTACCATGCAAACTTCACGGAAACCCATTTTTCGATGGAACTGCCAAAGTTTTGTGTGTCGGTCAGTGCGAAGTGAACACTAAGAATAACTGACGAGATAAATGCGAGCTCGGTGGCGGTACATTGACTAACTCGCAAAAATGTCGCTTTTTTCTAGGCGCGATCCCGCATTTCTCTCGGCGCGACCTCGCATTTTTCACGGCGCCATCTCGCATTTATCTTGCATTTCGGAAATTTTCAAATTGTGAGAGAAATGCGAGCTCGCGCCTAGAAAAATGCGAGCTCGCGCCCAGAAAAATGCGAGACCGGCGCGAGAAAAAAAGCGAGATGTTTGCGAGCTCGTCAATGTACCGCCAGTGTCTCGCGTTTATCTCGGCAGTTATTCTTAGTGAAGGTATTATTTTATTTCAACAAACTTTTATTCAAAGTAAAATATTTTGGAACTGTGCTGATGGTCATTGCGATGGTGACACTTGCGTCTGTGAGCGATGCGATGATGGTGGAATCATCGGAGGCAAATAAACTGTGCATATGTGTATTCTGTGTATATTGAAACCTCAAAAATAAACCAATTTCCGCAAGCCAGCATTTTTCTAAAATTTGGATGTACGGTAGCGCATGGATCTGAATACACTCTCTCCGCAAGTCACATGACGAAAATTAAAAAAATTGGCATTCTCCCAAATTTTTATTTTTTTATTATTTTAAACTTGTTTTCTTGCGTTTGGATTTGGTTCGTAAAGTTCTGTAAAATGTGAAAAAAATTACTCTGAAGCAGACTTTGCAAAAAAAAAACTTTAGGCTTAGTTCACAGTGCATCTTAAATTTTCAGTGACTTTTGTTTCTTTATCATTTTTACTCTATTCGTTGTGTTCAAAAGTTGTCGTTAAAGTTTTGCAAGTGGTATAATTGTTCATTTGAAGGTAGTTCAACGCTGTAAAAATGGTAAAGTCAAAGCGAGATAAGGATGGTATGTTTTTTACCTTTTTTCACCAGAAATGTTAATTCTTTACAGTTTCTCTGACCAAGGTCAAAAAGAAGACTAAGGAAGGAAAAGTTCAGATGGTTGCAGAGGTTTTGTGAATTATTTTTGTTGCTTTCAATGACTTTACAAAATTCAGGTCAGGAAATGTGTGGATCACTACAAAAATCTGTTTATTTTCACAATTGCTAACATGCGCAGTAATCGATTCATTGATGTGAGTGGAATTATTCAAAAATCCTTGCTTAAGTGTCTGAAAAAGTGTGAAAATCTTTAGAATGGAAAAAGTATCGAGGCGAAGATTTTTTCAGGCATTAAGAAACGGATTTTAAAACCAATTTTATAATATATCATTAATTTTGAAGGTCCGACAAAAGTACAAGGAAACTTCGCGATTTTTCTTTGGCAAAAACAACGTTTTGGCAGTCGCCTTGGGGAAGCATAAATCCGATGAGTACGCTAACGATTTGCACAGGGTAGAAAATAGAGATGTTTTTTAATGACAAATTAATTCAGGTGAGCTCAAGTTTAAAAGGACAATGTGGACTGATGTTCACCAATTTGACCAAGGCGACAGTTCTCAAGTTTTTCATCTTTATCCATGGAAAATCATGTGAAAACTTCAGAGAAGTCGCAAAAGCCTCAGAAGAAGATTTTGCGCGAGTTGGAGATACGGCCAAGGAAACGATTGTTTTGCCAGAGGGACACTTGGAACAGTTCAGTTTTTCGATGGAGCCTCAATTGAGGAAACTTGGCATGCCCACGAAGCTTGATAAAGGTTTGTGATTAATATTTTGAGTTGGAAAAATAAAAATTTGAAAAAGCTCTTCAATATATTTGCGTCAATCATTTTTGTGAGATTTTTTTCTAAATAGTTTAGTCATTTTGAGCTATTTTGAAAGGTTCATTTTTAAACGTTAAGGTCCGCTCACTATGATTTTTCTGAGCATTTCTTTCTGTTTTCTATTTTTATCGAACTATTTTGGTATTTTCTTCAAAAATCAATGGATAGTTTAGAATCTCCTCTAGCATTTTTCACGTGTTTTGAAATGTTTTTATGAAATTAGACTTTTTCAACACAGGTAACTTTTAATAATTGAAATTAAATAAATTCTATTCCGTCTGGACATTAAGATTGTCTTTTTAAAATGTTCATGATATGTATAAAAAAAACCTTGCCGGGGTCTGAAGACGCAAAAATCTCACTTGAGTTAAAGCAACACTGAAAATGGCTCTTCTTCTTGAGACCTTCTCCAGAAACTCCATTAATTTTTTTCTACAAGTTTTATGGAATATTTCTGAACCCTTCATGTACCTTTTATCGATTAAGAATTCCAGGTATTGTGGCCTTGTACCAGGATTTCGAAGTTTGTAAGGAAGGAGAGCCTCTCACGGCAGATCAAGCGAAGGTAATTTAGTTTTCCATCATTTTTTCGATTTTTGGATAGCTATCATGTCAATTTTACAATCTGAGGGTGCAAATTAACCATAACGTTTTCATTTTAGATTTTCCTGAGAAGTTGTATGATTTTTTTTTTTGGTTTTCTTGATTTCATTGATGCGCTAAAGTTATTTGAATGATTTTCAAAAATTTGCCGATTTCAGACAGAAACTTTCGCTTCAAGTTAACAAAAAAAAATAATTTCTTTGCAGATTTTGAAGCTCCTCGACATCAAAATGTCGCAGTTCAAGCTGATTTTCAAAGGCCACTGGGAGAGCAAAAAAGGCTTCTCGGAGCTCGACACTACGGCGTAATTTTCATTGTTCTGTTCTGTAATTTCTTGTTGTTGTTTTGGTTACCTTGAAACTTGTTCCTCTCCATTGTTATTACACCTTTTTTCTCCGTTGTTGATCCTTTCTTTTCCCCCGCGTTCCGCCACATTTACAGTTTATTGTTGAATAAAAATGACGTCTCATTTTGTTTCTTATCGTTTTCTTAATGGTTCATTTTGCCGAAGAGGCTTTCCTTGGTATTTTTTTGAATTTCGCTTGTCTAGCCTTTTTTATTTTTTTAAATTCAAAGTTGCTTTTTCTGAAGGTGAGCAGGAGAAAGAATCAGAAAATTATGCCTATTTTCGAGCAATTATTTAAATAAAAAAATAGTTAGAAAAATTTTTTTAAAACTTTATTCATAAGTTAAAAAGCAAGACCAAGAAGTTTCTTTAAAGCGGTTTTTTTTTCAGTTTCGAAGCAAATTTTTCCTCTATAATAAAATGGTGTGTTGAAATAAGACTATTTTTCTCTAACAGGCAGAAAATTCTTTGATTTTTACTTCGGAAGGAAGAAATTCATTAGTTTTAATGAGTAATATTCAGAAAAAAATGAAGTCGGAAATCTTAATTTCTCAACAATTTGATTCGCGTTTAATTCTAGAGAAATATGAAATAATTTGGCGTGTAACCAATTGATTCACATTTTTGAAATCGAATAAATTTTTTGATATATACAGTTGAACATGGAAGGTTATTTGGATTTTAAAGCCGTGTTTGTAAATTTTCTTCGCTTTTAAATCATTTTCATGTTAAATTCCCACGTTTTCAGATGTTACGGATACTTTTAAATCGAGGAATCTTAAAGAATGGATCAGTTATTCGTTTTTTAGCGACCAAGGCCAAGAGACCTGAGCCGAAGTTCACCCAAAGTGCTGCTTTTCAAGTTTGTAATCAATTTATCAGTAAATTTTTGCAAATTTCGTTTAAAAAAAGATGTTTCGAAGCTACTAGAAACTATTTTTCAATTGAACTTTTCGGAAAAATAAAAAAATTTTTTTCAAGTGTTTTTTGATAGGATTGAAGTTCGGCTACGAAAAATTCAAACAAAAAAAGGATTAAGTTATTATTTTTCAGGGCAAAGGTCGACAATTTGGTTTGCCAAACACGGAAATTGGCTACGAATCCACCGATTCCTATAATAACAAGAAAATTTTCTCGGCCCTTGGCAGTTTACTTGCGTTAATTGTGTATTTTGGGTGGTTGAGGTTCGTTTTTTTTTTTGGTTATTCTGTGCTTGAATTAGTTTCGGCGATTTTGAAATTGACGCGTTATTTGCTTTGAATGATTTGGCGAAACAGGGAAATTTAGAATCTTTAAAAAATGTGTTCCTACAACGATTGGTGACTTTCACGCGCTAATTTAAAATTTCCATTCAAAATGCCCGAACAAAATTTAGGATTTCGCGCGTGAAAGTCTTGTTGTAGGTCTCAAGTTTTTAACGGCTCTAGTGTTTTTAATTTTTTTAACGAAATAATTCAAAAAAAGTGAAAAAGTCAATTTTGAAATCTTCAATTTTTACTTTGAAGATGACATTAGCTTTGAGAATTTTTGATTCAGAGAACCTTCAGATTTTGGATGAGATTTGGAGCACACCGCCGCATATTCTCACCGCGAATTTAGAGCGACGGATGCTCAGAGAGCAAATTAAGGAGGTTCGATTTTTGCATTTTGGATTAATTTCTGTTTTTATTTATCGTGAGAATTAAATAAAAAAATATTAGAAGATAACTTGCTCAGAAAATATGCTTCCACTGAGCATCCGGATTCGAATTCCGTTACACTTTTTTTCTAATTATTTTTTTTTCTTTCATTTCTTTCAGTCTCTGAGCTTCATTTTCAAGAAAGGTTACTTATTAAAGTTTGATTTGATGTAGCAGATAAATGGCTTAAAAGTGTCAGCCTGCAAAACTTCATTTTTTAAGAAATAGGGTCCTAGGATGACCCATTTTGTAATTTTCTATGCTTTTTTTTTTTACGATTCCTATGGTTTCTTTTTCTTGTTAGATAGTTTAACGATAAAAGTTGGAAAATCGTGGAATTTAAGCGGGAAACTCGGAAAAAAAACTTCAAGGTGTTCGACACGAAAAATTACATAGGTTATTGTAGGCTGGGCTAGTTTTGGAAATAGTTGTCTCAACTTGTATTTCTTTTCTGAACTTCAATTTTTTGGAAGTTTTGAATTTTTATGTGGCATAACTATCATTGAAGAACGGGTGAAAATCATTTTCTAAAAAAGTCAATTCAAAATAATCCATTCAAGGCCTAGAAGTTGTGGATTTTGTTGAAAAAAGAGCTGAGACCTTCCCGGAGACCTTCTAAAACTTCGCCTATGACTTTTTCGACACCTAAGCAAGCTAATAACCAGAAAATAAAACTCAAATAAAGTAAGAATCAAAATTTCTAGGCTGAGAAGAAAGGCCTGTCGACGGCGCTATTAAAGGCGCAGCTGGAATACGTCGACGTCAAGGAGGAAGCCCTTCGGATCCAGTTCGAGCAGCGGAAAGACGCAGAGGAGAAGAAGAAAGCCCGCAATCGTGCCGAGACCCGGGAAGTCGCCTCGGCCGTCGTCTCCTCGATTTGAAGTGCACGATCCCGAAACTTTTAAGGTAGAGGACTTCTCTGTAGAATCTCTTTGTCAATTCTTCAGCTTTTCTAGTTTTCCCTACGGGTTTCGAAGCCTTAATCATCCCTGTCGCATTTGGAATGGCTCAAGGCTTTTCTGGCTTCTCGTAGCATATCGGAAAGCGAAGTAGCTTCGAGTCGGGTGCAGCTCAGAAGCTTTGAGCCATTCCAAACGTGGTGGTCATAGTTTGTACCATGTTTCGTTGTCGAGCCTTATGAAATGTATTTATTTAGTTTTATACACTTTTAAATAGATAGTCTATTCGCCATGACTTGAAAGAAATCTGACCTCTCTTTAAGGAGAAGGAGAGAGAGAGCGCAGAGAAATCAGACCGTTTCAAAATCAAGCCAAACAGACTATAATAGAATATTAACGCGCCAAATGAAGGGCGTTATTCTTCCTTGAGTTGATTCGAGAAGTGATAAGAAGGATCATGGTGATCAGAAGAATCGAAGCGACTATCAGGGCTGTGACCAGCAAAGTGAAGGCCAGATGCGACGTGTCGCAGCTTGACGGCGCCGTTCGCGATTCTGAATCCTTGAAATGGGCTTCCCAGAAGACGTCGGGAAATAATCACCAAAGTACTCGACGTCCTGCGGGCTCTCGAAGACGCGCAGTTCGCCGATCATCTGCATTTCTGGATGCCCGTTTCGCATCTTGATCCGGTCTCGTCTCTCGGAGGTCTTATTGTCGATCAGGACTTCGCGTCGTTGTCGCTTTGGGTTGAACCTGAAAAATGAGAAAATAAGGGAACAGCTGTGATTTGTGTCATGTAGGAGCTAGACATTTTTGGTTCACATCTAGTTTTTTCTAGTTGACCAAAATGAGCTTTATCTGAGAAAAAGACTTTTTAGAGTCCCCAAATTTCTTCACACTCGGACATTGGTAACGCGAAACGGACGTGCTCCGGACGTTTCTGCGCGATTCTAGAGATCCCTTAAGAGTTCTGAGGCTACTAAAGTGGTCACTAGAAATGTCCCGACACGTCCGATTCGCGTCCCGTTCGCGTTACCAAGGTCTGAGCAGACATCTTGAGACCGGATTTGGAATCAGCGGGAAAAACTACATCTAGTGATCTCATTCAGAAGTCTTTAACAAGGTCGTTATGTTTGGGAATTTCCTGAAAATTGGTTAGAACTCCTTGATGTACCAGAAGAAGATTATGAAAGTCTAAACTTGCAAAAATTCCTAGTTTTCCAGGAAACCCCAAAATAGTTCATTTTAATGGACTTTGGTTTTTCTTGACCTTGAAGTGTATTTCCTCGAAAAGTTTTGCAGATTGAGGCTTTCAGGATCTTTTTTTGGTACCTCAAGGAGTATTCTGACCAACTTTCAGGAGAATCCCAAAAATGTTCCATGTAGAAGCTAAAGGTTTTTTCAAACAAGACTTCAAAATCTCAAGTTTTTTTGGTTCAAACCTAGTTTTTTGAGTTGACCCTGTTGTGCTACATGCTTTTTTCTATATACCCATCAAGAATCAGATTAATCTGAACCACACAAGTTTTCGTGACTTTTGAGAGCCCCTAACTTTTTTCACAGGCCTCGAAGGCAGTTTTTGAGACCGGATTTGGTACGTCTAAAGAACTAAGTGAGCTTAGACCATCTCCTGATGAGCCCTAAAACTAACCCGACTCCGTAGTAGATGCTCCCTTTAGCTGGAGTGATCTCTGCACTGACTGGATCGTCGGCGGCGCGATTTGTGGGGCGGCTACTTGGCATTTGAGCCTCCCGGAATAGCTGGTCGTTTGAGGCGAAGACGGCGTCGGCGCTAGGAAAAAGAAATATTCAGTTTGCTTCAGAGAAGAGGAGCTAGTGAAAGAAGTATGCGAAAACTTGGCGTCTCTATTTTCTAGAAGGTCAACAGGCTTGCTGGTTTCAGAATGAGATGCTTCTAGCGAGATAGTGTGCAAAAAGAAGAGATTTAATGACTTTTTTCCTAAGCTAGTGGTGAATGGAGTTTGGAAAAACAGTCAGTTTCAAAAAAACCTCTCTTCCGTCTCTTTCTTCTGCACCTCTTCCAATCGTTCTTCCAAAGATGGACACGATTTTGGTGGCTGAAACTTCCAGAATAAACTGCAATAATTCGGGAATACCTCACCGACATGACCTTACAGTCGTCGCCCTTGAGACAGATCCGAATCTGGCAAATGAATCTAGTGATGGTCCTCTGGGCGAACTTGAAGACGTGCGTCTCCTGGAACGCCTTTGATTGGTCGGCGCTGTACATCGGCGTCGGCATCACGTAGTGGTCGATTCCGCATCTGTAAGTGGGTCTTGTTGAGTGAATCGCTCGTTCAAAAGTGCGCCCGACTTTGAAACGACTTGCGCGCTTCCCTTAGTGCTACTAGGATCGGCTACACAAGACAAACAACGATTTGGTCATTCCAAATGCGACCATTTTTCACATGGATTCATTAATTTTGATGGAATTAAGGATTGATCTTTGCACCCGACTTTGAAACGACTTGCGCGCGTTTCTTAGGGCTACACTTCAAATACAAGATAAACAAAGATTTGGTCTTTCCAAATGCGACCATTGTTCACATAGATACATGGGTCTGGACGGATTTGGGTAGTGATATTTGCAACCGACTTCGAAACGACTTGTGCTTTTCACGGCTACAAGTCAATAGACATTCTAACTGCGGCTCACCCGTTCTGATCAATGATCATGATCTTATTGCCCTGGCCGTCCTCGACATGGCAGTTCTGCACTAGAATTCCATTGTGCTCTGAAAAAATCACCGTGGGATTAAAGCTACAGTGCTCCTTACCGCCATCACAAGCCCAGACGTGGAATACAGTATCCCCAACCGAGGCGTACCGTACCTCGGCGCCTGATTCGGACTCTTTCCTCAAGGAATAGCTACACTTGGGCATTTGGCTCTCGTCGAACTGAGCCGCGATCTCGGTGGGCGGAGCGTCGCTGAAATAATTTGTCGGTGGAGCGAAGAAGCTTCTATTTTCGAGCTGACCTGATCTCCAAACTCGAGTGAATGTCGTCGAGAATCCTCGACTCGACGTAAATACACTGGGCGCAGTAGCTCCTGTCAGCTTCGGTCACGAAAAGCGGATGAAGCTGGACGGTTATGCAGACCCTTTGGACAGAGCCCGACGGATTTTGCTAGAAAAAAGCCGTGCGTTGCGGTCGCGACGCGTCTCCCTACCGTAGTCTCCACTTTCATGCCGCATTTCCCATGCGGCACCGTCAGCCGGTTGCTGTTCCGTGTGTAGCATTCCTTGTCGTTCTCGTAGTCGTCGGCGTAGATTTTCGACGGGTTCGAGGAGGTCGTTTTGATCTGGAAGGTGGTTGTCAGTGGAGCGAATATGATCGGAAAATTATGGCTGTTTTTTCTTGAGTATAAATGCCTTAAGAAGCTTGCAATTTGAGAAGTTTCTTTTTCATTGAAGAGACTGATCTTGTCAAATTTGAGAAAAAAAAACTGCTTTATCATTGGAGCAAACATGCTCGAGAGTCTTTCGGCTATTTTATCTACAGTTTGAAACTTGAAGAAACGGCTCAAAAAGCAAAATTTTAGATTATCAGTAGAGCTTAAAAGTTCCATTTTTTTTTTTGGCTGTTCGATCGAAAATAGAAAAAGATCAAACCGAGAAGCTCAAGCTTGAAAAAATCGTTTTTATCATTGGAGCGCAAATGCTTTGGCTTTAAACGGCTGTTTTTTCTTGGATTTTTTTTATGAAACAAAAAACCCTCGAAACTTCACGGAGCAAAATTATCAATGGAGCGCATTAGCTTACGATTTTTAGCCCGTTTTGAATTGTGAAAAAAAAAATTATCAATGGAGCACATTAGCTTACGATTTTTAGCCCGATTTAAATTATAACAAAAAAATTATCGATGGAGCGCATAAGCTCACCATTTTTCAGCTGTTTTCAGAAAGGCCTTTTAAAATTTTGAAAAAAAATATCAATGATTCATATAGGTTCTATCAACTTTTGGCTGTTTTTTGCAACCTCAAGCAATACAAAAAGCCAAGTTTTACATTTAAAAAAAAATATCAAACTCCAAACCCTGATAATCATCGAGTCGGTCTCGCAGATGACGTTCGGCGTGTCGACGACCTCATTCGGGTACTTTAAAGCTTCAGAAAAGACGATGGCACTGAGAAAAATCGAGATGAACCGCAGCATGGTCCAGAAGTCGTTGGCGACTGTGCCAAGGGATTCCGAATCAGAATCGGGGCACGCCTTTGCTTTTTAATGAAACGGATCGCCGTTGAGACTTGAGACTTTTTGCGACACTTGAGCGGCGGTCCATTGAGGCGTCTGGCGGCTTTCCGACGGCTTCTCTTCTCAAGGAGCTCTTCTTCTCGTTTCTTCTTCTTTTTTTTCTGTTCGTTTTGTTGGAATTTTCAAGTTTTGATTGTAGTGTGGTTGCAGGATTCTCATTACATCATTGGGGTTTTTTTTTGGGATGCTTCGACCAAGTGATCCCTGAAGTGGTTAGAGAAAAAGCAGCCCTTGTAGGGTTGAAATTTGGTTGGTCTTTATAGTGGTTCAAGATCTCTTAGCTTTCAAGTGGTCCCTATAGGGTCTTCAGATTTGAAATCTAAAAATAAAATTGTGAACAATTCCTCTGTGTTGACGTTTTCATTCGAAAAAAGTCACTTTTTTCAATTTTCTGGCCTTTAGGGATCACTAACTGAATCCCCTATAGCGGCCACTAAATGAAGCCCCTTTAGCGGCCACTTTGGCAAGCTCTAGTGGCCCCTACAGGGGTTAATAGAGGGGATCGTTCTAGAGATTGGTAGACAAGAAGTTTCGCACTGAGTCATGATAGGGGTAAGTAAAGCGATCTCGATTGTTGCCCCTTTAGGGATCCCTCTGGAGATTGGTAAACGAGAAATTTAGCACGGAGTCAGGCAGTATCTGTGGGCAAAAAGAACATTTTGTTCTTAAAAACCATTTTGACTAGAAAATCAGGTACAAAATCAATACTGCGGAAGTCTGAAGATGCTACTTAAGGGATTGCGATCCAAGTGGTCTCTTAAGGGACCTGAATCAAGAAAATACTTGAATAACTATTTTTCTTCACCAAAAATCCAAGGACAGAATCATCTTTTCATTATCCCTTGAGTGGCCTCTCAAAAGGCACTGGTTCTTGCTCCTTAAGTGAATACTTCAAATTGTCCGCTGGTTTCTGAAGCATTCTGCTGTAAAAATTCTATTGGGGAATCGAACTTGGATCTTGAGATTAGTGGTCGAGAGATTTCGCACTGAGCCAAATAACATCTTAAAAAAGATTCGAAATTTACGATGTTTGAAAGGTAAAAATGTTTTTGCATCCAAAATAGTGAGAGAAGCTCATTGAACCTCTCTCTCTCTCTTTTTTCTCTATTTTCGTTTCCCTGCTCCTTTTCTAGAAAAAGCGAGAACATCTGTCTGCCTTTTTTCCGGCCAAAAACAAAAACGCGGAACACAAACAAGTGAGGGAAAAAAGTTGGTTTTCTGAGGTCTCAACGATCAAAAAATTAGTTCAATCGCTTCGTCATCGGTTAAATTGATCTGTGATTGTTCTAGAAATTGGGAAGAATGAACAATATTTTCGTTTCGAAAGGTTTTCTATGAGAAATCGAGAAAAATTGGACTTTTCAAACCTTTTGTTTTCAAATTTCAATGGCAAACTTCGGAATTTTTGGAAAAAATCTCTTTAAAAATTTTGACTTATTGATTTAAACAAAATTGTAGGGAAAAAAATATCTAATTTCATAAAAATCCAATGACAAAAAGTCTCACTATGATAAAATTTAAAAAGTAAAACTTTTTGAAAAAAAAACACTCAAGTGACCACTTGATTTTTCGAAAAAAAATTGTAGGGAAAATATCTAAAATTCATGAAGTCCAATGTCAAAAAGTCTCACTATGATAAAAATTTAAAAAAAGTAAAAATTTGAAAAAACACTCAAGTGACCACTTGATTTTCGAAAAAAAATTGTAGGGAAAAATATCTAAAAATTCATGAAGTCCAATGTCAAAAAGTCTCACTATGATAAAATTTAAAAAAAGTGAAACTTTAAAAAAACACTCAAGTGACCCCTTGATTTTTCGAAAAAAATTGTAGGGAAAAATATCTAAAAATTCATGAAATCCAATGACAAATGTCTCACTACAACAAAATAAAAAAAGCAGTTTGAAAAACACTTAAGTGACTACTCGATTTTGTAAAAAAAATTGTAAGCTATCCAAAATCCATAAAATCCAATGTCAACTGTCTCATTATAATACAATTAAAAAAGTAAAAGTTAAAAAAAAACACTCAAGTGACCACTTCATTTTGAAAAAATTGTTAGGAAAAATATCAAAAATTCATAAAATCCAATGACAACTGTCTCACTATAATTTTAAAAAAACACTCAAGTGCCCACTTGATTTTGAAAAAATTGTGAGCTATCCAAAATTCATAAAATCCAATGTCAACTGTCTCACACAATAAAATAAAAGAAGAAAATTTTAAAAAAACACTCAAGTGACCACTTGATTTTGAAAAAATTGTAAGGTATCCAAAATTCATAAAATCCAATGTCAACTGTCTCACCTTAATTTTAAAAAAACACTCAAGTGACCACTTGATTTTGAAAAAATTGTAAGGTATCCAAAATTCATGAAATTCAATGTCCACTTTCTCACTACAATAAAATGAAAAAAGTAAAGTTGAAAAAAACTTAAGTGACTACTTATTTTGAAAAAAAAAATTTTTAAGGTTTCCAAAATTCATAAAATCCAATGTCAACTGTCTCACTGCAGTAAAATGAAAAAAGTTGAAAAACGTCCAAGTGACCACTTGAGAACAAAATGAGTATTTTCTTCGATAGCCTGGTTCGACTCCTCTCCGCGTTTTTGCTGTCTCATAAATTTTTGCCATCGTTTTCAAAGCTTGCAAACCTTTTACATTGTACAAAGTCCATTAAGAAAAACACTATCATCAACAATAAACATTTATGAGCACGTAGGAACGAAAAAAGAAAACGGCGTGTTGACGTTGACGTGCGATGTCTCAACGATCGGTGAAGGCGAAAACACTCAACGAAGAAAGATCCCGATAAACTCCTCCGGAAAGTTCAAGTGGTCACTCAAGGAGACCTTGAACTAAGCTGAGGAAACTGAATTTTGAAATATTAGAAAGGCAAGTTTCAGTACACATTCAACAGGTTTTGAAAAATGAAACTGATTTTTCAAGATAGTTCAAGTGGTCACTTAAGGAAACCTTGACATAAGCTCAGAAAATTTGAATTTCGAAATATTGGAAGAGCAAATTTGAGTAGTCAGGAGATCAAACCGGCTTTTAGGATTCAGAATTTCTCAAGAAATTTCAAGTGGTCACTCAAGGGCTCCTTGAAATAAACTCAGGAATCTAAATTTTTGAAATTTTAGAAGGGCAAGTACTCACTCAATGGGTTTTGAAAAATAAAACTGATTTTTCGAATTTCAAGATCTCTCAGGAAAGGTCAAGTGGTCACTCAAGGAAAACTAAGGAAACTGAATTTTTGAAACTTCAGAAGAGCAAGTTCAAGTAGTCAAGAGGTTCTGAAAAATGAAAATGAATTTTCGAACTTAAAACCTCTCAGGAAAGTTCAAGTGGTCACTCAAGGGCTTCTTGGAATAAACTCAGAAAACTCAAATTTTGAAATATTATAAGAGCAAGTTTCAATACTCACTTATGGGTTTTGAAAAAAAAAACTGATTTTTCGAACTTTGAGACCTCTCAGGAAAGTTTAAGTGGTCACTCAAGGGCTCTTGGAATAAACTCAGAAAAAACGAATATTCGAATTTTTAGGAGAGCAAGTCTTCCCTATGAGTTTTGTATATATGAAAAAGATTTTTCGAACTTAAAACTTCTTAGGAAAGCCCAAGTGGTCAGTCAAGGAAAACTCAGGGAATGAACTTTGAAACTTCAAGTTTTTGTAGTCAAGAGGTTTTGAAAAATAATAACTCAGAACTTCTAAAAAAGTTCAAGTGGCCCCTGAAGGGCTCCTCGAAATAAACTCAAATTTTTGTAATTTCAGAAGAGCAAGTCTCAGTAGTAACACTAGATGTTTTGAAAAATAAAACTGACCTTTTTCAAGAAAGTTCAAGAGGCCCCTAGAGTGGACTTTGTACCGAGTCAAGAAGTTCTAAGTGTTCTTTAGAAAAAAAAAGTTTTTAAGGGTTTGGCTGAACTTACAAAAATTAATGTTTTCTAACGAGAACTCTCTGAAAAATGGCAAAAAATGCGAACAGGAGTCGAACCAGGCTCTTTGAATTGACAACTGGAAGATTCTGCGCTGAGCCACGGGGTTTGTTTTCTTTTAAATGATAAAATCTGTGCTAGGAGCCGGATTGAGCCTACAGAAATTTTTTAAGCTTTTCAAAAATTATTTTGAATTCAAATTTTTTAAGCTTATAGTCAATTTTATGATCAGTTATTTTTTAAATTCATTTCTTCGTTCAAATTTTAATGATTTTATAACCCACTAATTATTAAATTTTGCAGCTTTTCTAAAATTTTCCATAATTTCATAATTGCACAAAACGAACAAAGTACGCTCAAAATCCAAAACACCGCGATAACAGTTATCAAAAAGTCCTTTGGAGCATTGTCCTTTGACCGACTTATCACAAAACACTTTGAAGGACCAATGAGCGGCCTTTTTTGTTATTTTTAGATGACTGGTCTGTTATTTTTGCACCTGCAATCACTTTTTTTTTCTTCTTCTCGAAAAAGTGTTGAAAGCTTAGGAGAAGGCGAAAAATACATATTGATGTGGAGGGACATTGAACTTTTGATAATTTTTCATTGAAATTATGATGAAATTTGAAAAAAAATGAGGAATCGAAATTAAGAAAAAATGAACAAAATACGTCAAAAAAGGTATTGAAATTCAAGGGAAATCCCAACATTGGGCAAAAAGAGTTAAAACTGTGTTATGTCGTTTTTTTATGCACAAATGGGCTTTCAAGAAAATTAAAATATTAAAAAAACCTTGATAAATTATTATAAATTAACCAGAAAATCTAAAAAAATTAGAAATTTCTCAAATTTATGGAAATACAGAACAAAAATTTCAAGAAAAAAATTAATTCTCCTGAACCGATTTTCAAATTTTATTCAAAGCAAAATCGTTTTTTTACGAATCATATTTGAGAAATCCGCTATTAAATAAGACTACTCGACTGAAATTTGAAAAAAAAAAAGTATTTTTCTGACCGGAATTTGGAAAGAAATACGAAAAGTATTGAAAATTCGACGTGATAAGATTCGAACCGAAATCAAGTAAATTCTTTTTTTCAAATATAGGTAAAATTCAATAGAAATGTGTCTTATTAAAATTTTCTTCAAAGAACCGCTTCAAAGAAACATTGGGTTCAAAAATGCCAAGAAATATTCAAAAAAATTTCACGTGAAACGAATCGGACCAAATAAAATTCCAGTAAAAACCTTCGCTGACCCGATTCTCTTCAAAAAAAAAAATCAACAAACCTCCGACCTTGGAAACTTCAGGATCGATTCATTATTGACAAACAAAAGCTGAAGAATCGCGTCAAAACGGAACATTTCATGACATCATCCGTCGCTTTTTTCTGCTGCAATTTCGCCCCGACGCTGCAGTTTTTTGTTTACCGGCGCGCAAACGATCACTGAACCTTTGCGCGTCGTAGCTCCGCCCATTCTTTATAGGATTCCCAGCTCTCCTTTAAATAGCCGGCTCTGCGGTCGATGGAAATCGTGTTCCTTCGCTCTTCAAATTCTTCAATTCTACATTCAGATCTTGACATTCCTCAATCTGAACACCTTCTGAACAATTCTTGAACCTTTTCCTACTTCAAACAAATAGAAAAAAATGTATTGAGAAAAATAGAAAAAAAAAAATCAAAAACCGTTTTTTTAATTTTAAATTTTGATTACTGTACATCATAAATGTTCATTTCTGCATACACATTAACTCACATACTCTTCCTCACGCGCAAATCTTTTTTGAAAATATTTATTCCGTTTCTATTTAATTTTCACTAGCTTTTTTTTCAATCATTACTTTTTCATACATGCAACTATGTAGTTTGAATGAATTTCTCGGAATTTTGACCATTGGTGACTGTTTTTTGTTCGCGCGCGCGTATTTTCAAAATGACGTCAACTTGTTTACGAGTAAACAAGTGACATCATTCAAGCCCCGCCCATCCTTATATATTCGAGAAGACTTTCGGAGATTCATTCAATCTACGTTGCTTCCTTGCGGTATGGTCGTTTTGTTCTTTCCTTGGAACTTTTACGATCTCTAGGGTAATGGTACAAAATACATAAACCCCTAGGATAAAAACAAAAAAATCAATGTCTATGTAGTTTTTAAATTTAACTTGTTGGGCTCATTTTTTCTCTAATACTTTATTTTTTTCTTATTAATATACTTTAACTTTCAAAAAAACGATAAATTTTGAGGCCACTTTTTCTTTTTTTATAAGTTTTAAATTTTTTTCGACTTTTTGAAACTTGATAACTTTTTTTAAGACTAGTCTATTTTTTTCTCCAACCACCTCGCCAGGGTTTTTGACGTATTTTTTTTCGCATATATTAGCCTCTGAACTTCATATGATTCGACTCGTGACCTTTTTCTCGAAAATAACCTAATTTTCTACTCAAAACTCGACTTTTTCCAGAAAAAGCAAATCTAATCAACCCACAACAAACAAAATGTTCAGCGATATCGTTAGAAACGGTGAGTTTTCAAAAATATTTTGATTTCTGAAGTCTTAAGAATGAGAGGAATTTGGCGTAGCTAATAAAAAATAATATTACTCAGCTCTCGTAAATAAACTCAAAAAGCAGCTGATTTTTTTCTCTCTATTCTGTTGTTGTTTTCTACGCGCCCGCTCATTGGTTCCTTAGCGAATTTGCACCAAAAAAAAAAATGTTTTTTTTAAGAGTGAGGGATTTGCAGTAAACAATATTGGTCACTGGTCTCTTACTCAAGGGAAAAAAGAGAATTTGCATAAATAAAGAAAAAAGTAAGGAATAGGAAGCTTGTAGGAAGATCTTTGAGGTTTTGATTCAGATTTAGGTTTATTTAAGGGTTCTTTGACTTCATTTCTCAATCAACCTCACATTTTTTTCTTCTAGCAAAGGGTTTTTCAAATTTAGATCAATGAATAGTTTTACTACAAGTATTGGTAAAGAACCTTTGTCATTTAAAAGATTTTTTTCAGCTCAAGAATCTGTCTCCAAGCCAGTTCAGCAGCAGCGTCGCCAAGCCCCAGGGGAGGCCGAGTTCAACGCTTCTGCCACTATTGACGCTAGTGAGTTGGAAAAAAAAGAACCATTGAGTAAATGAACAACTTTTGCAGTTGCCAATCACGACTCTCAAGTGTTCCCTCCATTGGCGGACAGCACCGTCGAGGCGATCACTGAGCAGCACAATGTCATTATTCAAGATCGTCGTGAAGGTGATTAAAAATGAAAAATCGATTGAAAATTGGTTTTTGTGGTCTATGTGTTTTTTTAATAAGGTTATTTGAAGAAGTTAGATAGGAATCGTTTTTGCCTATGCGCCTTTAATAAGGGCTTGAAAAAAATTAGTTAAAAAAAAAGTCTTTTATGCATTTTCAATAAAGTGATTTAAAAATATCAGATAGGAATTGTTTTCGCCTATGCGCCTTTAATAAGGTGATTGAAAAAGTTAGATAAAAATTTTCAATGTCTATGCGCCTTTAAAAAGGTAGTTCAATAACGTTTTACAAAAAGTCAATGGAACATTTTTAGGTCCCTTCTTAACTATGTGCCTTTCAGAACGTTGTCGGAACATTTTTGCGCTTTTTGAGAAATTTGGGGCGATTTTTCCTTTCAATAAAGTTAGAAAAGATCTTTTCGAATAACTTGAAAGCATAGTTGATTTTCTGAAAACAATTTTCCAATTTTTCCAGCCGACATCGCGCCGAGAGGCATGATCAACGGCTTGATCAACGCCTACCAGAACGTCAGTCAGATGATGACCGCCCGTGGAAACGAGTCCATCTCTGATGATGATGGTAATAATTATTGGAAAAGGAAATATTTAAACTATCAATTTTCAGCTGAAATCATCTCGAAAAAAGACAAGACGGCGACTCTTCACGACGCCCATGGCAACACTGCCAAGGTTGCCTATGGACATGGTAATTTTCAGAGGGAAATTTGAGATTTGATGTTTTTATTTTCAGAAATCAAACGAGAAGATGCTCCTCTGCCTGGAGAAGAGGATATCATCGTCAAGAGCTACGCGGCTGTCGTTGGTTGGTTTTATGAACCTTCACAGTTTCCAGATGATTTTTCCATTAATTTTACATAATCAGTCACTATCTTCTTTAATTTTTCATAGCTTAATGTTCAAGAAAATCATTTTCAGTTGACGGAAACGCCCCCGAACAAGTTCACGACACTTTGATCGCGTCCGGATCGGGTTCTGATGAGGAACATCATCTGGAAGGACACAAGAAGATCCGTCGCCAAGGTGGACGTCATCAACGTCATCGCAATGGTTTGTTTAAAAAATAATCGAGTTCAAAGATGAAAAAATCCTTTCAGCTCACCACGCTGCCGAACGCACCAAGCAAGACGTCAGAGAGACTGTCGAAGAGGTGAAACACGTCGGCAAGCAGGCCGCCGCTAGAACTTCTGAGAAGCTGGAAGAGACGAAACAGAGGGCCGGCGAGAAGATCGAAGACGTCAAGCAGGGCGCCAAGGACATGGCTCGTGACACTGCAAACGCAGTCAGCCAGAAGGCCGAGGCTGCCAAGGAAGTCGCCGCCGACGCGACTGAAGCCGCCAAGAACATGGCTCGCGACACGGCCAACGTCGTCAGCGAGAAGACCGAAGCCGCTGTTGAAGTGACCAAGGAAGCCGCCGCCGACGCGACTGAGGCTGCCAAGTCCTACGCCGGCCAGGCCTACGACGCCGCCGCCAACGTCGGACATCAAGCCGTCGACACCGCCAAAAGCGCGGTTAACACTGTCGTCGGAGGCGTCGTGGACACGACCAAGAACGCGGCAAACGCCGTCGTCGAGACCGTTCACAACGTTGTTGATGGCGTAACCACTACCGCCAGCAACGCTGCCCACGCCGTCGTTGACACGACTTACAATGCCGCTCACGCTGTCGTTGATACCACCTACAATGCTGCCAACGCCGTCTACGAGGGAGCCGCCAATGTCACCCACAAGGCGGTCGACACGGCCAGCAACGCTGCCCACGCCGTCGTTGACACCACCTACAACGCGGCGAATGCCGTCTACGAGAACACCGCCGCCGTCGGGACCCAAGCCGCTCAGATCGCTGGATCTGTCGGCCATGCCGCCGTCGTCACTGCGGCTACCGCTGCCAATACGGTCTACGAAGGAGGCGCCCTTGCGGCGGAGAAGGCCAAGGATGGAGCTGCTGTCGTTTATGATAGTAAGTTTTGTCGAAAAGTTGAATCCAGAAGCTTCACATTTTGACCTCGAAAAATGACAACCTTTCTTATCTTGCAGACACGGCTATCGCTGCGGCCACCGCTGCCGAACTCGCCAGCCAAGCTGCCGGAGCGGCTAAGGAAGGTGCCAACACCGTCATTGAAGGTTTGTCAAATCAACAAAATGTCTCTATATTCTCATTTTCAGGCACTACCAACGTCGCCGCAACTGCTGCCGTCCTCGCCAAGGACGGTGCCAACTCGGCGATCGATGGAGCCGCGAACCTTGGTCACCAGGCTGCCGAAACTGCCACCATCGCCGCTGGAACTGCTGCAGCTCTGGCTCGCGATGGAGCTAACACAGTCATCGATGGTGGGGATGCTGATAATTTACCAGAAACTTGAGACTTTTAGCTCAAAAATCACTTAAGATCGGGCTTCATAACATCTAAGTTGATAAAAACAGTTCAACGATCTGTCAGATATTGATCTTCAATCCAAATTAGTCACGCTAAAATCAATTTTTCCAGGAACCGCTAATGTAGCTGCCACGGCTGCGGTCCTTGCCAAAGACGGAGCCAACGCCGCTTACGAAGGCGCCGCCAATCTCGGACATCAGGCTGCCGAAACTGCCACAATTGCGGCTGGAACTGCTGCGGCTCTTGCACGGGATGGAGCTAACACCGTCATTGAAGGTTTGAGAACTTTCTGCGGACTAAAATTTTGATTTGATCATTTTTAGGAACCACTAACGTTGCCGCCACAGCTGCCGTTCTCGCCAAGGACGGTGCTAACACGGCCATCGAAGGCGCTGCCAATCTCGGACATCAGGCTGCTGAGACCGCTGCCGTAGCTGCCGGAACTGCCGCTGAACTCGCCAACCAAGCTGCCGGCAAGGCTCGTGAAGGCGCCAACGTCGTCTACGAGAAAGGAGCCGATCTCGGAAACCGTGCTGCTGAAACCACCAAGCAGGCGGCGGATACCGCCATCGGAGTGGCTGCCCTCGCCGCCGACAAGACCCGCGAAGGCGCTGCCATCGCCGCCGACACGGCTCGCTCTGCTGCGAACCAGGCGACGATCGCTGCCGCGACTGCTGCCGAGCTCGCCAAGGAAGGCGCCACCACCGTCATCGATGGTTAGGATATTCTAGAATCGGCCCAAATTTACCTGAATTCATTAAAGGTACCGCTAATGTAGCTGCCACGGCTGCGGTTCTGGCCAAGGACGGAGCTAACGCTGCCTACGAAGGCGCTGCCAATCTTGGTCACAAGGCTGCTGAAAACGCCAGCATCGCCGCTGGAACTGCTGCAGTTCTGGCTCGTGATGGAGCTAACACTGTGATCGAAGGTGAGAATAAAGTTCTGAAAAAAATCTTATGTATGAGCTCCGAGAAGCTTCTATCTTTGAAAGGAAGTTTGAACATAATCCTGAGACTTTTGAAGCGAATTAAAAAAAAAACATGGCTTTGGATGATCATTTTTGTTGTTTCAGGCACGACCAACGTCGCCGCAACTGCTGCCGTTCTCGCCAAAGACGGTGCCAACACGGCCATCGAAGGCGCTGCCAATCTCGGACATCAGGCTGCTGAGACCGCTGCCGTAGCTGCCGGAACTGCCGCTGAACTCGCCAACCAAGCTGCCGGCAAGGCTCGTGAAGGCGCCAACGTCGTCTACGAAAAAGGAGCTGAACTCGGCAACCGTGCGGCTGAAACCACCAAGCAGGCTGCGGACACCGCCATCGGAGTGGCTGCCCTTGCCGCCGACAAGACCCGCGAAGGCGCCGCCATCGCTGCGGATTCGGCTCGTTCTGCGGCCAACCAGGCTTACGAAGGAGCTGCCGACCTTGGCAACCGTGCGGCTGAGACCACCAGAAGAGCCGCTGACGCTGCTGTCGACGTTGCCGGAGAAGCAGCGGAGAAGACCCGTGAGGGAGCCGCAGTTGCTGCGGACACGGCTCGCTCTGCGGCCAACAGAACCTATGCCGCGGTCGCCAACACGGCCAACGCCGCCGCTGAAAAGACCCGCGAAGTCAAGGAATCCACCGCCGAAGCCTACGACAAGGCCATCGAGACCGGCCTCATCGCTGCCCATCAGCCTCCAATCACCTCGGAGAACCTCTACCAGGAGCACCTCCACGACATCCACGGCGAACATCTGATGGCCACCAACGCTGAAGACTTTGAACGTCTTCCTGGAGGTTGCGTCTTGGAGGCCACCATCATCGAGACCCAGCTTCGACCTGCTACTCACATCGAGTCGGCGACTGGCCCTGCCAACGTCGTCAACACCCGAGAGGAGAAGATAGAACAGGCCGCCGCGTCCAACGACATGGTCTTTGAAGGAGCCGCTGATGCGGGAATCCAGGTGTGTTAATTGAAAACGGGATATAATTGTTTAGAATGTGAGAGGATTTTATGGGTTTTTAGAAAGAACTTAGGTGCTCTTGAGCCTACAATTTTCAACAATCAGTGAGAAGTTATCATTATTTTGATTTTCAGGTGATCGAAAAGATCGACAGCGAACTTGAAGCTGTCCGCCGTGACCTCGCCGCCGTCGGAGTTCATCCGGCTCCGTTCCCAACTGAGCTCTACGATGCCCCGACCGGCAAGTCCATCGAGCAGATCGTCAAGGGACAAGAAACGACCGGACCCAAATTGGCTGTCGAACCGTCGGCTCCATGGGAGAACCGCCTGCCTACCAACAAGGTCTACGATGGCGCCACGACCGTCGCACAGAAGATCATCGACGCCGCGACCGCCGGCATGGAGAAGGCCAAGGAGGGCGCCCAGAGCGTCGTCGAGACTGCCAAGGACATTGCCTCCAACGTCAACGAGTCGTCTTCGGAGACGATGGACGGCGCCAGCAGGACTGGAAACACCATCGGAGGCGGTGACTGGACTCGGGGTTCGTTTTTCCAATATTATTTTCCGAAAGCCTGAAAGTTTTTGACAAGACTAGGCTTACCAGACTTTTCCGAGATCTAACTCTATCAATTTTTCAGTTGAATCCCGTGCAACTCCCGCTTCTTGCAAGCAGATGCTCGACGAGGCCACCAAGGGACGTCACCTCCACGGCCACTCCCACGTCACCTTTGGCAACGGCGGCTATTAATTTCCCCCAATTCGTCTAGATCTACCAATTCTCTTTCCTCCCCCCATACTCACCTTAATTTTTGTCCCTTTTATTGTTTTTTGTTTGAGAGCCACAACGAAAACTCGCTCGTCGAGTTGAACATTTAGGCCTCCCCTTCCACTTGTATGTACATAACTTATTGAATGTGTGATTTTTGTAATAACTGATGTAAATAGATCGCCCCCTTGGGCCCTCTACTCTCTTCAATACCTTTCCGGCGAATTGTATATTTTATTGTAACCCCTTGCCGAGATAAATGTACATATTGATTTGGTGTTGGTGGAAAAGAAGCTGAGAATTTCTGAAAAAAGGACAGCTTGTCTCAGCTTTTCCTTATAACTAATCAATAAAGCGTCTAGAGATGCTTCTGTAAATTTCAATCGCTGAAAACTTATCAGCACACTGAGCCACAAGCTGAGTCAAGTCTGAAGTTTCTGGGTGAAGCTCAATCGACTGATAACCTATATCATTCGAAAGCTAACATAGAGACAAATCGACTGATATAATTAAATGAGCTGTAGCTGCTCTGGTAGCAGAGATATGAGCTTTCAAAGTTTTCCTTAAAAAATAAATTTGCGCGTCAGATCAAATAAGTTGTGTGAAGTTGGGCGTCGGGTCAAGTGCTCGTCTGAGGGTCTCATCGGTGTGTTTTCCTCGCGAAAAAGGAAAAGCTCAAAAAAAAGTTGGTCTTTTTCAAGTTTTTTCTAGCGTAGCGGATAGAGAAGCTTCTATATGGTACTGTTATCATATCAGTTTTGAGGAAAAAACTCGAAAATCGGGTCAAAAATGGGTCCGAAAAAATGGCACGTTTTGGGCTTTCAAGCTTCATAACTCCCTTCATTTTGAAGTTACAGCGGAACTAATTATATCAATCAATTCGTCTAGTTATCAGCTTTCCAATGGTTTAGAACTTCACGAGTTTCGATCGAGTTGGATGACGTCATGGACTTTTTCAGCTTACATCTCAGCTTCTGCTTCAAACTGGATGAGATTAATATCATTCGATAGAGTTTGTTGAGACGGTTTCAATGATATATCTCAATTCTTTATAACTTATCAAGAAGTCGAATTGCGAGCTGCGGCAAGTCTGAAGCTTCTGGATTAAGCTTGATTTCCTGATAACTAATATCATTTGAAAGCTGACGCTGAGACAAATCGATCGATATAATCTGGTCTGTTGTAACTTCAAAGTGAACAGAGATATGAGGCTTGAAAGTCCGAAATACGCCAATTTTCGGACGACTGTTTTCACCCGATTTTTGAGCTTTTTTCTCGAAACGCATGCGATAACAGTACCATATAGAAGCTTCTCTATCCGTTACGCTAGAAAAAACTCGAAAAATACCAACTTTTTTTTGAGCTTTTCCTTTTTCGCGAGGAAACCACACCGATGAGAGCCTCAGACAGGCACCTGACCTAACGCGCAACTTCACACAACTTATTTGATCTGACGCGCAAATTCATTTTTTAAGACAAACTTTGGAGGCCTATATCTCGGCTACCAGAGCAGCTACAGCTTATCTGATCATATCAGTCGATTCGTCTTGATGTCAGCTTTCAAATGAAATTGGTTTTCATTCGGTTAAGCTCCATCCATGAATACACAGAACTTTAAACGCTATATTGACTTCACTGTTATCAGCGCATCCAGTTCGAAGAAAAAGCTGAGATCTCAGATCTGAGCTGTATTTCTCGAAGAAAAAGCTGAGATCTCAGATCTGAGCTGTATTTCTCAAACTGCGGACCACTTTCATCTTCAGAAATTATTAACAAGTCAAAAAAAGGCAATCGAAATTTTATGATACATCGAAAAAAGAAACCAAATCAAAAGAAAAAAAAACATCCATTACACGAAGAAAAATCAAGAAAAACACAATACAACATTTTAAACTCAAAAACTTGATACTTTTCTCTTTTCGGAGAAATATCAATCCAAAACTCGGCCATCGATATCTGAAAAAATGACAAATTGATTTTAAAAAAAGCATTGAGTTCAAAATAATAACTATATAGTTTCAGATTATCTCTAAAGACATCAAAAACCAAACAAAATAAAAAACAAATAAAATTATTTTATAGTCGCCCTCAGCTCACTTTTCATTGCCGACTACTGCTTTTCGTAAAAATGCAGCCATAAAATCTTCCCAAACTAGAAATAAATCCATGAGACAGAACATATGTGTCCGTTATTTTAATGAATCGGCAGCTGTTTTTTGAAGAAAAAAAAAAAGAAAAATCGGCAATGAAACTTGAGTTTAAAGTCGAGCCTAGACATGTTCTCGATCTGGGTTAATTCTCATGAAATAGCAATAAAGTTTGATTCTTTTGAACTACAATAAACTAAGAAAATATCGTGCTTCGGCTGAGTGAATCACAACAGTTTTCTGGAACTTCAGAAAAAGCATGGAGAAAAAAAAACAGATTAAAAAGTACTAACAATTCACGCTCCTGAAAACCATAAAAACCATTGTGAATCAACTGAAAAAAGTATTACCAAGCAAATGGGAAAAATATGGCATGCAGGAAAGTGCGCGCTGTGCGCACTCTTTTCTCGTGCGCACGTAAGGAAAATGCGCACTCTTTTTTCAAATTTTGTACAGGAAATTGCGCTCTCTTTCTAACAACAGGAAAATGCGCACGGTTATCAAATCCTGTTCTTTCGGATTATTTGAAGTTGATATAACTGATTTTTCAGAATTCATCTTTTTCAATAATAATACCAGGCGGTCACTAGACTGGTCAGACTGATTTACCTTTCACGTGATAATGTGTTTTTTTTTTAAATTTTGGAATGTTATTTTCCGAAGAAAGCCACAGTCGGCGTTTATAGTTTGTTCAGAATTTGAATGTCAAGTCATCGGTCGAACTCCGCCTCTTATGTGTAGATCAAACCAATCAGAGAACGAGCCACTCACAGGCTTTGTTTGGGGCAGAGATTGCTGCTTGAAACTCAAAACATGGACAAACTATATTATAAAGGGAAATATGTGAAATACAAATCGAAAGGACCTTTCGAGGTTCAAAATATTTCTGAAGAAAATTTACAGGGTGATGAATTATTACTGCGACAAAATGAAGGAGCTGTCAATATGTCAATTGTCAATAGTCAATAAAGACCGGAAACTCACAATTATTTTTTTATAAAGTTTTTACAGGGATTTAATCAAAAAAATTAACATGAACTGCCGCTCGAAAATGTAGTGGCACTCCAATTGACTGCGGTACGCAGATGGTCGAAATCAGTTTTTGTCACAGTTTTTTTGAGCAGAACGGCCAAAAGTCAGTAGGCAAACTGGTGTGTACTGTTACAAGAGGCACATTGAAGTTTCTCAAAAAAATTTTTGGAGTCAATGGGATAACAGAAAAAAAGCACAAAACTCCATTCTTCTAACCGGATAAGACCTTTTTTTCGATAAGGACTCGAAAAATTGGTTTTGAGCTGACTAGGGAACTACGCGAACTCGCATTCAAGGATCGAGTTCAAACTTTGGTGGCTTATAGACCCGGGTAAAAAGTACTTGGAAACAAGAGAGATTATCTGCTAAATCCTATAGACTTCTGAGAAAAACTATTTTTTTGAAAAATGAACAGTTTAGGCTTGAAAACTATCAAATTTTTTTGCTTTCCTCCTTCTTTTTGGCTGGAAAAAAAGTTTTTTTAGTGTTTATCATAGCCGGATCATTCAAGGCGATTTTTATTAAAATATTAAATAAGGTAAAAAGCAGTATTCTGAAAAATTTTTCAGGTCTAATTTTTCACATTTTTCTACTAATTTTTTTCTCAGTTCTCTATTGGGTTTAGCAGATATTCTCACTTGTTTTCAAGTGTTTTTCACTTAGGTCTATAAACCACTAAAGTTTGAACTCGATCCGCGTACCCGAGTCCGAGTAGTTCCCTAGTAAGTAAGGGTACTTAAAAAAACAGGCAATACTATCTGCTAAACCCCATAAGGTACTGAGAAAAAAGGTACACACCTTTCAAATTATCTTGTTTACTGCTCTCTGAGTTGACCTCATCTCTTACAGAGACTAGCTATATCTGAGCTATCTCGGAGGTACTTTTAGAGTCTCCCTCAAGTCTATCTCATTTTTGCTCAAAGTCCTCAGAGGTATACTTGGGTTACCATCGATAGGCTTCAGACCCCTGCGATATGCCTCAGAGGGTCTCGCGATACCCTTTTTTTCTCTATTTTTTTCGGAAAACAATTCCTTCAATTTTTTGCGACTTCTTTTAATTGCTTACATAGACGTGAATCGTTATCAATTTCGAGAATCGAAACCTTAAAAGTACGTTCAAATTGAGCTTCAGGGCGACCTTATCGAATAATTTCTGAACGTCGCAATAAACTCCCTCTCATACGGCCTTGATGCGTAATGAAGTAACTTTGAGTCAAGATTTTTCCAGTGTTGTACTTGGCTGTAAAAAAATCACTGAAAAAAATTTTTTTGGTGGTTCGGCCCGGCCCAAAAAGCTCAAATTTTTCTTCATTTCGAATTTTTTTAGCTGTTTTAACGAGAAAAAGCGGGGTTTTTTTGCTTATTTTTTTCTTCATTGAGTTATTAAAAAAATGTGATTCAACATGTAAAAATATTTTTTCGGTGAAAATGTTTTTAATGAAATAAAAAAGTTTCTTGAATCTCTGGCCCGAGCCCGCGCTTTTTTTTCGAAATTAAAAAAAATCAAGTCCTAGGGGGCTTTAGGCCTTCATAGCCAAGCCTGCCTGCCTTGCCATAAACGCCCAAAAAGGCAGAAACGACTTTTTCCGAAAGTCAGCGTGGCATCATCATATTATAGAAGAAGGCTTGATGAAGGTAGGAATAATGACTGGAACAAAAAAATGAGCTCGGGTCGGCGAGAGCAAATGCTAAAAAAACTTTTGTCGCAGTAATTATTCCTCCACTCTGTATTGTTTAATGTTATCAGATGGAAAAAGATCTGTATATTTTTGAGAGCATCTCACTTTTTTTAGCAGATTTTTC